GTTACTTATTATTACTAGATTTATTCGTTTATTGTATTCGTTACTTATTATTTCTAGATTTATTCGTTTATTTTATTCGTTAATTATTATTTCTAGGTTTGTTCGTTTATTTTATTATTATTATTGCGCGGTCATACATACACCCACACAAACACACACACATACAAATATACATACATATATTCGTTGTTTTGTTTGCTTGATGTTTTATTCTCTTTTTCTTACTTTTTTCTTCGTAATTGTACAAATAGGTAGGATTAATTCGTAAGTTGAGCTAATTGAACATAGGTAGGTGAGTTAATTTAGTAAACATAGGTAAGTTAGGAACTCTATTCTTTCTTTCTTACGTTCTAGTTTATTTGTATTGTATTGTTTTGTATTGTTTATTGTTCAACACAACACCAACAGCAGCAATCAAACACAACATTCAACACAATATTATTTTCGTTATATTTTAGTTAAGTTTAGTTGAGTTGTTTATTATTACTAGACCATTCGTTACTTATTATTACTAGATTTGTTTGTTTATTTTATTAGTTACTTATTATTTCTAGATTTATTCGTTTATTTTATTCGTTACTTATTATTTCTTTATTCGTTCGATTTGTTCGTTTATTTTATTATTACTATTGCGCGGTCATACATACACACACACAAACACACACACATACATACTTACATACATACATTCGTTGTTTTGTTTGCTTGATGTTTTATTCTCTTTTCCTTACTTTTTTCTTCGTAATTGTACAAATAGGTAGGATTAATTCGTAAGTTGAGCTAATTGAACATAGGTAGGTGAGTTAATTTAGTGAACATAGGTAAGTTAGGGACTCTATTCTTTCTTTCTTACGTTCTAGTTTATTTGTATTGTATTGTTTTGTATTGTTTATTGTTCAACACAACACCAACAGCAGCAATCAAACACAACATTCAACACAATATTATTTTCGTTATATTTTAAGTTTAGTGAGTTGTTTATTATTACTAGACCATTCGTTACTTATTATTACTAGATTTGTTTGTTTATTTTATTAGTTACTTATTATTTCTAGATTTGTTCGTTTATTTTATAGTTATTATTATTGCGCGGTCATGCATACACCCACACATACACACACATACATACATACATACATACATACATATATTCGTTGTTTTGTTTGCTTGATGTTTTATTCTCTTTTCCTTACTTTTTTCTTCGTAATTGTACAAATAGGTAGGATTAATTCGTAAGTTGAGCTAATTGAACATAGGTAGGTGAGTTAATTTAGTGAACATAGGTAAGTTAGGGACTCTATTCTTTCTTTCTTTCTTACGTTCTAGTTTATTTGTATTGTATTGTTTTGTTCAACACAACACCAACAGTAGCAATCACAACAATCATCATAATATTATTTTCGTTATATTTTAGTTAAGTCTAGTTAAGTTGTTTATTATTTCTAGACCATTCGTTACTTATTATTACTAGATTTGTTCGTTTATTTTATTCGTTACTTATTATTTCTAGATTTATTTTTTTATTTTATTCGTTACTTATTATTTCTAGATTTGTTCGTTTATTTTATAGTTATTATTATTGCGCGGTCATGCATACACCCACACATACACACACATACATACATACATATATTCGTTGTTTTGTTTGCTTGATGTTTTATTCTCTTTTCCTTACTTTTTTCTTCGTAATTGTACAAATAGGTAGGATTAATTCGTAAGTTGAGCTAATTGAACATAGGTAGGTGAGTTAATTTAGTGAACATAGGTAAGTTAGGGACTCTATTCTTTCTTTCTTACGTTCTAGTTTATTTGTATTGTATTGTTTTGTATTGTTTATTGTTCAACACTACACCAACAGCAGCAATCAAACACAACAATCAACACAATATTATTTTCGTTATATTTTAGTTAAGTTGTATATTATTTCTAGACCTTCGTTACTTATTATTTCTAGACTGTCGTTTTATTATTAACCCCCTCATGAACGGCTGCCTTGACGTGGCGAGGGGGCTTCTCACTAAATGCCGTTCAAGCTTCTCACTAAATGCCGTTCAAATTCTTAAAAATGCGATTCTCTGTCTTTTTCGTTGTTTCACTTTTAGCGCACTCTCAAACATGGGTTTTTATTATTATTATTATTAAATGAAAATTTATAAATCGCTTTTTAATAAAATCTCAAAAAGGTTACATTAGCATTTGCAACGAATTACCCATCCTATTTATTAAATTTTATTTGATGTTTTTTTAATCACTCAGGTCACAATCATCATCATCGAGAATGCAATGAAATCAAATTGAAAATTTTTTTAAATTTGAAAAACAGTATCTTTATTATTATTATGATTATTATTATTATTATCAACAATTTATTAAGCGCATTTTAAAATTGAAATTTCTCGAAAGCGCTCTATTATAAATGAAATCAGTGAAGGTCAATAAAGTACAAATCGATTAAGTATTTCTATGTCAAAATAAATATGTTTTTAAGTTCCTCTTAAAATCATCAAGCTTTAGTCCAGGCAGTCTGAGCGATTGCGGAAGACTGTTCCAGGCAATTGGTCCTGACACGGCAATATTTCTAGTTCATTTTATGATACTACTTTGTTCAGTAAGATACAGTTTGTTAAAAGCTATACAATTTCATAAGTCATACCACACCAGACAACACAACACCACATCACACCACACCACACGTCACCACACGTCACCACACGATGCCACACCACTCCACACCACACGACGCCACACCACACCACAACCATATACATATATACACAGCGCTTTTTAATTGTTGAAACTCAAAAGCGCTACTTAATCATAGACAAATAAGACGGACGTTCTTTGTGCAAATAAATAAGTTTTAAGCTGACTTTGAAATTGTAAATATTGTAGGTTAGGGTCACGTAAATAAGGAGATAAACCATTCCAAACAACCGGGCCGAGAACCGCAAAGTTGCGGGAACCCGTCGCTAACTTTGTAGTCGGGATAAAATATATATATATATATATATATAATTATATATATATATGTATATATATATATATATATTCATATATATCAAGCAGTTGAAAAACGTAAAAGATGTATTGACTTTCATTTTCAATATCATTCTAGCAGAAAAGAATTGAAAATGCCAGTAAGGCAAAAGGTTGTCAACAAATTATGATTTGTTAAAATTTGTTTGTCTCTTTTGCAGTGATCCAATGTTGTTTGTTGCTGATAGCTGGCAGCTGCTGCTTCCATTCCCAACGCATCATCCATCTGACAATGACATGCAAGCGCAAGTGACGCGCTTGCTGTCGTTGGTTGCATGTGTGTTATTTTCAACTCATCGTCGTCGTCTTTCTCTTCCTTTTCCGTTGGAGGTGGAGTATGAGCAAAGTGAGACAATGGGTAAATTACTGAAAGAGGGATGATGGATAGGTTTGCGAAAATAACATTTGTAAAGTTTCATGCGTTTTGTCATTCGTTGCGAAAGTTTGTTTAGAATCCATTTTTAATAGTGATTAATGAATGATTGATTTATAACAGAACATTTCAAAATTACGTTGTAATCTAACTTTTTGATAAGGGGTATTGAAAGCAAAAAAATTATGTGAGAAATGTTTTTTCTTTTAATAATGTTTTTTGTTTTAAAATTACTTATCTTTTTTAATTTTTTGATGTTTACATTTACATTTTGTCGTTCATTCTGCAGCAAAATAGATCTTTGATTCGTAAGGAGAAATTTTAAAAATTGAGAGTTTCATCATTTAACTTAGCAACTTTTCCACGTGGCAGGTTGATGTAACGTAACCATCGTCTCGTTTCTACCGTAGCCTCTGCTTTTTGTTTCTGATCCACAACTAATTACTAGTCAGTTAGTTAGTTGGGAGGGCTGTCTCATGATTTTTTAGTTCAAGTACTGATTTATCAAGTCAACACTAACTGAAGCTAGAAGTAAAAACTCACAAAAATTCCAGACTATTTTAATTTAATTTGAGGCTGTAAAGAAAGGCTGACTGAGGAGGTCAACAGAACAGGTCAGTCACTCATCTATCCATCCATCACCACCTTCACTCATCGTCTTCTTGCTTAGCTTAGTTTATCTTTATGTAAAATAAATCCAAGTAGATTTTTGCCAGCTTTAGATTTTTAGATTATTAAATTCACTTAATTAAATTAAATTATTAACAAACTATGAAAAGAATGTTGAAGAGATATATATGCTGTCTCTCCCTGACTCTCCTTCATCTGACACTGGCAGCCATCATTGATCAATCTCAAAACACCAGGGGCCCAGACAAAGTTAGTTCAATATTAATGAACGTATTATTTTTAATTTTGTATACATTTCCTGACATTGGATTTCATTTAAAATACTTTTATTTATAGGAAATATTATATTATTCACTAATATTTAAAAATAAAAATTTAAGTTTTTTTTTTGTTTATATTAAATTTATGTTAAAGAATCAATTATTCAACTTTTGATAACATTTAGAATCATGAGAAACACTTTGTAGAAGATGAACATGGACAACTCCACCACAACCCCCAGTTTGACAGGGAGGCGTTCTTAGGGAAAGAAAGTGCAAAATCATTTGATCAACTAACACCAGAAGAAAGCAAAGAAAAATTAAAGTCAGCTTTGATTTGCTGCCTTCATTTTTTACCATTATTGTTCTTATTTATAAAGTGTGATAATTTTTTAACGAGGATTATTTGCTTGCAATTTATTTGAAAATAACAGTTTTTATAACTTGATTCAGTCAATAAAACGTATTGTGTTGAGCTTTGATACATAGATAAACACAAATAAAAACATTTTTTATTGAACAGTGCAATCAAAATGGTTTGTAAGATAGAGATGCTATATTTCATGTTGTTCTTGCAGAGTGCTCACCTGGTGTGAATATTAGCTGTTAAAAACAAAAAATGACTATCAAACTCCATGCGTATTTTATGCATAGCTTGTGCTCGTGTGCAAAATGATTATATGTACATCCAGCAGCAAATCTTGGGGGTGGCAGTGCCCTTCAGTTGTGAGCATTATATGTGTTATAAACTAATACAATTCATATTTTCAACAAAGAGTAGGTTTTGGAGAAAAATAGACATTATAGGCCTATTATCAGAAAAGTTGGCCTCCTCAGTTAAAATGTTGGACCCCCGTTGTCAAAAAGTATTTTTCAAAATTTTCTAGATGCAATGCGCCACTGTGTACATCATGCGCTGTGCATGTGGCACAAGAGTTTTATCACATGGAATGATGCAGTAAGCAGTTTTCTGCATTTTCACAGCTGCATAATAAGGAACAAAAATTTACTAAAGCCATATTATACTGGTGTTATGAGTGTTACGTTTTGAAATTTAAACAGGTTGATTGTTGAGAAGATCGACACAGACAAGGATGGTTATGTAGACAAGGCTGAGTTAACAACTTGGATTGAGCACGCGGAACAGGTCTACATCAAAATGAACATCAACAAACAGTGGAAGGACTACCAGAGGACTGATGACTCCAACATCAAGTTGTCATGGAAACAGTACAAGGAGCGCATGTACGGGTCAGAAGATGCAGGTCCTTGTGTGGTTTCTTTTTGTTTGTGCAATCATATTTTTAATAAATTTTATCTTAATTGCTGACTGCTTCAAGTGGAATGTTTTGATACACAAAATATGCTACTAATGGCGGTGTCATAAAAGTTAGTTATTAGTAGTGATGATGTTTACTTAATGGTAACAAACTCTTGCAGTGCCCGACGTGATGGGCCTACCGAACGATTACAGAGAGATGCTGAGGAAAGATGAGAGGAGGTGGAAGCGGGCTGATGTCGACGGCGATGGCGAGCTCTCAAAGGATGAGTTCAAGGCATTTATTCATCCGGAAGAATTCCAACATACAGCGGATTTGGCTGGAATTGTGAGTTTAGTGATGATGGTGATGATGATAATGAAGATGGTGACGATGGGGCGAAAATGATAATGGTGAGAATGAAGTTGATGATTGTAAAAGTTTTTCTAATTACAGGAAACGATGGAAGATGTTGATAAGAACAAAGATGGCAAAGTGACTATTGAAGAATATATAGGTGAGGATTAAGTTTGACAGTAAAAAATATATAATTATTTTGCACTGCACATGACAAAAGATGTTGTTGTTGTTGTTGTTGCCCCTTCCGGGGGGCCCTCAGCATTCCAATCGAGGTCGGAGCCAATCCTCCACTGCAAGAGATTACACAATACAGTATATATTTGTCATCTTGAATTACAAATTACACATAACTGTTTCTATACTTCTTTGTAATTATGAACCGCATCAAATTTATTAAGGATTGCATGATATTACAATGATTGAACGCAGGTGATTTATGGCCTCGATCAACTGAGGAGGATGAAGACGATGAGGAGGAGCCAGACTGGGTGAGGAAGGAGAGAACATACTTTGCAGAGCACCGGGACCAAAATAAAGATGGCTTCATGGATTTGGAGGAGGTGCAGGAATGGATCAGTCCAAAGGATTTCAATAATGCTGCTGTTGAGTCGGAACACCTCATAAATGAGGCCGACCAAGACCAAGTAAGTTGTTATTGATGCGAATCTTCTTTTTGTAGGCAGAGAGATAAATTAGTTCAAGCTGTTCATGTTTTAAATCATGGAAAATTTTATTGTTTTAAGCTTTGTTGCATTAATTCTTTCATTTGATTTTTCATCTTGTTTGCTGTATTAAGTTGAAACTTGGGTGTTGAGGAGAGAGGAGGACTGAATGAGGACATTGAGACATTGATAAGGAGATCGAGATTGCGGTGGTATGGACATGTGTTGAGAAGGGATGAAAGGGTCGGGATTGGACGAGCATTGAAGTTCGAGGTTGAAGGAGTGATAGGAAGGGCTCGTCCGCGATTGGGATGGAGAGAGCAGGTGGAGAAGGACAGAGTGAAAGCGGGGTTGCGTGATACTGAGGGGAGTGAAAGATGTGAATGGCGTCGAGGGGCATTTCGGTTTCATCATAGGTAGCCAAACGGCAACCCCCGATCTCGGGGAAAATGTCGTCTAAATGTGTGTTGTTGTTGTATTAAGTTGGAACTTTTAAACTAACTCTACACGCGAACGCTCGCACGCACGCACACAATTTGCAGGATGGAAAATTGACAATGTCAGAAATATTGGACAATTACAGCATTTTTGTTGGCAGCCAGGCCACCGATTATGGAGAGGCTCTCGTCAGGCACGATGAATTCTAACCTTCACAACTATTATCATTCACTTTTCATTTAACATCCACTTTTGTTTATTCGCTTTGTTAGTTGTTCGTCCTCTAAATGTCCATTCATTTACTCATTGGTTATTCACTCCTTTATTTCATTCATATATTCGTCAATGTTTCTGTCTTGTGTTTGTTTCTTTGTTATCGTCTTTATGATTTTGTCAAAATTTTTGTTATCGTCATCATTATTTTTGTTGTTTTTGTTTCATTTCAGTTATTTAAATGATATTTTGATCTAACGGGCAACTGTGAATGAATAGATCGATGAATGAATGTTGAAGAGACGAAGAAACAATTGAATTATTAACCAATTAACCAAAACCCAACCAATTGTTGCCTTATTTTACGTCAGTATTATGATTTACTTTTTGTTTCTGATGTGTTCATATACATTCTCACACATCATTTGTTCATGTTTTATTATAGTTCAGCCCCTTAGTATTATATCATTTACCTTTTTAATAAATTTTACTTAATTTAACTTTTATTTCAACCTTTATTAATTTTAATCAAAAGGCCTTTTGTTTTTACATTTTCAACGACTATTTTTTTTATATTATTAAACATAGTTGATAGAGTTATTTGTTATTGCTGCATATTCATGAGTTACGTATGATCTTTACCAACGTACGATCTGAATGTTGCTCTCTGATGATTTGTGTTTTATTGAGGGGTTGTTCATGTGTTTTGTAACATCTTTGTGAAATAATATATATATATATATGTATATATATATAATTCAGATCGTCACAGTGATGCGATGAAATAATTTGAAAATGTAGCGAGTGAAATTCACTGAACGTCCTCATAAATTCATCTTGGATAATAAAGTGAGACAACCAGGGGCAGGCATATCAACCACGACGATCTCAAATCATCGTAGAAAAAATACTAAATATGCTGAAATATTATGCAAATGCTGGAAATAAATCAATTAAAAATAATTAAAATGAATAAAATATGACATTTAGTATTTTTCTTTGGTCTCATATAGTAGCCACGCTGATGCGAGATCGTGGTGCTTACAGGCCTTCCCTGATTTTATGTATATGGGAGCAACCAACAACTCATTTTTAAATCATTTCCAATGTGAACTCGATGATATAAAAGGATTTTGTTGGCTTTTTCATATCAAAACAGATTTGCCTCCTACATAAAAGTCCATGGCAGGGTACTGTCGCCGCAATCACATTTCCGTGTGTTTTAATCATCACGCAACCATTCTTGTTGTGATTGTCAGCGTTTACGTTAAAAATCGTAACTTCCTGTTTGCAACTTTTTAGTACAATATTTCGGTTATTTACACACTAAGAACAAAATGAAACTATTACATCCTACTAAATATAAGTGTACATGTTTGCCTGTCCTGCCTTGCTTGTACCAAGTAATTTTGCATAAATCTAGTAGTAATTTTGACATGACATTTTATATATGATTGTCAGCAGCTGAGATGTGATTCCCTTCCGTACACGCGTCGTTTGCTATCAATATTTAAGCATTGCATACTTTATATAATATATTAAATATTATGTGTATATTACAAGCTACTTATGAGGATAGATTATTTAACAATAAGAAGCTTGCAATTACAACGGGTCTGCTATAGAGACAGGCAGGCTTCATTAATTCATTCGTTGACAGCTAAATAAAGTTGCCTAAGAGTGGGTTAACATAAGCAGAACAATTCACATATAGATCTCAACTGAGCAGGGAACGTAATTTTTTTTAAATTTCGAAGCAAAATATCTCGAAAATATTCTAGACATATAGTTTAATCTATATATATATATATATATGCTAGACACTATTTAATTAGTTTATAAATTACAAAAAAGTTTTTGATACCTAACGTTCTTTCGAATGATAAAGACATTAGCTACATCATTGTCACAAGAAACTAGAATCTCAAATTAAGTAAAAAATGAACAAGATCTACGGTAATAACAACTTTCATGATAATTAATTTTTTAAATGTATTGTACCGTATTGATATATGATTCAGTAATTAATTTTTTGAAATAGCGATTAATACCTACACGTCAGTTAACCAAGTGTTATACATTTTTCCAGCTCAACCGCCGCAACAGGCTATCAGTTCATCTTACCCCTGTGAACATTTGGCAAGTTTCGCTCGCTCAGAACAATCAAATTTAACAGCTCAAGTTTGTTTATGATGTTATATATGATTCATTGGGGGATTTTGGCAATTATATTAACAATTTGATTGAAATCAACTGACTTTACATCATGTTTTGTTTATTAACTCATGAATTATGATCAAGAATCTGAATTTGTTTTAATAGGATTATATGGAAAAATTGAAAAGAATGGAGCAGACGTCGGGCGTGTGGACGATGAAGGTGCGTCTGGTCGTCATGCCAGGCTCAATAGATGTCGTTGATCCCAACAGCGGACATCTCGTCGAAAGGTGAGATGCATAATTGCTATTAATTATTATTTGCCAGTGTCATTTATTTTCAATTCTCGCACTATGGTTTTTTCAATATTGAAATCATTTTCTCCCGAAGCTTCCCAATGAGTTCTGTCAAAGATTTGGAAAGTGTATCTGCGTCGGTAGGCAGTGCACAAGGACGGGACGTCATTCTCTTCAGCACCTCCGACCAACAACTCCATGAGATGCATCTTTTCCAGACCGAGAAACCAGTTCGCTGATGTTTCAATGATTTAAAAAAATTAATTGTTTTAAAAGTGATGAATTCTTATTCTATTGAACGAATTTATTTATTGAAAATTTTATGAATTAATGAACTTTTTTCAAGGGGAACAATTTTGTGGCTGACGTTCAAGAGGCGAAGAGGAGTATAAATCCAATAAAGAGGTGTCAACATCATCATCGACATCATCATCATCCACCATCATCAATGTAATCATAAACATAATCACCGTCACCATCGTCATCACTATCTTGAACGTTATCCTTCAAATAAAAATAATTATACATAGATTGGTTAAGATATTTTATTATCTCCTGAAAATCAACAATAACAACACCAACAACATCAATAACATCAACAACATCACAGGAACAACAACAACCAAAACAAACCAGCACTAATATACCAGCCAGTACAAGATCTGTCATCATCAATTCTGGAAGGAAGTATAAGCTGCTGTGAAATTGTTATCATCATCGTCGTCATCATCGTCATCTGCTTATTCATCTTTTATCAATTATTATTTTTATATTCATCATCAGTGGCGGATAATAATTTTTCTATCCTTCTGCTTAAATCTATTTCTAATAATTGTTATGACTCGATAACTTGATTACAACAATATTTCAACGCTCTAATTGCGTCATAGCGAGCAGACTGCCACATAGTGGGAAGACTTTTTAAAGAAGACGAGTTAGACCCTTATTGATTGTAGAATTTCCCATCTGGCTGTAAACGCACCAAAAAAATATATACATGTTGAATTAACCAAAAAATTGCAAGCTTCTTCAAACGGTTCAACTGCATTTGTGGCAATCTAGACAGAAAAGCATTTATTTAAAATTGTACATTAATTTGAAAAAATTCACATAAAAATCAATGATGTTGAACCTTGATTTTTAAAGCCCATAGCCTTCAAAGTTTGCCGTCCAGGCGGTGCCTGTCTGGCCTCTGTTTAAATCCGCTACTGATCATTATTATAACTGTTCTTAACTTTTTCATTACATTTGCTTCATGTCATCACCTTAGTATTGTAGTTATTTTTTCATAGAACATACATCCATACCAAACTTCCCGAAATTGGAAACATTGAAGATGATGCCAGGAGGCCAGAGGGCGTCGGATGGTCCCGTCAGCAGGCAAGTGGTTAGTAATTTTGGATTCTGGTGACAATTATATTTTATTTATGGTGGTGGGTATGACAATGATGATGATGGTTATTTTAGTGATGAATTTTGTGGCAGTCGACTACATAACAACATCTGAATTCTCTACTCAGCAACTCTTGGACTACCTCTTCTCAGACATCCAAATGTTTGTCTCGCATTTGAACCAGATAGCTCAGGCATTTGAAAATAAAAGAAAGAGGATGACTGTAAGGTCGTCTGGCTTGGGAGGTTGGTTCCTATGGTTACAAGTTTTGCAAAGTTTTATATTTAAAAAAAAGAAAGATACCATTTTTTCATTATCATCTTCATCATAATTAAATTCATTTAATCCAACATCATTCACTTGAATTATTTGATAGATGGTCTGCTGAGTATGAGATGCAAACCCCCGCCTGCCAAAGATTTTTTTGATATCCTACAAAAGTTCAAACTTTCATTCATTCTCATTGTTAGTATTGTTAGAACATTTAAAAGCTTAACATAGGAACTTATTTATCTAATATGAATGTTGAAAAAGAAAGAATTAGCATCGAAAGAGGAAAAACGAGAGAAAAGAGAGCGAAAGTGAAAATTTTAGTCTGCCGGATTATTGTTTTATGACTTAATAAAATGAAAAATTAATTTGATTCACTCGTTTTATGACTTTCATCAACCGTGACGTACGTGACAGGCGAAACTGAAACAGAAGATATGCAAACCGAATGCACCTGAGCTTGTTCACTTCCTCTTCAAACCGCTCATGTTGGTGGTCAGTGCATGTTCGGACCCAAGAGAGGAATATTCTGAACTGGTGAGGCGTGTGGACAACCCCCTGATAACTGAAGAAGTTAGGAACTTGTTTGAAAACTGTCTCGATACGTCAGAAACTGAGACTTGGATCAAACTTGGTCCAGCTTGGAACTCAACGAGGTCAGATCAACCTATGCAACCTAATGATTCTTGATAATATTGCTCATAGAAAAATAGCATTAATTTTAAGTTTCTGATTTCTTTTTATTTAAAATTTTTAATATTAACGCCAAACACTTCATTGCCGCCATTTTCTTCCTCATCCCTTATCACGTTCCTCGCCATCGTATCCTCAACATCACACCGTCATCATCACATCACATCACCATTGTCACACCCCATCATCATCCAGCAAACAGTGGCCTGAAGAGCTACCTCTATACAGTCCCGTCTTCTTGAATGGGTGGTCACCACCTCTTGATTGGATGAGAGAAATTCTTCATGATTCCACTTCAGTTAGCTCATCATCATCTCCATCATCGTCGTCGTCATAACCAACACACATAAAACTGTTCTAGCATATCGTTTAAAAAGTATTTGGTTAAAGAAATTGTTAGAATGATGTTTGATGACTGGCACGTTTCTTTCTAATGTTCATCACCTCAGGCGAGGTCACAATCTCCACCAATGCAAACGAAAGAAAAGTTTTTGAAAGATCTTATTGCTAAGAATGCCAAGTGATTTAATATTCATTGCGATATATTGGTTCACTCTTTTATTAATCTACAATTTCATTCATTCACCGGTTTAATCGTTTATTCAATCTCATCATTTCATCCATCCATTCTGTTCATGAATTTATCCATTCTTTCAAATACTCTTTTATTCATTCTTTCATCCATCATAATTCATTTTTTTTGACATCCTGTAATGGCAATGTCTTAACTGAAAGAAAAACGTTTTTAATAATTGAAGTAATAACACTTTATTTTTAAATATAAAAATCAGAATCTACATCGTGAAGTCGTCTAAGGAGGCGGCCAATACGAAAGAACTTTCAATTGAAAAGTCTGAAATTGTAGAGGCCGTGGTTAGTTCATCTGATGAATCTGCTACTTGCTGACCACATAAATTTTCTCATTCATTCATTTATCCATTCACTAATTTATTTCGTTCATTTATTCATTTGTTCTTTTATTCAGTCCCTCACTTGTCATTTTCTCATTCGTCAATTCAATCCACTTAATGTTTAGTTCATGCTAGCTGTCATATTTGTTTTAACACTGTTAGATGGAAACTTCATTTAATTTATAAACTAGATTTGTGCTTTCAAGTTAATTGATAATTTCAGACGGCACCTGACTCAAAAAATTGGTGGAAGGTGAGAAATTACAAGTCCGAGTGTGGGTTCGTACCGAAGTCCCATTTGGAACGCTATATGCCTTCATGAACCACGACATTTTGCAGAGTTAAAAGTTGTTGCATAACTCGTTAAATTGTCGCAAGCTAACATTGCGGTGTAAAAATTCATCTTGATTTCTTTTAGTTACTATCTTATAAAAGAAAATATTTCAGTATGTTAAACACGAAATTGTAAAAAAAAATTGGTTTTGAAAGTTCAATCGTTTTATTGCCAGGTAAGCGGGCAGTTTTTTTTGTAAAAATTCATCAAAATTCTTCAAAAAACCAAGTAACTTATACTTTTCTACCGTAAGAATTACAAATAAAGATACTCATGAAAAAAATTTTATTTTTATAAATTTTACTGTTTGTTACAAGTTATCATGTTAACTTTAAGAAACAAACAAGTTTTATATTGAAATATGAACTAAAAAATATATTTGTATATATTTGCGCATAAAATGTCAGTTGATTTTAAAAGCTGGGTTGCTATCTTCTTTTGAAAGGATCAAACAATTTAGGATCTGTTACATATTTAGGATCTTTCATTTCATAAGGCATGTAACCTAAAATAAAAAATTTTTTTTATTTCCTTTATTTTTCCTTTATCGTTTCCTTAATTTTGACATGTTCCTAACCAAAGTATCTGCTTCGTTTGATGACCTTGGCAATCCTTTTCTGCATGAAAAGGCACAAGCCAGTGATACCTCGGTCATATATGCGGCCAGTGTGCGGCGATGTGAACTGGCTCAACAATCTCACATTCTGTGTGAGAGATTTGAAAATTTATCAAATTAAATAACTTAGATTTTATAATGGCATGTTGTATTGAAATATTTTAATAACCTTGTAGTCAAGTGGTATGTCGTGTTTGCATAAAATGCATCTTTCAGCAGGCTTCAGGAATGGGTTTTCCATGCTGACAACAGGCTACAAGAGCAGAATAACAAATTAATTATTTAATAATGAATTAATATTAATTTGTTTCATAAATTAGATTGAATGAAGAAACAGTATGGAGAGGAAAATATGAATGACTGACCACTAATGCAAACAAAAATTAAAGCACCATATCATCAAGAACATCTTCAGACAGCCTCCTTGCTTCACTTCCATCTTCACATTTCTTCATCTCTTTCAATTTCTCATTCTTATACTTGTCAACTACTTCTTTGTGTAATATAATCGAAGTCTTTTCATAAACATTTCGCTTCTGAACTGTACATTTTTGTTTATTAACTTTTTTAAGTTAAAAATTTAATTTGAAATTAAAAATGCTAAATGATATTAACCATCCTAATCATATCCAACTTAATGACATTTTCAAATGTTCTACATATAAAAAGCATAGCTTTTACCACTTAACAGTAAGATGCATACTGCATGCATCCTATAAGTTCAATTACGAGATGTCACACAGGCCAGGATGTTTATGGGTTCGAACTGGATCAATGCAGTATAGTTTGATAAATAAAATATGATAATCGATTTTGATATGATAAGAGTCAGTAAATAGTGACATTGAGACTGAGCTGATAGTTATAAAATTATTTATATAGTATAAATTTTATTATATTATATAGTATATAAATTATTTATTTATAGTAATAAATAATACTAGCTACTAATACTAGTACAACCAGTAAAGTAAGTCTTCAAAATTATATCAATTTCTACCTGTGATAAAATTTAAAAAAATATTCTTCGTTACAATTTTATTACTGAACATTTCAAGACAACTTTCAGTAAAAAGCTAACAAACGTTTAAAAACATTCAGTTTTGAGCTATTTCAGAAAATTAAAAAGTTTATTAAATTATTTTTATAAATAAAAAATAATTTTAAGTTTGAAATGATATATAATATAAATTTTGGGTTGGTTAGTGTCAGAGTTAGGATAAGGAGCTTTAGTTTTGAACAAACGTTTGTCGACTTAAGAACGAAGGTAATGCTCGAGACAGTTCGAACTCAGCGACGGTGAAGCATATGTAAAAGGCAGATTATGAAAAAACCGATTAAATAAAAAATATTTAAAGGTTTCATGAAATGAAAACTTATTAATTATTGATCCTTATTTATAACATTCTAACTGTATTGAAATTAAAAAATGTGCCAAACAAAAAAAAAGTTATTGAACTCCATTATCAAACCGTTTTATTATTACATCAATGATAACGAGAAAGTTAAAAAATTGCCAAAATTCCATTTATGTGTGCATTTCAAAAATACATAAACATTCTAATAGAAAATTTCACCTTCTAAAATATCATATAAAACAAAACTGTCTCCAGTTTTTTGCACACGCCAAAATATTGGATTGAACCCGTCACCTATACATATATAAATTTGAAAATTGCCAAAAATCCATTTATGTGCGCATTTCAAAAATATTAATTTATAATACCTCCAATAAGCCATTGTGTTTCACCGGACAAAAGCAATTTTTATATTCAAATTAACCAAAATAATTAATTACATTGTTTTAAACCTAATAAGTCAAATAAATATTTCATATTGCTTGTTCGTTAAAACTCATCATATATATATATATATATATATATATATATATATATATATATATATATATATATATATATATATAGAGGTGAGATCCAAAGCAGTCAAATAGCGACATAATCTCTATAGTGAAATCATCATGAGAAAGATTATAAGATCATCCGGGAATATCCATTGGATGTGTAAATATAAAATAAACAATATAAGATATGCTGATGATACAGCTCTTTTAGCAGATTCAATAGAAAAATTGCAAACAATTGTTTCCAAATTGTTTTTTGAAAGTGAAAAGAAAGGCTTGCAAATTAACATCAACAAAACAGAGTGCGTGATTATCAGTAAAAGCAAAACCACCCCGATCTGCTCCAAAATCATTAATGGTGAACAGGTGAAACAAGTCAACAGCTTCCATTATCTCGAAAGTCTGTTTAGCTAAGGTTGTAAATATGATGTGGATATCAAAAGAAGGATAGCTATAGCGAAAGATGCTTATTTTAAAATTAAAAACATTCTCGCCAACAGTAAAATCAGAATATCAACAAAATTGAACAGTAAGGGTGTTACATTTTTTCTGTGCTAACTTACGGCTCTGAGTTCTGAACAATTTCTAAAGAAATGGAAAAAGATTAATGCTGCTGAGATGTGGTCTTTGAAAAGGGTTGGGAAAAGGGTTATGAAAATTATTTGGACTTTAAATGAGGATGTATTAAAACAGTCCGGTTATGAAAAGAGGAAATCACTACAGATAAGTCGACGGGGGCCCGACCCCATCTCAATAGCCTTTTTAAATGTTTTTAACACGTCTTTTTTAAAAGATATGCAATATAATATTTAATCACGTATTTTTTGAAATACGGAGTAAAATAGAACGTTACTCATCGCATCGAGATGTTGTTTAATAATGAGAAAAAAAACTTTGAACACACCCTTTGAAAATGTCTATCATGGCGGAATCGATGTTTTGCTAGCGTTGTGGTGGCATGGTCTTTTTAGGTGCTAATTTAAGAATCTAAATTAGTTTTAGCTGACATTTAAAACTTAGCTAGACATTTTTCTTTAAAATTAGGTAAACAAATATTTGCCAAAATTTAAAAAATTAAGTAAATTTCGCAGAACTCTGATTCGTTTCTTCTTGTCATCTGTCACTGTCATCATATCTGTCTGTTGATCTGCTGCTGCATCTCCAACGGAAATCTTATTAAGATAAAATTGATAATAAAAAATTATTTTTCGTTCTGATTTGAAATTTGATGACGCACACCCGGAAAGAGATTGTAACCAGGGAAAGTTCATTTGATTTGATTAAATATTCTCATTGATTTCCCATATTTTAAGAAATGAGTGCAAGTAGTTGTAAGAAGCTGTTGGAGGCATCTGTTACTGATGCTTGCGACAGCTCCTCTGTCTCTACCACCACCACCACCACTGATAATAGTAATCAAGTTAAAGTTCTTAAAAGTGAAGAAGTGACACCAAGCATTGAAAGTGCAGATAAACCGACAGTTAGTAACGAATCCCCTGACAAAAGTTCAAATGTTGTGATTCCAAAGATTTTTGATAACAAAAATTTTGTTGAAGCTCCACTTCCTAACAAAAATCCTTGGACAGGCAAACAAATAATTAGTCAAAGCAAAGCTCAAGGTAATAACGATAAGGTGAAGACTACTACTAATTTATCTTTGGACTCCAAACAGCAAACTCGTAGGAGACTTTTTACTTATTTTAACGTTTTTGTTCTATTTATTAGATAGAGAATTTTTAATTTATTTTATCTTGTAAAATAATTATAATTTTTTTTTCTGTAATTACTTTTGCTTTAATCTAGAAATGGCCAAGCCATTGAAACATTGCAGAAAATATACTAAACCAAATTCCGAAAGCAAGGTAATTTCAAAATAATTCTTATTCTGTTTAAAATGTTGTTACCCAAAGCAAAATGTTTAATAAGTTAGTTATATGGCAATATGTTAAAAATTGTAAAAACAGCTTGAAGACTCAAGTAATTGGCCTGTGTTGCACAAGGGTGAACATGTTGTAAGTTATGTCTAACTTTATTATATTGAAATACTAATATTTTGCTTATTAAATACAATTTTATTACATTTTTTCTCATTTATAAGCCTTTGTTGTGTTTTTAAAATGTGTACTGGTTTAAAAAGGTTGAAAACTAAATGTTTATTTAAAATGAAATTGAAATTAAGACTAACAGAAAGAGTCAGGTGAAGGAAAAGCCACTGAATCAAGAAGAGGAGAAGCACTGCAATGAGATTGAAGACCCAGTAGCACCATCCACTAATCTAGCTTCAATTGAGTCAGGTGGAGATGATTCTGCTAAGGAAAATAAGGAAAATGTGAATGGCTCAGGAGATGTTGACAATAAGTTTTCTCTTAAAAAGAAAGGTTATTTTTTTTAAATTTTTTTCTGTGTATATTTCTTTTTTATTCATAAAGCTTCTAATTAGTTTTTCTATTTTCTTTTTATTAATTTATTCATTCATTAATCTATTCAGTCATTTTATTCACTCTTATGTTCATTCAGGATCAAAACCAAGATGGGTTCCCATGCCAATAGAAATGACAAGAGGAGGAAGAAGAAGGAATAACGTAGCTGGATCTTCTCGAAATAAGAAATCATGGTCTGGTAGTGGCCACTCGCAATCAGATGATCGTAGGAGGACCCAGCCCAACAGCAATCAGAATGCTGCTGTTGTTGATGATCATCATAATGACGATACTCGAAGCCACTGCAGAGTTGAACGAGTCAACAGAGGTGGCATCATGAAGAGAAGACTGACAACCAATAGCAACAAAGGGGGAAGTAGGTCAATGACCCGATTCAAGAAACCGACCAATGAGGAAGAAGCTGACTCTCAGGATCGGAGCAAGTCAGGTAGCGAACGTGCCTTCTTTGTTGGTGGGGATGAAAAGAGATGATGATTTTAATGATAGTGAAAATATATGGTGATGGTGATGATGATGGTGTTATCATGATGATTAATAATTATAACATGACAAAAAATAAGATGTGGTGTTGCATTTTTTTTGGAAGGAGCCAGTTTGTCAAACAGAAGACGTAACCAAAGATCAAACAGACGAAATCGATGGAGGATGAGAGGTTTTTATGCAAATCCTGAGCAAACGGCTTTCCAAGGTCCTTTCTTATACTACACCTCTTCTTTTTTTTCACATTATTATTATTATAATAATAATAATTATTAGTTCTTGCCATAATTATTGAGAGAGAGTGCATTTAGGAGTTTGATCATCTTATTTTATGAACTGATGCAATTATATACCTTGTTCAGCTGATCGTGTTGGATTGCTTGATTTTGCTGATGCTAGTTGATATTTGTGCAGATATGATGGTGACTGGTGGTGCTATTCCTATGTTCGGTACTGTTTACTTCAACCAAGCCGACAATACTGTGAAGAAGCAAATGTTAGTTTGTGTGTTTGTGTTCTTGCATGCGTATCTATGTTCAATGTCATTATGATAACCACACTGGACCATTCTCTACAGAGAATATTACTTTAGTGATGAAAATTTGGAGAAAGATTTCTTTCTTCGAAGGAAGATGGATAGGAATGGATGGATTGCCATTTCTCTCATTCTTTCATTCCCTCGAGTGCAAGCCTACTCAATGGACGATGCTACAATTATTCAAGTTTGTATCATCATTCTCATATCTTTAAGTTGTTATTTGTGTTGCAGTGGTTATTATTGTTGTTGATGTTGTTGTTGGCGGGGTCGATGATGTTTTTGATATGTGCTGTTGTGAATGTTGTTTCATCCTGACAGGTCATGGAGAATAGCAAAGTCGTTGAGATATCAGAAGATAAGTTGAGCATGAGGTCATTAGATAGACCGGAAAGATGGCCGATCGTTGGTACTGCTCCTAGCTCTTTTTCAAATTTAAAAGTTGATGTGCCCGAATTTGTCCCAAAGATTAAGTTAGGCGTAGAAGGTAAGTGGGAGGAGTTTTAATTGGTTGGTTGGTTGGCTGGCTGGCTGGTTCGAATGTTATTGTTTTGTGTTGCAGCTTTCTATTCATTCACCGTTTTTTTTTAATTGTATCATTAATGTATGCAGGCAGCTCGAATGAACCAGCCAGGGAGAAGAGATTGGAGACGAACAGAACGAACAGTGAAAGAGTCGATGATGGAGTTGGACATCCTCAAACAGCAAGAACAACATCAACAAATGCTTCTTCCCATTCTTATGATCATCAAGAACATCAAGATGAAAATGAAGGGAAAGAACGACCAAATCAGCAGCATGATAATGTTGACGAGGATGAGCATCTTGGCAAACAACCTCACCATTGTGGTCGTGATGAACATTTCCAAAACGAGTTTGACTACATCCTTCCTGTCTTGTCATCAAGCGCCCCCAGAACAGAGGCCGGATGGTCAGAGGTCGTGAAGAAAAGGTCTGCTGAGAAACCAAAGACCGTAAAAATTAAGGAGGAAAGAAAAGTTTGTTGTGTCAATCATCATTTTGATGATAACTATACTGATGTTGTTTGTGATGATGATAACATAAAAGAAAAATTTTGTTGAACCATTGAAAGGTGAGACTGGAGGACCCAGTTGAATTGGATTTCAAGTTTGATGAGGAACTTGATGAAGATAACTTTGCTACGTCTGGAAGGAGGAACACGTTTTCTGATCCGTGGTGGGTGTTGTCTCAAGCGTGTACGCAAGAAGGCATGCATTCCCCAGCTATCGAATATAATGTGCAAATACAATACGTTACAAATAATAAATTCTATAATAAATTTTGGATATAATTAATAACGTAGTTGATCTTTTTCTGCTTACAAAGGGGTTATTCGAAGTCAGACATAAATATACATGCTATGTTTACAGTATAGACATGAACTCGCAACCATCCAAAGCATAGACTTGCAATCATTCAAAGCACCAACTAATTAATTGAACAATCAACAATAATTAATTATACACGTATCAACCGCCATTGCAAAGCGTGCAGCTTGTCATTCTTCACTATCAGTTTGGAATACACGAACATGTCACCTTAGAGCCTGTATTTCACTGGCTACTTTAAAAAACACCGAAAACTCATTTCTTCAGAATTTGTCGTAGTTGCTAATAATATTCAAACAACATTATACCTATTTTTATATTGCTCTTTACGCTAATTATTTAAAATCGTTAAAAACAGTTAAGAAATAGTCATTAACTTTAAAAAGTAGTTTACTACAGTGGTCAACTACTTTTTGTGAGTAGTTAACTCATCATTGGTAGATAGTGATGATGATAATGATCGTAAGGACCGAGATAACTTGTTTTTGACAAATATAAATTTTTTCATCTTCAAATTTTCAAGATCGTTCATCAGAAATTTGTTTGTACACTTCAATATCTCAATGATTCACCTCCAATTCACCATTTACAAACAGGTCTGACGAGGATGATGATGAGGGGGACGAGATAGATGACACGTTCGTGAACAAGTTGTTGATTGTAACTCAGACACCACCGGCCGTTCGTAAGCATCCAGGCGGAGACAGGACAGGCGATTTCTTGCCTCGATCCAAGATGACTGCAGAGAATGCAAAGATCATAAATGAGGGACTCGTAACTTTTGAGCAAGAACAACTGCATGATAATTTTAAGGTTACTGGCTGATTCTTTTGTTTTTTTGTGCTTTCATTTCCTCTTTTTATTTAATTACTCTTCTGTTTATCTATTTGATTGTTTAACTGATTGTTTATTTCTAGGCAATCTAGTTAATAAGATAAATTACTTATTTAACATCAGGCAAGTCTCTTCCAACAGCACAAAACTCTGCAGATATTGCAAAAAGAAGATTTTGATATATTGACACGAACAGCTAACAAAACTGCAGCTGCTGGCAGCAGTGGCAGCAGCTGTAGTAGCAGTACAAATAATGCTGTTGCTGGTAATGGTGGTCATTTGGTTGCTCACGACAGCAAAAAAATTCGACCACCATCTCCTCCATCTTACAACTCCGGTTCAAAAAATTTGTTGTCTTTAATTGTTGAAATATTTTTTAACATTGTTTACGTTATGTATCTTTTTGTTTCATAGAATCTTTGATGGTATGGTTTGTTTTCCACATTTTAAAGGAGTTCAATTGAATTGCCTGCAATAGTTTCGTTTAATAGGATTAGTTTAGCTAACTTAATAAAATCCACTCATGGTTTGTTTTCTGCGAGTGACATTGAATGCAACTACGAATGCATGACTGGCGCAAATCCGTTATCTTTTTGCGCTCCAGTTCATTCATTCATCCATCCATCCATTCAGATTCACTCATCCATCTAGCTTTAAATTGAATCCTCATCTTATTCTGTCCACAAATTTTCAGAGAATTTTCCAGAAAACCTCAAAACTCCTGCAAAGCCGACGACATCAAGACAAATTTCAATAGGATTTCCGTCAACACACGCGTCCTTGGCATCATCGACGGCCAATGAAATTGCTCGATCGTTGCCGACAGAAATCCCCATACTTCCTGTTCCTGGCAACCCACCGAGGACACCAAAGACACCAAAGAGAGTGAACAATGATGATCCGAGGTTCTATCCCGTTGTGAAAGAAGCTGTCAAAGCTGATCTACAGGTGGTGATGATTGCGATTACGATGACGATGATTGTAGTGATGATGATTGTAAATTAAATTTATTTAATTCATAATTTTATTGTTATTTTGAATTTTACTTCATGTGCTTTGATTTAATATTTATTACGATTGAATCGGGTTGGGGTGGTCAGACACCGAGGAAGAAGAAGACCCGCCACAGTGAGAACCCACCCGTCGAGGGCCACGTCGGATGGGTCGTCGACTACAAACTCAAGAATGAAAGGAGTCATACGTCTGTTCTCTTTTCTTTCTTTTGCCAATTCACTATCATTTTCATTATCATCATCATCATCACTTTGATCATCATCACTATCGTCATCATTATCATCACTATCATCATCATTGTCCTGCTATCAAGAAATCAGCCAATCATGGTCGTATCTGCAGCGAGGATGCTTGTGGATAGATGTGAAGATTTTATTAACATGATGACGAATAATGATAATATGATAGTTCAAAAATGTGGCAGTGATGGTTCAAGCGGATGACGATGATGATGTCTTCAGACACACAGTAACAAAGACACTCAAAACCTATATAAGCAAACACATAAAACATGATCCGTATTGAACTCTGATGACGACAAATGATTGTCAAAAAATAACTTTTTATTAGAGATGAGAATCGAACCGAACTCGAATCCTACCTCCGACCGAACCCGAACTTTAAAACTGCCGATTACAAACTGAACCGAACGAACCTTACCAATGTTAAACGAACTGAATCGATATTTTGCAATGCATGTTTTGTTATTCTCGCATTTCTATAACGAATTGTGCGCGTTGCTTACCTTGCTTAAACTTTTCATAACGAGCAACCTCACATAACAATCCATGAAATTAATGTTAAAATACAGCCGTGTTCTATACCATTTAGTTTTTTGATGCGGCTATATAAGTCAACCGAACCCGAACTTTAGGTCTGCCCGAACCGAGCCCGAACTTCAAGGGGAAGGTTCGATTCCCATCTCTACTTTTTATGTTAGAATTTATCTATGCAAAAAATGAATAAACATTTTGTTTATGAACTGAACAAACTTGACGATGAACTGAAATTTGTTACACGAAAAATTGAAAATTTCAACTGCGTGTTGAACAATGCCTATTGCCTACAATGCTTTTTATTTAAAAACGGTTGTAACATGGCTTTGGCTAATGAGTTACTTGATGACTTGGACACGGCCATCATCTCTTCTACCTATTTTTTCTTTTGGAAGCAAATAAAATGTTTCGTATCGTATTATTACATAATAATAACGATAATGATGATGATGAGGAGGAGGAGGAGAAGGATGGCATTTAAGTAGAAACCTATGAAAGCTATAAATTAATTTCAATGCATGCCGTCTATAGAGTTTCAGAAAGCTTGTCAGTGGCGAGTGTAACGTTGGAACACCCATCCCACGAGCTACTGAAGGACAACAACTTCATCTGGCACAAGTACAATTCTTACCGAGCCAACTGCCTCAAGGGTTCGAGAAACTTTTCCTGTTCTTAAATATTTCAAACATTTATTATTAATAATGAGTTCAGTGGCTGGTCGAGGTTTCTGGTTGTAAATTTCTTTGCCTTGTGATATAAATACGTATTCTTGTTCTGCATAGATTATTTTGATAGAATTTGTTCTTTTCTTTATCTGACGGTGTTATGGTTAGAATGGAGAGAGGGTTTTGTGTAGTCTGAAGCGTGTTAACTCATTTCATTTGTACGAATAGATCGTCGGAAAGTTGGGATCGGGCAGTCCACAGAAATGAACACTCTTTTCAGGTTACCAGAGATATCTCAAATTATTTCTTATTCGAAGTTTTTAAATTTGATAAGTAAAGTGTGAGTGGATTGAATGAGAGGAGTGTCTATTGGTTATTAAAACACAAATACGAATGACGTAGTCAGCAACTGGTTGATAACTGATGATGCCAACAGGTTTTGGTCATTTTTTCTTCGTCACCACTTTCACCAAAAGATGTACGAGGAGTTCAGGCAACTTGCCATTGAGGATGCCAATGAAGGGTTCAGGTTGGTGTCAAAGTTGGTGATGCTGCTGCTGTTGATGATTTCGGTGATGATGGTGTTGGTGTTAATGTTGTTATAGCTACTACATACTTGTTGCTTGCATGCAGATATGGCTTGGAATGTCTCTTTCGGTTCTATAGTTATGGTTTGGAGAAAAGATTTCGACCTGACTTGTTTGAGCACTTCCAAGAGGAGACAATCAGCGATTATCAAAATGGTTCGTTCATCCATTCGTTCATTCTTTTTCTTATTCATTCATTTACTTCCATGTTTATTTGTTCTAATATTCAGTTGATATTTAATTTCAATTCTTTGGTTGTCAACGTTCGTCTAGGCCAGTTATATGGCCTGGAGAAGTTCTGGGCTTTCCTCAAATATTCAAGGAAGCATGTGCTGGTCGATGGCAGGTTGAAGGGTTGGCTCAGCAAGTATCAGAGACTGGAGGATTTCAGAGTTGAGGTGCTTTCTTCATCTTTCTTCCTTCACTCATTCTCTAATTAATTAATTTATCAATTAATTAATTAGTTTATTTGTTCGTACACGCGGGTTTGATAATTAAGGTTATTCTAACCGATGGCTAGCACGCTCACACACACACACACACAAACATCTCACCACCACCAGCCCCCTCTCGGTTCGGGGCCAGGCTTCCATCACAGCAGTCAAATGCAGCCTCATTTTTACTCGAACATGCCCCCTATGAATTATATGACCAGAGTCAGACAGGACTCGGAAAGGTTTATTTGTTCATTCATTCGTTCGTTTATTCATTCGCTCGTTCGCTCATTCATTTGTTCATTTTTGTGGTTCATTTTGTTTTTTAAAGAAAATTTTAAAAATATAAAATACACGTAAGTTTTTTCAGTAAACGAATTTTGTGACAAACATCATTGCCGTTCAGATCAGATTCATCAAAGAATAGAAGTGGCGACCAACATCACCAACAACATCAGATGCGAAGCTCTGCAAATGTCAGACCACACAGTGCCCGAGTTAAAGAGGCACAAAGACCACAACAAAAACAACAACATCAACAACAGAGGCAGCCAAAGAAACAACAACATCAGAAACAAACTAATGATGAAACAACAAATTATAAAAATAATGACAACATCAGCTCCTCAAAATATGATCATAAATCTTCTGGTGGGACTCTACCACCCAGATCGTCCAATGCTACAGCTGCTGTCACCACCACAACCACCACCAGCAGTAGTAGCGGCACTTCTATTGCAGACGCCTCAGAAAAAAATGTTGAAACTGTGAAGATGGAACTGCTAGTGGAGAGGAAGCCCAAGTTTCAACTGGCTGAGTTGGAAAAGAAAAATTGAGTGTATGAACCAATGAACGTATGAATGAATGCCCAAAAGATTGATGCTAGCAAATAATTAAATGATAGATAAAGAGTGAATGAATGAATGAATGAATGAATGAATGAATAAATGGATGGAAATGGATGGATGGATGATTGATTGATTGATTGATTGATTGATTGAATGAATGAATGAATGATTGTTTAATCACAACTTATTATTAATCAATCGTTTTTAATGGCATTGCAGCAGTGAATGTTCTGTTTTTTTTTCTTTTAATCTTCACGAATGGAGTTTAAAGGTATAATTTAATGATTAATCAGTTAAGTGAAGTAATTAATTTTTGAAAAGTTGAAATATTTATTATGTTATTTACAATTGAAATTGTTTTTTAACGTCCTTGCGTGATGTGTCTGGCAGCCACGTCATCAACCTGCGATGATTGTCTCAATGGGATGGCACGATCAACTAATCTACAGCAGTTGAATCCAAATAAAAACTCACCAGGGAAGTATTAGATAGATCACACATGTCCCTCACTTGTTTCTTGGATTTGAAGTGTTTGTAGATGATTATTATCAAATGATAGCTTGTCGGGGTGTTATTTAGCGAACGATAAATAGTTTGTAATTTCGACATTAACTTAAAAATTAATCAGTGCCTTTCAAAATTAAGTTCAGAGAGAATCAAGCAAGTCGTGTGGACTGATTCATTTATTTATTCATCCATCTTACATTGTAGCGTTTGATTCATGCTTTGCAAATTTGTCGGCAAATTTTTCGTCCGTTCACCCACTTTCACTCAATCTATTCATCCAATTTTTATTTTTTTAATCCGTTTATTTGATTATAAAGTTTTTAAATGGTTCAATTTGGTTTCTCTCGTTTGCCGTCAGCATTTTATGTAATCTTTAAACAACCTCTCCGCTGGAATAAACAAATTTTTGAAAATTTAAACTACATTTTTACATTTTTGGCTGTGAAGTTTGCGTCTCTGAATTCAATCCATTAACGATGAGCTGATTGTAAACGCTAAAATTAAATTTCAAGTCTCATGCTAATTAATTTTCAAAAAATGTCATGCTTTGTTAAAAGTTAAAGGAGACAAGAAGATATCTTACTTGCATCAAATATCTTGTGCAGGTACGATGTTCAAGTTGGTTGGATCTCGTTCCATCCACCGAACGACGTATCTTTGTGAATACGCTCGTACTGCATCCGTATCATCTCTCTTATTAACGAATCATCACGAGGCATACGTGCTACATACATCATAGCTGCTAACGCGTGATAGAATTTTGTGCGACTGTTGTCATTCAACGTACAAAATTATGATGTTATTAGTATCTTACCTGTTTTCTTCATATACTTATTCGGTTATTCAAGTATTTTCATTTGTCTCGTTCATGTAACATTAGGAACGATGGACACTTCACACTAAATTATAACATTTAAAAGATTATTTGATTGAGCGTAACATCGCGTATTTATGTTTATAACAGATTTAATGTTGAAGTCGGCTATATATATATATATATATAGTTTTAAAAACATTTTTTTGTCTTAGAGTTCAGCTCACAGTTTGATTGAATATGTCGCTATTAATAAATACTTAATATGAAAAATTGATTAAACGAGTTAGTGTTCTTGTACCAAACGACTTTTTCAATTTTATTTCTTGATAGCACGTGATTCAAATTTTTAAAAACATGCAACCGAATTTGAAACTGATGAAAATGATGATATTGTCATTACATCATCATTTTTACGTCATTATCGCATCAAAATCATCACCAACACTACAAATGTTCAGAAAAAGAAACTGATTTTTCATTCTTTCCCGATTCACTCACAGACTTGCACACAAACAAAAACACACACACACAACTAAATTTCTTTGTTTAAATTTTTTACAGGGCCACTTTGATGTTTCGATCTCTCAGTTTTTGGATGTAGTCTTCGAACATTTGCTGGCCTGTTGGGTCGGGAGGGTAGTAGTGGAGTGGCGGTCGACCTTCTCTCAAGCGCACAAAAAAATGTGAATACCTGTTTTTAGTATGTTATATTCAATTGTTCATTTAATTGAAAATTTATTTTTGTGCCCTACTCTTATCATCTTGTTCATAGTTTAAGAAGATTCTCGTTTTGCAGTTGACCAATCAACCTATCATCATCCATCCATCCATCAACTGATCAATTCATTTTCAACGAGCTAACGTGGGCAACATTTTAAGAGCAAATAAATAACAAGATGATATGAGCGATGAAGACCTCCGCCGACTGACCTGTACTCGATGACTCCGGGTTTTCGACGGGCATGCTTCCGCATCCCCTTCACTGTTTTTGCCTTCCCAACGAATGCCGTCTCTGATGGATGTTATTTGTTTATACATAAGCCGTCTTCACATGAATATTTTTTTAAGCAGCATAATTTTAAATGTTATAAATATTTGTTTCTATAAAAAAAACTCATTAACTCCTTCTGGAATGAGTAAAATATAAAAATATAATCTTAGCAAGATGAAATGAAACGCTGCAGGGTAATCAAAACTGATGACTACTTTCGTCGTAGAGTGATGCTGATAGTGTATTCGCTGTTAATTAATTTTATAAATAAAGATCAAGAGCCAACCAACCGATCCATAAGTTTGATTTATATTCAACATTGTGGTCTCTCACAGCTAGTTCTTGAGCTTCCAACAATATCTTAAATAATGTGGTGTTACAATAACTGCATTGTGAATGATATCTAGTTAAACGAAAGAGTGATGACGGTTGGTTGTAAGAGCAATCAAAATGTTGAAAGAAGACATGAATGAGTGAGTAAGTGGATGAACAAATGAATGAAAAGAAGAAGAGATAGAAAGAGATGAAGACCTCATTAACAATGGCAGCTCCCTTCCTCTCATAGAAAGACAGTTGCTTCACAGCCTCGTCTATTGACATGCCTCTAATCTAAATTGAACATTTGTATCATTTATAATCTGTGTCAATTTAAAACAATATTTAAAAAATAAATGAAATTTTTATTATAAATGGTGTCAAATTAAACTCTTTTTGAAGAAAGTTAATCTTCTTTATTGTTTACCATATGTGCAATGTACCACAACTTCTTTTGAGAGTATTTTATATTTGACCTTTGGTGCACTACCTCCTGCAGTTTTTCATTTTTTGACATTTAGACAGTAAAATAAAAATACAACATATTCACGTATTAATATATTTTAATAAAGTAAAGATTTTGTTTATGTTTGAAAATTTTATTGAATAAATTAACTAAAATACTTCAAAATGAAAACATACAGCAGGCCTATGGGGTTCATTAGGAGACAGAGGTGGGTACACAACATCATTGTATTTCAGCCAAATTTTTGGTTCCCCATGCACCTTGTATGACTTCTCCAAGGTGGTGCTTGTATGTAGCCATCTTGTGAAGACTGGAGGACATAGACGGGTTTCCAGATAATTGTTTATAATAGGCACATTTAACCTGTCATTTTAAAGTTTTTACTGTAAGGTATAAGATTTACTGAGTCTAATACTCTAATCAATGACATACTAATTCACTATGGGCTATGCCATGCTCTGGTAAGGCATGGCATTTGTATTGCAATTAGTTTTTTTTTTCAAATAGCTAATAAAAATAAATGTTAATAACATTTAATAGGGTTCACATGTTTGTTTCCTAAAACATTTGGTCCCTATTTGTTTGGATGGTTGGTTTTTAATTAGTTTGACGATTGCCTCTACAAACCTTACTAAACTGAAGAATAGAGAAAAAATACTGTCCTTCTCCATACTTACAGCTTGCAACCATAATCTACAATGGCGTTTAGACTGCCCTAAAAGCGGTTGGTCCTCAATTTAATCTTCAAATATAGAGAATGTCACTTACGTCTAGCTTAAAAGCCTAAAATAAAATTTTTAATTAAATCGATTTTTTGATGAAATTTTGACTAAAAAAACGATCAGAAATATTTTTTGTTTTAAAAGAAAAAATTAATAAATACTTTAACTTGCTGATCGAAGGATAAGAATTTCGTACAAATGCCTTTAAAAAATTCATAACTTTATTTTAATTATTTTAAGTTTGCCAAAATTATTTTGCAAATTTTACAATATGAACGTAAATTCACTTTTACTACCATTTAAATGTTTCCGACGGAGGACGACCAAAACTATTAAAAATTTAACCATAAATTTAACCTGTAAATTCACTTTTACACGTTTACCACTAACGTTGATATCTAAAATAAAAGGATCTTTATAGGTACCTGCTTGGAGCATATAAATTTCTCACTAAATTCGTCGATCTCAACTAAATTAACGTACATCTTACCAGTTTAGAAATTTACATTTTGACGTTTTTAAGTTTCAAATCAATGCAATTCTTGAAACATAATTTTATTGTACCGCCACTAATAAAAAGAGGTAAATTACAGCATTAAAAAATTAAATATACATTTTCTGGAAGCATTATTTTTTATAAAAGTTTTTCCTAGCTATCTCATCTTTTTCTTTTAACCCTGGTATCCTGTCATACAAAGATAATTTCAGATCTTCATCCCAGTCATTTTCTTCCCTAAGAAAGCCAAAATAAATGAGGAATATTGCAACACTGAAAGTGATGATGAGAGGCTGGTACCAGGGACTTGATCTTTTCTGTTTCACTAGAAATGTGTCAAATGAACTGTAAGAATGAGCTTTGCTGGAACTAAATTTAATAGGTTCATTATTTTCAGAGATTTTGTTGCTGCTGTTTCTTGTAGGTCCTAACCACAAGGACCTGCATTTACAAAATAATTTATATTATATATTTAAGTTTTAAAATATCCATACACATGCAGATTTTTCCATTATTTAATTATTATATAAAAAAATAATAAGTTTTAAAATATCCATACACATGCAGATTTTTCCATTATTTAATTATTATATAAAAAAATAATACAAAAAAGACACCTTATGTAACTTATGTAGCAAAATTCAATTTTCTTGACCAAAACTATTAAAAATTTAACCATAGGACAAGCCTACTATAAAATAAATGTACATGACATGATGATATTGTTTTTTTATATATGTTATACTTATAATAATTATAACTAGTTAATTTAATTAAAAGTTAATTTAAAATTATAAATACTTCTTCTTACTCTTGCCTGTTATTATGATGCTATCAACTTCATTATTTTCAAACAAACAAACAAACAAACCTTAGAAGAAAGGAATTGGCTATTGCAGGAGAGCCTAAAAACTTCCTGCCTGGACACGGTCCCGTCCCTATTCTTATTAATAATGCAGCAGACATGTTAAGTCAATTTTTGATTGGAAACAAAGAAATAAGTAATAGCAAAATGTAAAAATAGTAAAGAATTAAACAAAAAATTATATCAGAAGGTTTCCAAATGCAAATAAAAGAAGAATTGAAACACCAGTGACTAAGATTAGCTAGGTCTAACAACTTTGATAACTGCTCGTAAAATTATGGAAAACTAATGAATTCTAAAATGCCTAACATAAACGTCCATATACATCTGTATATATGATCACATAAATATATATAAATATATGAATATACATCGCATAATTCTTTTTGTTTCATTCTATACTGTTTCGTTATAGATATGATTATAGATATGATATATTGTCATTACATATATATTGATTTTAGAACGTGTTTTTGTGTTAGTACAAATTCCGTAACTACCCTATATGTAGTTGCTATTTTTTATTTAACATCTCTAGACTTTTTCAAGTTTGAATGAGATTCTGAACCCTGATTTTTAAAATATATTTTGCTTCGTCAGCACTTTTTCCACTCTTTCGTGTAGAATATTTCATGGATTTATTTTTAACTCTTCTGAAGTAATGATAAAAAATCTTTTTCATAAACTGCCTAAATTTATACTTCCTCTGGAACTATTAACTTTCTCTATCTCTGGTTGCTGGCGAAATTCAGAATCGGTTTGACAAGGCCCAGTTATTTGTTAATGAACTTTACGAAATTGATGCATTCGTTGAAATTTGAACAACTTATATACTGATTTTTTATTAAAACAATCACAATAATTACAATTTTTTAGGTTTTATGCAACACTGCACCCAAATTTTATTTTCGATTAAAAGATCTCACACAATATCGATGATGATGAAAAAATATTTAATGAAGATAAACTTAAAAATATTTAAATAATAATTACGTAAGTAGTTATACGAGAATTAAAGTCCCTATATCTTTGACTTGAAACATATAAATACGAAATATCCACATTAATATAATAATTTAAGAGTAATAAGGTTCGTTTAATAAATTTTATTTATCAGGACGTTTCACCTGCAAATGATTATAAAAAGTTTATTTTTTAAAGAATTTTTTTATAATGTATGTAACAAAAAAAGTCATCATTTAGAACTATAAGCAGATGTAATAAAAACGAAGGGACTGCTTACAATTATCGATAACAAATTTTTAAACAGGAATAACGTACATACTTGTAAAACTCTTCATTTAGTCTGAATCTGGATTAAAAATTAAATCATTATCACATGTTTAATAACAAACTATATTAAATTTTTACGAATTTAATTTTGGTAACAAGATGTTTAAATTGCAAAATGAATTTGAGAATGATTACTGACATGTGTGACTTTCTCTTTCGATTCTTGAAGTGATTGTTATCCCTCCTGCGCCTCCACCCTGAAGCCATTAAAATTACTATTCGTTTATTTGGAAGAATGCATCCCACGTTAAAATTTATCGCCAAAATTGTTAATATTATATTATCAACTGATCAATTTAACAGAAGAGAGATATTTGAATAATAATAATCGAGTGCTACGATAAGAAATGAAGTTGAAAACGTACCATTCCGTGAGTGGTGTGTGAGGATAGCGAAGAAGTTTTGTGGGGTCCACCAACGGCCACAACTCCACCGGATGCAGCAGCTCCTGGAGCTCCGCCTCTCGCCACGGACGTTGAGCTACGAGACTTGGCTCTCATCTTGGACACTGCATTCTCGGCTTGTTCTGCTCGCTCTTCAGATTCTTCCAAGTCATGTTGCACTTTTCTGTATTTAGCCAGGTTAACAGCAGCAATTTCTTCCTGTAAAACAAAAATAAAAAAGTTTTATGATGAAATTTGTTCTCGAAACGTTTTATTCAACAATTTTGCAGCAAGGTCGGAAAGTGAAAGAGTTAAGTAAAAATGATATACTCACAGCTTCTTCAATTTGTCTCTTGTATGTTTTGATCTTCTGTTGTAAGGCATCAATTTCGCTGACGTATCTTTCGTGAGCTTTGTGGTCTTCTTCAGCCTGAACTGCCAATTCTTTCAATCGTCTGTCTTGTTTCCTCAAGTTCTTATCTGATTCTGAGTATCTTCTCTGTTCATTTTCAAGCTCAACTTCCAATTCACGCACTCTCTGTTCCAGTTTTTGAATTGTCTTCTTACCTCCTTTAAGAGCGTTGGCTTCGGCTTCGTCCAATCTTTATTTATTTATAGTTTAAATTTTATGATACTTCAAAAATATCTACAACTAAAACTAATTTTTAATACTTAGAATTTAAAATTTTAGGACACAAATGATCACTGAGCAACTATTTCGTCAACATCATGGATGAATGTTATTTGTCCTTACCTAGCTTGGAGTTCTTTGACTTGAGATTCCAAAGCTTTTCTTAATTTTTCAATTTGGCTAGAGTGGTCTTGTTCGTTTTTGAGGTCGTCAGCTAACTTCATGGCTTCAGCGGCTGATCGTTTTGCGGCATCCTCTGCTGATCTCAATTCGTTTTGGGCGTCGTCAAGATCGGCCTTGAAATTTATATTTAAATTCATTCAAATATTGTACGTTTCAACTAAATAGAACATTATTATCATGTGTTGAATGATGCGGGAAATATTTATTTTATAATAACAAGGACGCGTTATTCGAAGAGCTATCAAGTTGAATTCTCATTATTCACGTACAAATTAATTCACTAACACTGATGGCTTGAATGTCGTTGTCGAGCTTCCTCTTCTGAGAAGCGATTGAAGACATCTGAGCAGAAATTTCTGAAACTCTGTCTGAAGCGTCATGCAATTCATTCTCAGCTGCTTTCCTCGCCCTCTCTGCCTGTTCCAATTGAGTTTTCAGTTCTTCATATTCGCCAGCCAACACTAATGATTTTCTTTCAGCGGCCATGAATTGTTCCTTGATATCTTCGCGGTTCCTCTGCTCAGATTCAAGGGCTTCTTGCAGTTCGCGAATTTGTTGTTGATACTTTTTGAGGTTCTTTTCAGCATCAGCACGACCTCTGTTGGCTCCGTCGACGGCAACTTCCAACTCGTTAATATCTTGCTCCAACTTCTTCTTGCTTCTTAACGCTTCGGCCTTGCCTCTTGCTTCGGCTTCCAAACTGGCTTGCATGGATTCCAAGGCTCGTTGGTGGTTTTTACTAAAATTTTATTTTGATTTAGTAAAAAGTGATTGTTAGTAATTTTGAACATCGAATACAAAATGAATTTCGAAAGAACATTCGCGTTTATCGGTTGCTAATTGAAATTTTAATATTTTTGGATTTATTAGAAAGTGATTGTTAGTAATTTTGAACAGCGAATAAAAAAAGAATTTTGAACAAGGAATCGTATTTACCGAGTGCTGTCGAATTCTTCTTCTTTTTCAGCCAGTCTCCTGTCAATGTCTTGTTTAACTGAAGCCAATTCAAGTTGAGCTCTGGCTACTTTGGCTTCTTCCTGTTCAAGAGCACTTTCAGCTTCTTCCAGAGCAGCTTGCAGCTCCTCCTTCTCCAACTCCAAACGCCTTCTTGCCTTATCCATCTCATGTACATTTTTCCCTCCCTCGCCAAGCTGCTCAGTCAGATCGTGGATTTCATCTGGAAAATTTAAAAAAGCGGTTATTCATTTTGTGTTATTGGATTAATTAAAAAATTACACAAACGATACCTAACGAATGCTCATGTTAAAAATATAAAAAAATATTTTAACATTTCAAATTAAACTTTAATAATATCAATATTTAAAAAAATTATTTTAAACCAGTCAGGTTCTTGTTTTCTCTCCTGACAGCCTCAGTCGTTTCGCTGGCTTCCTCCAGTTGAGCTTTCAAGCGGTACACGTCGGCAGCAACAGTTCTCTGGTCTTTCTGTGACTTTTCAAGTTCTGCTTGCAATTCGGCTACTTTCTTTTTCCATTCATCAACAACCTTGTCGAACGATTTCTGTCTCTTTTCAGCTTGGCTTGCGACTGAGGAACACTGTTCATAATAATTTTGTAACGGTACATTCAACGTGAAATTATACTCAACGATATTAGCATAGTTCAATTTCTAAGAAAAAAAACGCTTACTCTTTCTAATTCAATTGTGACATCTTCGAGTTCAGCTCTCATCCTCTGGTTGGCCTTTTCAAGACTGGCGACTTTCTGTTGAGCAGTCTCAAGTTGACCTTCAGCATCAGCAACCTTGGCGTTGAGTTTTCTTTTGAGTTCTTCCAACTCTTCTCTGCCGGCACCTCCCTCGCCACTTTCGCATTTTTGTTTCCATGACTGAGCCTCTTGTTGAGCTTTCTGGATGAGACGCTGAGAATCAGAACGAGCGCCTTGTTCCTCTTCTAGTTGTTCTCTCAATTGCTCAAGATCGGCCTAAATGTTGTTAAACATCAGCTTTATAATTGTCAAAATCATTTAAAATATAAATGTTACTATGAGGATAATATTAATTTTAAATGTTTATTAACGAATGCGCCAAATCCTTCAACGATTAAATCATTCACCAAGTTACCTGCAAGTTGCGGACTTCGCTTTGTGCTTTGACTCTCAAGCGATTTTCTTCCTCCATGCCTCCTTTAGCTTCCTCAAGAGATTTCGCCAACATCTGTTTAGCTTTAGCCAGTTGACTCAACTGGCTTTCAGCTTCTTCCAATTTTTTCAAAAGATCGGTGCTTTCAGCTGAGGCTTTTGCTTTCTGGGCATTGAGCTCTTGTGCTTCGCGAAGGGCTTGTTCTAATTTCATGTTCAGCTCACTGACCTGGGCTTCCAATTGTTTGCCAATTTTGTCTGAGTTGCTGCGTCCCTTGTTTACGTGGTCAAGTTGAGATCTCAAATCATCAACTTCAGATTTCAATGCTTGTTTCTCTTTTTCTACTTTTTGTTTGTTTTTTTGAGCGTGGTCCAATTGTTCGGCCAACTCGCTGACAGCATCTTGCTGCTTCTTGCGTGCGGCCGCCAGCTGAGTTTCGGCTTGCAAGTGGGCCTCCTCGATGTCACGTCTCAATTTTTGCAACTCGGCTTCACGTTTCTTGTTGACTTCAACTTGAGCTTGTGTGGCCCCGCCAGCTTCATCGAGTCGCTGGCTCAGGTCGTCCAATTCACGTTGCAGTTCAACACGTTGTTTCTCAACCTGTATTTTCAATATGTTTTACGTTCTTTAAGTTAGTTCTACGATTTTAAAATTGGTTTTCGCAGATGCAAAAAATGTAATTGTTAAAAATTTGAATAATAGAATGATGAAGACCTTTGATCTGGCAGCACGTTCAGCTTCCAATTCTTCTTCCAGTTCACCAATGCGAGCCTGTTGTTCTTTGATCTTCTTCTGAAGTTGAGCAACTAAGCTCTGTTCGCTCTCCAGTTTGGAATTTAAATTGTTGATGTCGGCATCTTTCCTTTAACAATTGAAAACTACATTATTGGTTGCATTAACGCCAAGCGTCAAATGAATTTTGCCACGTACAAAATTATCATCATCAACATCATCATCATCGTCATCATATGTTAACAAAATTTTAGCAATTGGACGCTAACAAACAAAAAAGTTACTGAAACGCGTACTTTCTGTTTCCATCTTCAAGTTCTCGTTTCATTCTTTCAAGTTCCTCAACCGTTTCTTGCGTTTGTTTCAGGTCTGATTCAAGTTTTCTCTTCGCCTTTTCGACATCGGCTCTTACTTTTTTCTCTCTTTCCAAGTTTTCTTCTTTCTATTTTTTAACAAGCAAACAAATTGTATAGCTATATTTATTAAAGGAATAAATTTGCTTGAGAATTTCTAAGTGAAACTAATTTAATTAAAACTTTATAGCTTGCCTCGTCAATGGTAGCTTCAAGTTTCTGCTTCAGTTTGTTGAGATGGTTAACTTTATCTTCTTCTGCTTGCAGATCAGCTTGAGTTTTTTTGATTGTATCTTCGAGCGCTTTTTTATCTTTTTGCAATTTGGCAACATTTTCATCTCCTTTGGCGAGTTCTTCGTTCAACGTTCTAATTTGGTTATCTTTTGTTTGTTTTTCTTGCTCTGCTTTCTGTAGATTTGCCTCGAGGTTTTCAATTTGTTTTTTCTGCTCTTGGCTCTTTTCTTCTAGCATCCTTTTCTTCTCGAGAAGTTCTTCAGATCCTCCTTCTAATTCTTTGATCCTCTCTTCGGCTTCTTTCAAGTCGGCATCTAATTCTCCCTTCTGGTTTACCAAGAGAGCCATTTTTTCTTCAAGATCGGACATTGTATCACCACCAGCTTGCAATTGCAAGAAGTAATCGTTTTTCTGCTTCGTCAATTCGGCGTTGGCTTCTTCCAAAGCTTTCTTTTGAGCAGAAATTTTTTCAAGTTCCTTCTTGGTGTTTTCTAATTCTTCGGCTTGTTTTTTCATGTCGTCTTCAGCTCTGGCTTGAGTGAGGAGAGGCTTAACTCTGGTGTAAAGTTTCCACCACTGCCAATTTCTCATGGACATCCATCTTCTGATGTTGCGCTGAATGACGCTCAATGCAACTCTGTTCAGATTATAATTAACAATAACGTTTTTAAAAATGTAGAATAATTTAAATTAATCACCACAACACAAATAATCATCAAAGTATTGACAATCAAAAGAACAGAATATAAAATTAAAAAATAATAAAAAACCTCTGGTCACAGAGTTTTGTGTAATTCTTTCTGATGAGGTAGCCCCTGATGCGAGCTTGGAAGTTAGAGATAATCTTTGAAAGAGTTTCATCTCTCATCTCTTCAAGCTGACCGAGAATACCTGCCTTAAAGAAAACTTTTGTGTGACCGATACGATAGGTGTCGCCGATGTTCAACGAGGCAAGAATCTTTTCCGACGCAACTTTTCCGTCAACGAATCCAGCTGGGATGGCGTTGGGAGCCAGGATTGAGTATCTACGCAGAGAACGCATTTTTAGTAGAGTTTATTGTACTATTAGCTGAGAAAATAACATAAACGAAATAATAAAAAATTAACTCCGATCATGAGATAGAGAGCAGTTACCTTTGCTTAAATTCGGAGTAGACCATCCTGTTCGGGAAACCTTTACGACAGATCCTGATGCCTTCCAACACACCGTTACATTGCAACTGGTGCAAAACCAACTCCGCTTCCAAGACACCTAATTTCATTTAAAACATCGTGTGCCAATAATTATAAGACACGACACTTGTCGCTTTCAAAATAATATAATGAATGTATTTCTAATTTAATTTAAATTTTTAGAAATAAAATCAAATAAATGAAAAAATTCGCGAGTTTTTGATGACACTAATTGAATTTGAAGTTTACAAAATGAAAGTTACTGATTGATAATCAGAAATTGATGATAGATTATTTGAAATCCTATCTTCCAACATTCATTCCAACACACACATGCATGCACTGGCAAGAAAAGGGCAAACCTGGTTTTTTCTGTTCATTGGGAATGAGACATCTGACGAATGATGGATGAGTTGTCTTTAATGTGGCCATCAATTTTGCCAGTTGTTCCTAAAATTGTTCAAAGTTTTAAGTTCATTTCAATAATTTTTAAACCATTCTGTAGTAAAATTACATTTTAACAAATAGCTTATTGTCCATTAAAATTGAAATTTCATCATCAACCAACTCTGTGAGTGGCGGAAATAGTCTGGTAGGCTGAACCCTTCTTCTTCTTTTTTCCACCGCTCTCTTCATATCAAATTATCAATTTCAAGTGAATAAAATCATTCATAATAATTCAAAATAATTTCAGAGGGTTTGAAATTAATTAAAAATATATGAAACGGATGAAAATAAATAAAAAAAATAAACTGCTCACCATCTTCTGGCTCCTTGAAGAAGTGGGAGACGAGGGGCTCTTTGGACTGCTGCATCAACTCAACAACGCACTCCTGGATGGGGTCCTTGTTTTTGTCCAACCAGCCATTGCAGTTGTATTGCACCTGGGCGATTAGTTCATCCATTATACAATCAGTCGATCAATCAATCAATCAATCAATCAATCAATCAATCAATCAATCAATCAATCAATCAATCAATCAATCAATCAATCAATCAATCAATCAATCAATCAACCAATCAATCAATCAATCCACATAAATCATTAGGTAATAATAATTTATTCATTCGCTTGTTGATATCGATTCAACTAATAAGTTCGATCTGCGCTGAATGAATTCATTGTTTATTTTCCTGCTACGCATTCTTCATTTGGAGTGTAAGAATTTTGAAAAGGGCAACTCACAGTGCCGGCGTAATGGTAGATCTCAAAGTGTGGCTCATATTTGGCGTTCTTTTGTGGTTTCGGCTTGCCGAAGTTCTTTGATTTCTTTTCGTGATTCTCGTACAACTTGGCCAAGAAAGTTTTGTCGGAGGCTTTGGGGAACATACATTCCTCCTCAAGGATGGACAAGATGCCCATGGGCTGGGGGTGGGTGGGTTTGAGGAGAAAATCATTTGTCAGTCGAATAAATATTTATATAAATAAAAATCAAAAAATTTACACACTAACTTAAATTTTAATAGAATAAAATAAAATAGAATAGAATTTAATAAAATAGAAAAAATTTAATAGAATAAAATAGAATAGAATTTTAATAAAAACAGAAAAAAATAAAATATTTACGGATGAAAATAAAACATTAAATAGTTAATGATAGTTGTAAACGTTAAAAGAGGAGAAGGCAGGCAACCTTCTCGATGAGGTTGATACATTCCTCAAGATCCATGCCGAAGTCAATGAACTCCCACTGAATGCCTTCTTTCTTGTATTCTTCCTGCTCCAACACGAACATGTGATGGTTGAAGAACTGTTGCAGACGTTCGTTCGTGTAGTTGATGCACAACTGCTCGAAGGTGTTGTACTGTCGAAGGAGTGCCAAGGGGAATTGTTTATATTTGGAATTTTAAAATGATGAGAAGGAAAGATGGGGAAGATGAGTGATGGGGAAAAGAAACGATTGTAAAAATTGTGAAAATATGAAAGGAGCAAACTTCGAAAATTTCGAATCCTGCAATATCTAGGACACCGATGAAGTACTGCCTCTTGGTCTTCGTGTCCAAAGTCTTGTTGACCCTGGCAATGAGCCACTTGAACATTCTGTCGTACATGGCTTTTGCGAGAGCAGCCACTGCGTACACCACTTGGTCCTTGCTCTGACCCTTCGTCACGTACTCCGATCCAACCTTCACCCTAGGGGTCAGCAGGCATTTCAACATGTCCGAACAGTTCAACCCCAGCAGGAAGGCTACTTTCTCTGCCTCTATTAAAGGAAATATTTAAAGTTTATTTAACGTGGAAAATTCAAAGTTTTATAAGATACAATTCAAAAGGACAGATTTTTGAAATATTTTAAAATTTTAATATAATTAACATGTTGAATGGATGAAAAAATGTGTGCAGATAAATAAGCTGAGTAAGTAGAAACCTGCAGTTCCTTCGGCCTCAGCTTGCTCCTCTCTCGGTCTCTGCTTGAACTTCATCTCACCGAAGTGCATGACGGCAGTTGTGCACTTGTACAAGGCATACTTCTCGGCCACCTCGTCGAATCCAAGAACTTTGAAGGAGTCCTGGATTAATTAATTAATTAATTAATTTATTTATTTATTTCCACATTCGTTCAATTACTTTTCCATTGATTAATTAATTAATTTATTTATTTATTTATTCGGTAACAAATAAACTTAACAACTGTCAATAATATAATAAATGAATGAATAAATGAATGAATGAATGAATAAATGAATGAACGAACGAACGAACGAATGAATGAATGATGAATGAATGAATGAATGAATGAATGAATGAATGAATGAATGAATGAATGAATGAATGAATGATGGTATCATAAAGTTTAGAGAATAAAGTTAACGGTGATAATTGTGATAATTGAATGGCGATTGAATGTCGCTGCAGGCAGGCGGGCCACACCACACCGACCTCAACGAGCTGCATCTCCTCCTTGTCGTCGATGCTGTCGACAGTGAGGCAGCCCTGATTAATGTAGAAGTAGAGGCCCGGGTCCATCTGCACCAACAACTTCTCTGCAGGGTTCATTGTATTGCTATTTGAGTTTGCACAATTTAATATTTGCCTATGCATGTCTAGGTGTATATAAGCAAGCATGTTAGTATCGATGGATTGGTGGGCGTACAAACGAACTAGGTGGATGTTTGTGTGGGCACAGCAAAGTAAACACAAACACGTTTGAATTTTTTGAATAGAAATGAGCACAGGGTATGAAGTTTTGTACGTACCGGCGTAGGCAGGGACTTGGTTACTTAGCAGGAAGTAGAAGATGTGGTAGTTCCTCTCCAAGCCAGGCTGCTGGTAGGTCACACGGGACTTCTCCAACAAATCTTCATTCAACGAATTTCATATTCATGCTCGTTTCATTAATTACATTTAATCATTGATCGCTCGGCAATTCGTTTAGAGCAAAATTAGAAGAAGTCGTTAATTTTAATCAGGAGGATGAAAATTTCAAATTATAAACAGCTAAACATGCAGTTCAAATAATGAATGGATAAATGAATGAATGAACAAACAAATGAACAAACAAACGAATGAACAAGCAAACATACAAATGAACGAACGAACGAACAAACGTATGAATGAAAAATAACTAACAGCTCTCAATATCAGCTCCGGCAATTTTTCCGTTGCTTCCGAAATGAATACGAACAAATTTACCCTGATGGATTGATGGATGGATGAGTGGATGAATGAGTGGATTAGTAGGTAGGTAGGAAGTTAGTAAGTAGGCAGAATAATATCTATACTAACGAAACGTGAAGAGTTGTTGTTCCTGACAGTTTTGGCGTTACCGTAGGCTTCCAAGACGGGGTTGGTCTGCACAATCTGGTCTTCAAGCGAACCCTTAGACTGTAATTATTATCATTCATTGTTCAATGTTAACTTTTTGATATTTCAAATTTTACAATCTAGTTTTAAATCAAAATTTGTATTGAGCGCGACTTTCAAATAAATACAATTTGCAAAAGCTTTTTTATACATAAAGGGCCCAAGGCACGATTCAGGTTTGTTCAGGCTCGCCTCTGCAGGCCTGCTTTGCAAAGATATGCCAGAGCATGTGTGCTATTCTAATTCTGATTCTTCAAAAATTTGGCCAGAACTGAACGGAACGTGTGCAGTCAAACTGTGAAGTTTTAAACAACTTGGGTCCCTGCATTCCTGTGGTTAGTCCAGCTGCTGGCTACACAACAAAAAAATGTTGACCTGTGCTCCGGAAGCTGCTTCTTCTTTCTTCTGTGAGGCGGCCGCAATGAGAGCGAAGTACGAGATGACCTTCTTCGTGTTCTCCGTTTTTCCGGCACCAGACTCTCCACTGGTTGGTTGCATGAAACGATCGTTCATGTTCGTTCACGTTCATTCATGTTCATTCATGTTCATTCACGTTCATTCACGTTCATTCATGTTCATTCATGTATATTCACTTTTGCACTCATTTATTCACAAGTTTAAAATGAAAAATTATTTCATTCACAATTCTGGCATGAATAGTTTTTGTTTTACAAATTAGTTGAGCCGTGTTAACAACGAAATAATTTGGCACTTACGTAATGAGGATGGACTGGTTCTCACGGTCTGAGATGAATAAATTATTAGAGACGATAGATAAATTGTAATTAACGAAGTAGCAACGCAACCAACATTATCAAACAAACGAACGAACGAACGAACAAACGAACGAACAAGCGAACCAACGACAACAAAACCATTACGAACCGACAGTCATGTTTCTGTAAGCGTTGTCAGCAATGGAGAAAAGATGGGGTGGCATTTCGTTCCTCCTCTTCCCCTGGTATTTGCTGACGACGTTGGGGGTGTAGATAGGGAGACGACGGTAGGGATTGATGACCACGCAGAAGAGACCTGAGTATGTCTGTGTGTGTGTGTGTGGTGTGTGTGTGTATGTGTGTGTGGTGTGTGTGATTCGGTCGTCCTTTTATTTCATTGGTGCTTGGTTATTAGTTGGTTGGTTTGTCAGGTTATTTTTGCTGTCAGTAACGATAGTTCAAGAAGTTCTTCATAGAAAAACAATTGAAAGAACATTGGAAGAAATAGATGAAAAATTTTAAAAATAAAAGGAGTTGAGTTGACTAACATAGATGTACCCGTTGGTGTAACGGGATCTCAAGTTGTGGAGCACAGAAGCCTCGTTCAAGTAGGTCATGTTGGCCATGTCCTCAACCATGAAGAACTTGGGAGGGTTCATTTGTTGAATCTGGTCTTTCTTGAAAGTCTTCTCCTGATTGGTTGGGTGAGTGGGTGGTTGTTTGGTTAGCTGCTGGTTTTTACTGGTTGAATTTTGGTTGGTTTTTATTGGTTGGTTGAATTGTGGTTGATTGATTTTTATTGGTTGGCCGGTTGAATAGAGGTTGGTAGATTGATTTGAGTATTAATTGAATAGTTAGTTATGTTTTTAGTTTGATGGTTGATCCATCCATCCATCCATCCATCTACGTACAAACCTCCATGGATTCAGTGGTGACTGTGACCTCTTCACCTTTGGTGGCGGAGATGTTTGCCTTGATGTAGCCTGCATTAGGAAAGGGTTTAGAGGAATATGGTGAATCGTGGATGGGGTTTGGTGAATGGTGTAAATTATTGAAAAAATAACAAGTTTAACAGATGAAAAACATGAAGGCGAAAAAATAACCCAACAAACATTTTGGAGAAGCTTCAAACACGCAACCAAAAATAATCCAAAAATGTCAATTTGACTTTCGCAATCAAATATAAAACGAAACAAATGATGAGATAGCGAGGAAAGAGAAATAGGAACAGATAGAGAGGCAAATAATAAAGGATATATATCATAAACAAAAAATATGATATAAAACGTTTGCAAATCATCTGCAGTGAAATTAAATAAGAAGATAGGTAAGGGAGATTTGAAGCAGCTGACCTTCCTTATGGTCAGGCACCCAGCAGGATGTCTTCGCATCAAATGGTTTGTTCTGCTCCTCCAGCATCTTCTTCACATCCCTCGCCAGGAACTGAAAGTCTGGGTCTCCTTCAAACGGGTTGTTCATCATACTCATGGTTGCGCTGTTTTTATTGGTCGCACGTCAAAAAATATAAAAATAACGACGAATTTGATTGATCGAGAACACTTTAAAGTGGTGATTGTGATGCCGAAATGTTTTTTTCTGTTTTGAAGATCAAAAATTTCACGAAGGAGGATCTATCCTGGTCTAAAAAAGAGAAGAGACTAAGAAGAACCTGCAATAATTGTAAAAATAGTATTGTTATTTAAGTTATTGTAATTAATTTATACGTCCTATAGCTTGCACAGGCTGCTGCTATTGTAAGACTACCCCCAGACCAATGTATTAATTATAATTTTCTTATCAGTACAAGCTTAGTTGTTGAAATGTTCCTCCGTAGCACAAAATTTTGAAAATATTTGAACCGATCGATCGCTAATTTAACCTTACATTAAAACATTTTTCGATAGTTGCACGTTATTAAATCATTAATAAACACTAATTTATGCAAATCTATTAATTTATGCAGAAATGAGCCGGAGGTCGAAGCAAGGTTAGGCTCTTAAGTGATTAATTCGATCCTTGGATAGAAAATTCAACAGCAAGTGCAACAAAAATGAGCAATAATTCAATAAAAGATTGTAGTTTAATTAATTTCAAATGATAAAAACCAGAAATTGAAGCAATTTGATGGAGAAATGAGTTGAATGAAACTTAAAAAATGAAATGCTGAACATCTTTCTAACCTGAGAATCGATTCCTTTCTGTTGTTAGTTAGGCAGGACGAGCATTTTATATAAGAAGCATCTCTTACCTCACCACATCTGCACGGCGTTGCAACACATCGCTTACAACAAACAAACTCTGCTTCATTCATCCACACAACCTTTCATCCATCCATCCAGCCTTCCATCTTCTCAATAGAATAAGCAACAGCAACAAACATACAAACACGCTACGTACCCACCAACATCATCATCACCACCACATTCATCTTCATCTTCGTCTTCATTTTTTTCTTGCTCGTTGAAACTTTCTTGTAGCAGACAACAACATAACTTCTCTGCCTGCAATGCTATGCTCTCCCGTGCATAATGTTTATACAATTGCTTTTTTTATGTGTGTTTGCGTGTGTGTGAATGTTTGTGTATATGTACATATTTGCTCGTGTAATGTACACATGCAAAAGATTTTGTGTATATAAAAATATGTGAACGAATATGTGATATTTTACAGCTAACAAAAAATATATCGCATACACACAATGAACATACTTACATACATACATACATATATACATACATACATACATACATACATACATACATACATACATACATACATACATACATACATACATACATACATACATACATACATACATACATACATACATACATACATACATACATGCATACATACATACATACATACATACATACAAACAAACAAACAAACAAGCAAACAAACATACATACATACACTACTGAATCGATGTTCCAACTGTTGAGTCTTTGATCAGATATTCCTGCACTATGGAATATTTCCACGTTGGTAAAAGAAATTATGAGAACTGGCAATCAAATCCAGAATGTTCATTCAAATTTTAGGTTGACTTATTTATCAGGTGTTTATCAGAGGAGGGTCGTTGTATGTCATTCAACTCGCAAAAGCTAAACGAATGCAAAACTCAGTTGCCTCCAGTTCCTTAATTCTAACCCTCTATACACACACACATGTAAATATATATACCTACATGCGTTACATACATTCATATTTACATCCATCCATAGAAAAATACATGCAAATTTTGACGCATGTACGTAAAGTACATGCCCAGCTGTACACAAATTTTCATACAACAGGTTGAACTAAACATCCGTACACAATATTTTTTTTATATTAAATGAGTGTATTTCAATGGCTTGATAAATAATTCGAATGTAAAAGTTGTTGTTGGATGAACATGTTGAACTGGCTACAAACATTTAAAAGATGGTGCCGAACTAAATGTTGACGGATGGATGAATGGATGAATGAATGAATGAATGAATGGATGGAGGGATAGATGGAGGCATAGATGGATTAGTGACTGAATGGTTATATTCACATTGGATATAAATTTTATGTGCCTAATACACGTGCCCGAAAGTTTTTGTACACTTTAAAATCATGGTCATACACAATCATATCATATACATACATATATATATATATATATATATATATATATATATATATATATATATATATGCACACACACATACAAAGATACACACACATACAAGGACACACACAAACACACACACGCAAACATATCAGACAATTAATGGTTAGTTAAAACCATTAAAAACAATCTCCATTAATAAATCTCCAATTTTTATACAAAAAATAAGACTTGCATACATACCATTATACGTACATACATACATCATACACATACACACACAAGTACATATGCTATACACAAACATACATACTAGAGCTTTACTTAAAGGATAAATTGTTATATAGATTTATATAGGTTTATATAGAATTATATAGGATTATATAAAGTTATATAGGATTATATATTAAAAGGATAAAAAAAAATATTTCATATTTTTATATATTTTTTTATATTTTTTTAAAAACGTTTTTAAACTTATTATATAAACTTATATATTAGTTTATATAGAATTATATAGAATTATATAGAGTTATATAAGATTATATATTATATATTAAAAGAATAAAAAAATATAAAGTTGTATAGGGTTATTATATAGTTATTAAGAATTATATAAAGTTGCATAAAGTTGTATAGATTTATACAGAGTTATATACAATACAATTTATGTATAAGGTTATATTGAGTTATATAGAGTTATATAAATATCAATCAATCAAACAAACAGTTAGTTTATAAAGCGCTCTGTCGTCCGCGATGTTCAACAGCGCTCCTTAATGAATTTTGCAAACAGATGGGTCTTGTACATACAAACAAACAAACAAACAATCAAACAAACAACCAAAAACACACATTCATACTAAACCACAGAAGAAATGGTGATGGTGGTGAGGTGATGTTAAAAAATGTTTGTGAGGAGGATGGTAGATGGGCGATGATGACGACAACGATGCGCGGATGAATTTTGATTTATAACATTCAGAGAGATGTTTGATAGATACAACTTGTTCTTAGAGAAATTGTGTAATGAGGTGATGATGGTGACGATGATGAAATGATGGAGATGATGATGAGGAAACTTGACAAGAATGAAGATGATGACGTTGATAATTACGATGAAATGAAAAAATAATACCATATATGGCCATGATGAAAATATGAAAATTGTATTTAGTTGTACGTGAATAATGAACGCGTTGATGACGATTAGGTCGAGAACGATGATAAACCTCATCATCACCTCCACCCTCGCCATCATCATCATTTTCATCTTCACCACCACCACCATCTTCTCTTTCTTCTTCATCATTTAAGCACGCGAAAGAAAGGGTTTTTTCTTACAATTAAAACTTGTTATGGTTGCAGTTTGTGGCGATATCCTCTTCCTCCAATTTTTACTGCTCGGATTGATTCGAGGTTCTTCAGATTAGTGAAAGTTCAAAAACTTTATCAAACTCTTTCTAAAAGTATGCAATACCTAAAGATTTGCAAGAAATTATCTGTAGCATTCAAATCCTATTCAGACATGCATGTATACACAGAAACAAAAAAACACACACACACACACGTACATATATATGCGTATAAAAATACACACGCAAGCAATATCAAACAGCTAAAGTTCTCTGCACCTTTAAAAATCTATCGCATCAATAGAAAGAAAGCAAGCTGTATATTCTCTCTAACTAATCTACTAACAAACATCTCAAGTGCATATACAAACACATACCTACCTACATACATACATATTACACATACAAAGAACATACAAACATATGCACAGGCTGTATATACACGTGTTTATATGCTTACGAAAATAGAGACAACATGAATCAAACTCTAGTAACGTATGAATCTAATACACCTAGAAAGAAGAGGCTCCAACACATATTGTACGGACATACATTTTAAGATACAAATATTCTTTTTCCCGTACCCGAGACTGATAAATTTGAATTAAATTTGAATTTGTCAACCAAATAAAACCATTATCTTCATTGCAAATGCTATATAAGGAACATTTCACTAGCTGATGACCTGACTGGGGGGGTTCGTATAGGGACGTCCAGGTGCTATATTGAATGAAGCGAAAAGATTACAAACGTGCCAGTTAATCATAGACATGAAACTAATGAGAACTGGAACGAACAACATAAATATATATATAATGTTTAGTGCCTACAAAACTGAGGAAAATATAATAAACGGATCGTAGATATTAATGTTAAAATTATATATATAAATGACACAGATAATAGATAAATGAAAACTTCGCAATATTATTGGAACAATAGAAAATTATTTCTGGTTTTAAAGTACAGTTGCATCAACGAACCAGACTGCTTTTGGAAGAGAAGCCAACAAGCATTACATACACTTCACTGAATAAGTCGATGGAATACACTGCCGGTAGAACTTTGGCAAGGGGGTTTACGAATCCCTTTTCTTTCATGGATTTTCAAGCCTGTCGATATAATCTTGTACATACATTCGTGAACATGAATGCCCAGGAAATAAAGGACCATGTGTTATGTATTTGCGCGCAACACATACCTTGTTAATTATTACATCTTGCATGTACTACATACACGAATCAATTGAACATAACTTACTGATTAAATGTTCTAAAAACAAAATTGTTGTTTTCGTTTCTTATCTTTCTTTCGATGCAGTTGAACGTACAGAATAAAAGTATAAAGGTTCAGCTGTGTAGAACATACGAAGATGCTGCACTGGGTGAACGTGACGTAACCTATGCTACAAGGAGCGTGTAAACTACTGCCACTTTAAACATTTTCATTTAATCTTTGATACAATTTTAAATCACAGTAACAACTAACCTCATTAACTGACATCAGATTACTCATTTTGAACCACGACTCATTAGGAACGACGCAAACATACCGGATATGACACGGCAGACGTAAAGCCTACCTGAGAACCATCGCTAACGAGGAAAAGAACTTGAACGTACTGGCATTATTGTTCTAACTCAGGGGTGGGCAAACTACGGCCAGCGAAGCTATTTCGACCTTGGTTCGCCAAAAAAGGTCGCCAGCCAGACATTATGACAAAAAAAGGAGCCAAAAATCTGAAAAAATTCTCCCCCGGGTCGAAAAAAATTTGCTATTTACAAACATATGCAGCCCTTCAAAGGTAAAATAGTTCTCAATGCAAAAAGTTTGCCCGCCCCTGTTCTAACTAGTCACTAAATAAACGAACTAACATGAGCTGCGAACTAATAAATAATGAGAACATTCAAGAAACACAAAGACCAAAACTAAACAGAATTAACAATTGATTGATTGAGAGCAATTGAAATATAATTTAGCGACATTATGATCACCGATCAGACTGGCGTTCATTCATCAAATGTTCATTCATTCATTCATAATAAAGTCGTTGATACTCCTTCTTATATAACAAACATTTAACAAAAAATTTAATAATAAATAATTTATTCATCTAAATTGGATAGGACTGATTCGGAGGCCTATTGTATCTTTCCCAATTCCTGTGGCCTGCGTGTTTTTATGTTTCGATTTCGATTTATCTAAGCTTTAAATTAGCCATCATTATATTGATTCCGTTCTTTCTTTCACAGATTTCATCCAAACATAACTACACTTTCAAATGACAACTGTCTTTCAAACAACAACACACACACACAGACATACCTTGGTGACCCTGCATATTTGACCTTTGAACTGTGGTAGGTAGCAAGCACCACTGAGCGGACACTTAACAACTGGCTTGCCTCTGATTATTGTTTTTGAATTGAAGTGAATTTAATCAAACGTGATATGACGAGTAATTAATAATGAAGAATCGTATCTCCTTCTACCAACTAACTAACAAGAGATAGATTAGAGGAATTAACATGAAGAACATTCATCACTGATTTCCTCATTAAAATCCCCACAAACAACGACGAAAGATAGAGACCTGTATATAGGAACGTAAGAAGCTGCACAAATATCGAATGGATTGTGCTCATCATATTTCAACTCATGTGCATCTGTCGGAGTTTTTTCACAGGCTGCCAAGATCTTTCTCGTCTGTCATCAGCATCACCATCATCATGGCGGGTAGAAACATGATGAGGATGGCGAGGAAGAAGATAATGTTAGTGGAGATTAATGGTGATGTGATGAAAACGAATATGATAAAAATGCCGATAATGAAAAATTTAGACAATTCAATTAAGTTTATTGATCACAGTCCATCCCTACTCTAATTATTACCTGCTGAGCAACTTCAGGTTTCGGACCCAGATCGAGCAGACGTCTGGCGAAAGAGGCAGCCATTTTGTAATTTTTCAACTTGAACATGAGGTTAAGTGCGGTTCTCAGGGTTAGGACCATGTGCACTGGCTGCAAGTTGCAGTGCGTGAAGTAGGCAGCCAACTGAGGATGAAGTGATGATGGAGGAGGTGTGATGTTACGAGCTGATGATGGTGGTGACGATGTTGTTGTGAGGTGATGAAATGAAGCAGACCAAATATACAACGTTTTTGATATGGTAATTAAATAAAACAACTTCATTTCTCCTCTTATCGTCATTTCTTTATCAATATTCTTATCCCCATCACAATAATCATTTAACAATCACATCATCACATTGTGACATCCTCCTATCCTCACGAACTTCACAATTCCTTTTCTGATCATCCAGTGTTTCCTTCGGCAGCTCCTTCCTTTCCAGTTCCATGCATAAGCCAACAAGGTATTCACGGCATATCTCCAACATTTGCTGAGCCTGTCACGATTAAGATGATGAAGATGACGAAGATGATGAAGATGAAGATGATAGCAGAGATCATCTGCAGCATACTTCTGATATGTCCTGCTTCTTGTCAACAACTAAGAGTGGAATGGATAACAAGATGGAACGAAATTTGTCGATGGCATCTGCAAACTTGCCTGATTGGATGTGTGGTCGGTTGGTGAAATGATAAGTTGGTGGATTGAACAATTGATGGTCTCACTGATAGTCAGTCGGTTTTTCAAATAATCAATCAATCAATAAATTTTGAGATAAATTGAGATAAATGAACATTTAGAGAGTTAACAATAAGTTAATCATTCATTCCAACAAGTGAACCAATCCAGATCCATCCATCCATCCATCGAACCTTGTGTGGTCAGCTGATAAGCACTTTGTAACCTCTGCACTAGGTCATTCAGTTTCAAACCAACAGCTGGCACCCCTGCTTTCGCTCCTGCTTCTTTCCTGCACCATCATCATCACCACCACCATCATCAATCATAACAGCAATCATCCTCATTATAACCACCACCACCAACACAAAAACTAGCAGCACAACCAACTGACCAATTCCTATGGAGATGTGTGGTGAGAGGTGCGAGTGACGGGCAGGCCAGGTGATAACTCCGCCCCCTCATGAATGTCTGCAGGAAGATCTCCTTGTAAGCCTGGAAATCCACCACACCAACTTGGTCGTGAAGCAACTGGCAGGGATGGTGAATGTTATGATGATGAAACCTTACTTGATGATGACGATGATGAAACTTCTGATGATGATGATGACGACGATGGTGAAACTTTACATGATGATTGTGAAGGTAGGTGAAATACGATTGATGTACATAGAGTGCACCTACCCTCATTGCAGTTTCAAATGAGCCGGCCAGGATGTGATCCACAGGCAGTTGTGAGTTGTTGCACCAGTTCTGCTCAATAAATTTATCACGAAATCAAATAATAAAATTATACGTTAAACATTAACAGAGCAACGAATTTTAGAAACTAAAAAAAAAGACTAACCGCTGATTGGCTAACTCCTTTAGTGGGGGGTAGATAGACTCCACTCTCCATCCCTCCTCCAATTGGTCCAATTTCCTTCAGTGATGTTGAAATACATTTCAAATTAAAATTACAAAAAATAAACCTTCAAAGTATCAAAAACTTCATTCCTATTTCGTGACATGAGACGACAGTTAACTGACCAATCCAGCAGGAAGTTCGAGGTCATCATCTTCCACATCCCAGCCACCTCCGGCGCCGCTGGTCCCTGCCCCAGCTTCATCCGCATGTCTGTCCTCCTTCGCTAACACGTAGCCATCTGATGGTCGTCGTGTCGTGTGAAAATTAATTACTTCTCAACCAGAGAATCACAGCAGCAATAAACGTCTGAACACGACACAGGAGGGCGCAAGACAACGCAGCAGAACAAACCTTCATCGATGACGACATCATCTTCGCCCCAGCCGGGCCCGGCTTCCCCGACGTCTTCATCACCGGTGTACACGATGTGTCCTCCGACAGCTAGATCATTAAGAATTAGGAAGCACGTAAATTATCATCGCGCCATTACATTCACTACAATGACAACAGAACCTTCTTTGGTGAGGGTCGGATCGAAGAATATTCCCTTAGCAACAGTAAGGAGAGGCCAGTTAGTTTCCTGCTGCATGATTGGAGCCGGGGGCCTCAAGTGGTGTGCTCGTGGGTCAACATCGGGCAAGCTCTCTTTCTCGGGGTCAAAAGTCAACGATAATTGTTCGGTTTCCTCGGTCAGGCCGTGCGTAGCTGCCGTCATGTAGGCCAGAGATCCTGCGACGATGTTGATGATGGCGACGATGAAGAAAATGATGGACATTGTAACGAAGGTAGTCATGCTGGTGAATGACAAAAGACAGATGGCAACATACTCTGCCCACAGTTCTTCAGTATCTTGACCCTTTCTTGCACATCTCCCAGGTACAGAGCTGTTTGGAACTGACCACTCAAATCTTTTCTTATCTCAGCTGGTGTCATAAATTATTTACCAATGAATGAATGAATAAAAAAATACAAAAGCAGACAATACAAAACAACTTCTCACCAATCTTCATCATCTTCCTCAGTTTCTCCAAATTGCCAGTGATCAGATAAAGAAAGCACAACTTGTCAAAATTTTTCGTTCTTTGGTAGGCCATCTCAACAACTTGATGGTTGCCAAGCAGCAGGGCAGCCTCTCCTAACTTGTCCCAACAATCCTTGTCGTTCAGAGTTTTTGCTGCCTCCAAAGCAATCTAAAGGGTGACGACGCGACGACGAAGATGATAAAATGTATATGATGGAAAAAAATATATAAAAAAATACTGTGATATGATAAACTTGATTGTGGAAGTAAAGAATATTGAAGGCAGTAAAGTTTCAAACACATTGATGCGGCTACAAAGAGACGACTGATAAAGATAACATCAATGATAAAGATGATGTCAAGAGAAGAAGAGGTGTGTATGTAGGATGATGACCTCGATGTTGCCACATTCAAGAGCCAGTCCAAATCTTGTCTTCTCATCTTTAACAAAGTGAAGTGCCACCTATATAAAATTGAGGGTAACTTCAACTAACTTGAAAGCATAACAAGCATCAACAGGTTAAATAACTGAATGAATGAATGAATGAATGAATGAATGAATGAATGAATGAGCTGACCTCTGGGTAGCCCTTCTTCTGGAGGTAAGCAATGATGGATTGACCGACAAGTTTGGCATTTTTCACCATGTGCAACACCTGTCATCAACATAAACATTCATCACGACACGCGCATCAAATCGACATAGTGTCTCTGCAACAACCAGCGCGAAAACCACTTGATCGCAAGCAACATCAACCGCCTCGCCTAGCGACATCTCACCTCATCATATTTCTTATTGATGAGAGCCAACTTGAACTTGTACTCGGTAGAATCGATGCCAAGCACCCTCGTTCTGCACTCGCGGTCCAGGCAGTAGATGCTGTTGCCCTTGATGCGAGTTATGTAGATGGGCAGATCCAGAGTTCGTATGATGCCGTAGTCACTGCAACAACAACAACAAAATCAGCGGTGACATCAATGAAACAACATTATTGATGTTGTAATTATTGCTGTATGATAGGAAGCACAGACCCATTAGTAAGAGCGTATTTGATGTGGTTGCTGGTCGTGTAGATGAAGACACCATTCTCATCCCAGGCTCCACTCTTCACACGGACCGTCTCGTGCATGGTACACAGACTCTCAAGTTTCTTGTTGCAGATATGAATGTCTGTAGGGATGTGTTGAGTGGACTTCTTGCCGTTCAGTTTTCGTTTGTGTTGATGTGTTTGCATGTACATGTACAAAAATGAATAAGCCATCAACTCACCAATGAATCAACCCATTAATCAATCAATCGATCAATATTTCTACCAATTAATCCATCCATCTATCCACCCATCCATTCCTCATTTGAAGGACTTACGATGTTTAGAAACAGTCGCAAAATGTGACATGTCAGCCGACCAGAAGACGTGTTTCACTTTCGGAGCTTTCATACTGCCTAGCACCCTGAATGATGGCCATTATTTAATTTCTTAATCACCTTAATTACTGTCACAATCGCAATTATCTTCATCGATAACATCATAACTATCCATTGAAAGTTCCATTGTAATCAGTCTTTTACTATTACTAATTTGTTCAGAAAATTCAAACAAACAACTAGGCAGACAGACAGACAGACAGACAGACAGACAGTCAGGCAGATAGACAGACAGATAGATAGACAGATAGACAAGAGACCTCTTTTGTTGCACATCATAAAGTACGATTCCATCAGCATCTTTCAAGAGCAGACATCCAGTGCCCGCGTAGAAGATATCATCACAGCTGGGGACCTGAATCTTTTTCGTTATCTCATTCTTCAAGTTTTTCACTACCACCTGCAAAACAATATTATCACGACGACTCCACTTATGATATAAACCCATGCAGAAGGATAAAAATTAATGATACAAAATTATAGCAAGCAAGCAAGCAAGCAAGCAAGCAGGGTTCTTAGTGCCGAGCATTTCCAATACTGGCGGCAATAATGCTGCTACATTTATTGAGCAGTAGTGACATGAAAAGCAGTGCAACTGCTAATTTTGAATTGGAAAAATGTTTTCTTCAGATCATGCAAATATATAATTAATGATCTTTCAATTTGAGAATCTTTGATTGGATTGCGCTGTTTTCTTTCTGTATCTGTTAATTTTCCTTTTCTTCTGCTAAGTGAGAACTTGGGAGGTTCTATCTTCGTTGCATCCTCTGGTTTTTATAAACTTTAGTTCGAGGTTTTAACTTTGATGTGTGGTTTAACCACGTGGTTGTTGTAAGTCTGCAACAGGCAGCTTTGATGAAGACGGCCTACTCAGCGCCAAACACGAGATTTTTTTATTTAAAGAATACAAAAATTATGCATGTAATAATATTTCTTGTCATCAGTATCAACATTTTGTGAGTTTGTTTTTAGACAATCTAGTTCTAGTTCATTCTCAAAGCGACAACAGCAAAGAAAAAATCTTTCAATACAAGACAAAAGTAGAACTTTTTACAAGTGACATTAACAACCCTGCAAGCAATAAAAACAACGCAGCTCAACAACAAAAGATAGCGATAACACAAACAGTATGTGATCTGTCGAGTACGGCAAATCTGTTCCTGGCCACCCACACTGCTGCCACGCCTGCTGACCTCTTGCTCTCCGGGGCTGTCAATCAATCGGTGGTGAGTGAATGAATGAATGAGTGAAACAATCAATCAATCAATCAAAGAAACTGACCATCAGGATTTTGCGAGTCTGAATCTTTTGGGATGGTGTACAAATCATAGGTGCTGTTTTCTAAATTAGCAGCTCTCTGGTTAATGATTGTCATGATGGTGCGACGTTATGGTGATGCGATGATGTCTACAGTAACAATGATATTGAACGTTATGGTGATAATGATGATAATAGCGCAGATGATGAAAATAATGACAGCAAGCAAACAAGCAAACGAACGAACGAACAAACGAACGAACGAACGAACAGTGGTTAGTAGGATGGCGTTCTCAGCTGGATTGTAGGACATGGAATATATTGGAACTTTCCCACTCCTGCTTCCACAATAAATATTAACTAGAGATATAACAAGATCACAACAACACAAACAAATGCGAGCAAACACATACAAACATATTCAGGCAAACAGATACAAACAAGAGGTACAAACAAAAATATAGAGACACAAAGAAAGCAACCCTCTGAGCTGCATGACTGCCACGTCTTTGGAGGTGTTGAAGTCCAACTTCCTCAGATACTTCTCCTTAATGTAGTAGAGAATGTTCTGGTGCACTGCAAACGCGGGTCTCTCACGTTCCAATTTGAAGATGATCATGCCACTGTCGTGTCCTGTTTGTCGTGTGGTGTGTGGCGATGTGTGGTTGGTGGTGTGTGGCGATGTGTGGTTGGTGGTGTGTGGCGATGTGTGGTTGGTGGTGTGTGGCGATGTGTGGTGGTGTGATGTCGTGTGGTGGTGCGTCAGTTCTTCAACATTCTGCTGTCAGTGTGGTTCAAGAAAAGCACATATTTCTAGGGAAAAGAGCACAATAGGTGTACAAGGATACAAGCAGACAAACATGCATACAAATACAAGTAGAGAAAAATCATAGGAACCCGCAGCAAAGAGATTGAGTGTCGGATGAGCACCAAGTACCCAGAATCTGTCATGCTCACGTCGGAATGTGTTCAAGCAAGTCCTGCATGGGATTGATCACACACACCACATTTCACATCCCATTGAACACAACGTACAATTTCCCATGCATACTGCTTACTTTCATAAAGTACACAAATGTGTGGATGAATAATGTGGCAAAATGAATGAACCAGTCAATCAGAGAGCCAACCAATCAATCAGTCAGCAGTTGAACGACCCCACCCCACCTTTTAGTCATATCCCAGACCCTGATGCTCTTATCTTCAGAGTTGCTGATGATGAGTTCCTGTCTGGGATGGAAGAGGACGCAGGAGACGTTGTTGTAGTGACCCCTGCAGGTGTCCACCTCCCAGGCTTTTGACTCTATGGCATGAGTGCGTTTGTGTGTGTGTCTGTGTGTGCGTGTGTGCGTGCGTGTGAGTGTGGTACAAAAGCAGTATTGTGGATGTGCAACAATGATGTGATTGTTTGCTGTATGTAGTGCGATTGTACAATGTGAGAATTATTTCAAACACCACAACCAATGCAAATAAAGGTGGCAACATCTTTCAAAAGATCAATATATCATTACTGCAATCCTCACACCATCATTCCCATCCAATTCACTCTCACCCTCCTCACTCACCATTCATCCTCCACAGCTTGACCTGCCTATCGTCGGCCCCAGACACAATGAGAGGAAGAGTTGGATGGAAGCAGACCCAGTTGACACCTCTGTCATGCCCTGCTGACCAATTTCAATCATTAATCAAAAGTTTGACTGATAAATCAACCAGCCAACCAATCAACCCACCTTCCAAAACATGCTTTACAATGGCATCGGTCTGACCAAACAGTTCCGTGGTTCCAGGGTTTCTGAACTGATCAGCAATCCCTGACGGTCCAGGTGCCACATTCTTCTTGCGAAGTCCTTTCAAATTTTAATTAATGACAAATATTAATAATAAGAAGAAGAATTAACACAATTCTCGAGCACATCCCTATTTTATTGATTCACTAAATGATTGAGGACTGATGGAATGTGCTCAGTCTACCTGAAATATCCCAGACTCGAACAGTTTGATCAAGAGACGCAGACACGATCATGTCCTCAGTTGGATGGAACTGGCAACACATCACATAATGACTGTGTCCTGTTAGCACGCTGCAGTGATGGTGGGGATGATGATGATGGGGAGGCTGATGATGAGAAAATGAAACAAAAGAGAAAGAGAGAATGGAAAAACAGATGAAAGAATAAAAAAAGCAGTAAAAAATTGAAAACCTCAAACAACTTCTTGACTGCCAATTCCAAATCCTGATTGTTTGATCATCTGAACAACTCAAGATCCAAGGATATTCCTGAATGTATGTGTTGAATTAATTCAAGATGATTCAAGAAGATGATATAGCAATAATAATGATGATATAGATATCTGTAAAGTTCATCTGATGAGGACGACACCTTGATGGGAGTTACGGTAAAAAAATGATACTTTAAAAAATGATGATGGCCTTAATGGTGGAGATGATGATGTTGGTGTAAGAGATGATGATGTTGAGTAAGAAGTTGAGACCAACATGATGGAAAGTGGTCATGCGGATGTAATCCAGATGTCCAAGTAATGTAAAGAGACATTTACGCTGCTTGTAATTCCAGACCTTAAATTTCAACAATCAACAATTTAAACATCAGGGGAATTTAGCCAACAACCACTTCAATTTGTAAGATACAAATTCAATATGATATCAAATTATGAAATGAAATAAATGATAATATAGCAAAAACTGATGAACCTTAATTTTGTAATCATCCCCTCCAGACACAAACAATGGCTGCTGGCTGTGGAAACTTATGCCTCTTACTGGTCCTGAATTATTTTCATAAATTTTTTTTATTTTCTTTGAACATTTCACTGTTATATATAATTATATCTAAATTAAAAATAAAAAGTTACATGAAAATTTAATAAATGAGTGATTCTCATGATGAATTAAATAGGTTTCTCAGACTGAATTTTATTCATATGTGTACAACATTAACAAGGTAACCAATATGATAATCAGATAAAATGGGATGGAGGCAATCAAATAACATTTCAATAAAATTTTAATACTGTTATCTTTATCCTTAATAAATTTTCAGATATATGAGAAAACTATTTTGTTTAATACTAATGTTCATTTATTTTATTAGGATTTGACAATTTATTTCCATGTACATCACATTGTGAAAATTTCTATTTGGAAGTATTATCAAGTAATATAATAGTAATAACCTAATATCATAAATTAAATATTAAATAAAATACTAAATAATAACTAATAAAATTATTAATTAATATTAGTAATGATGTGTGAAGTCATTTTATGTGAAACTAATTTAATTATAAAGAGTATAATTAAGAAACAGACAATCAGAACCTTCATGTTCATCAAATTTATCAATCAGTGTGCACATTCGGTAGTCCCAGAGTTGGATGATGCCACTGTGCAGACTAGTTAGGACCCATGGACGTTTAGGGTGGAAGGACAAACCTTTTTTTTTAAATTCAATTCAAATGGCTTTAAATTTTTATATAGAGGTTATTATAGGTATAGGATATGATATACATTATACATATAGGTAGAAATTTGTAACTAAGATTTTTAATTTTAAATAAAAAAGTAGATGAAAGAAATGAACACAAATTTTAAATGTTGTTCTTTTGTTATGTATATTATATTAAATTATTTATAATAAATTATTACAAGAAATTTGAATTAAAATTAATTAATTAAATTATTAGTTTGTTGGCAGGCAAAAACAAAACAAAATAACAAAAAACCTTTCACACGAGCCGACTTTGTCTCAAATTTAGTCAACATATTTCAAATATTTTATTATTTTTAATTATTTAACTTCACACCATTAATTAAATGAAAAAGATGCTACGGAGTGATGTGTCAACTAAGATGTCGGAAGAATAGTGATAGCCGAAGTTTTTTTTAAATTGAAATTTAGCGTAACGTAACGTCTCTCCACTCAACCTGAATAGGCATACATCTCCCTACATAGCAATAGCGGTTAGGGTCATGGATATATATATAATCCATGGTTAGAGTGTTTTAATTTTTCCTGTGCTCACTTACAGCTCCTAGAAAATTTTTAAAGAAATGGAAAAAAAGATTAATGCTGCTGAGAATGGAAAATCTAACAACTACTGGAAAGATTGCAGGAAGAAGAGATCGCGGTTAACAACGAATAACATTCGTGAAGTCCTTGTTTCACATGTTGAATATCACCACATTTCAACTACTACAAAAAATTGAAGATCGGGTCTTGTGGAGGTCGATGGTCGCTAATGTTCTGAAAGAATGAGGCAGAAGAAAGAAGAAAAGAAGAATTCTTTCAAACTTTATAGATTTAAAAACATTCCGAAGTTTTGAAGTAAAGTATTTGACTGATTAATCTCAGAATATGTACTAAGTTTGGGAAAATTAAATTATCTGTGGAAAACTTTTGATTACCGAATTTTTAAGCTTAGGTATAACGTATGCATCATTGTTTGGAACGTGGAGTGAGATAAAATTTTTACAAAGACGTACATATTTTAAAAATTGTACTACATTTCGTTAGTTGAGTTTGTTAATTAAAAAATTAGATACCCATGTAAAACATTTTTATTGAACATGACGAAAATAGTTGTTGAAATTATAATTTTGAATTATTTACTCATTTTATTTCATAAAAACATCATACAGAGCTTAACGAGGTCGAATATTTTTAATTAATGTTTATAAATTAGTTTATTTAATACTAGCAAAAAGTAACTATTATATATTAGTTTTCATACTATGATAATGATAGTAAATTTTATAGTAGTTAACGCTATGATCAACTTCAAGGTTCAATTGTTGATTAGTTGATTAAGCGGTTGATTGATTGTTTAATTGATAGTACAGTATCAAACAGTATTTCATTGAACAGGAGAGTATTATAAAGTTAATAAAAATACTTTTATCGACAATTTCAAAGATTTCTCAATTTGTTTTCATTGCTATATCGATGATGATGATTGTTACTTGACTGATTAAAAAATTATTAAAATAGGATGGGTAACTCGTTAGAAAAATGTTGGTGGAAATGACGTCATGTTAAATTAGAAATTCCCACCGACGAATTTATATACAACTCAACTAAATAACTAAAATTAAATAATAAAATTTAAATTAGGCGCTCATATTTTAAAAATGTTTCTTACAACAAGGTGCTTAACATAAAGAATTAATTGAATTCTGCCAGCTGATCGGAAAACTAGAACGTTCTCTCGTTTCAACCATTATTATCAATTGGAATTCTTACAAGCGAAATTATTATTTCTATATATTATTATTTATATATTCTGTATTTTATATGCGAATATGCCTGTAAAATTCACTCAAAACAAGTAAATTCCAGCATATCAGCGTATAATTGAAGATATATTCTAAAAAACTAAATATAGATTTTTATTTAAATATATATATATATACATTTGTGTTCGTATGAATGTAAAAACCCGGCTTTTTGGATATATATAGTAACTTGAATAGACCGATTATTATCATTATGCAGTAATACCGAACACGCACTAAATACTATAGTTCGATTCTAATATCGAATATCACCTTTTCTTACGGTATCAAGTTCGGTACTGACTCGACATCAAAAGTACCACGGTGATAGCCAATACAACAATGAACTAATATGACAAAAAAGCGATCATCCGATAGTAACAGGCCTGCGCGCCTATCCATCATGACAAAACTGCCACCGAGTTAGCTAATTTTTTGTAAATGCAATCAGCACATCGCAATCACGTGATGGCTCAACTCCGATATTTATTATTACTATCAGTGGTTAATGTGCATGGATTTGGGAGTAGAAATTCCCTCAGCCAACCAAATGTTGGAAGAACTCCCCGGCAGCATAATGAAAGTGGTTTATTTCGATCATTTTACAAAATAAATTTTAAAAATAAGTCAGCTGACTGGATATAAATAAGCAATATATACGAACGTGATGAAGTAGTTTAAAACTTGACATGCTCCACACACACAAACACACACAAACACATGCTGAGATATATAAACACATAGATGCACAATAGCATTATAGCAATTAATGTCTGTGATAAATATGCATTCTAGGAGAGCTCTGTGAAGACAAAACAAAAATAAACTATGCTTTAAATACGTAACAACGATAATAACGTCATTATCTTCTATGTAATTAACCAGAAAATAATGATGCCTGCTTATGCGTTTGCATAGGAAAAGGATGCATATACGATTATTCATATTGTCAAATTAATTAAACATTAAATAGTAGTAATGACAAGAATGATGATGAAGACGATGGTGAAAAGTGACGACAACCATGATATTGATAGACAGATGGTATCAGATAGCTGACCATAACAACCACAATGATGAATGTGATGCAGTCAACATCCATCAGTCAGTCAGTCATTCAAAAAATGATGATGGTGAAAATATTAATAACGACGACGAATGGATATGTACCTAAGTGTTTAAATTATTATTTGACTAACAGTTAGGAACATCACACGCACAGGCACGTCATGACATTCACAACACCTTCTACATTACTACGCATCTCCACACTGTTGTAAAATTTCACACACACACACACACGCACGCACGCACGCACTCACACGCACATATGTACACATAGCATACAACAAATATATACACACCACACCCCACAAACACATATATATATATATATATATAAATATATATTTTTTTAAAGGAAAGAATTTAAAAGGAAAGAAATAAATGAAATAATATAAAGAATTGTTGAAATAAAACTGAGAAAAATCATGCGGTGAAGTCTAGCATGTAATGAGTTGAAACATGGATGGATGGATGGATGGATGAAAGCCAAATGAGTGGATGAATAACGAATGTAAGAGTGAATGAATAAATGAATATTCTTATAGTCTTAATGTACTATAAACATTAATATTATACAACATTGCAATGATCGGCATCATGGAGCCAACAAAACTTTCACTCTTAAGAAAGTTGATCGGAAATTGTAGGAACAAATAAAAGAGTGAATGAAAATGTGAAAGGTTAATATCTATTCAATCTATCCATCAACCATTCATTCATTCATTCATCAGCATTATAACAAACGTGCGAGTAAAATGCTACAATAATATTTGCGAAGATTTAAGTTGAAAAACTAAAAACGGTGATTCAACACACATACGCACACACACACACACACATACGCACGCACACACATACGCACATACACACACATACGCACACACACACATACGCACACACACACATACAGAGTTAATGATTGGTTTCAAATAATGGTTGCTTTGCATAATTAGAAAAGAAACTATTTGATTGGCATGACATGATTTGACTGGCTAGAAATTTTAAAACAATAGAAAAAGGTCATTACAGATATCTATAGTATTTTAAGTATTTTATGATAAAAACTGACACACACAGACACACACACGCCACACACACACAAAATGTTTCACCTAATTGGTATTTAATTTGTTGAACCCATGATTAACAGAATAGCAATTAATGTTCGATGATAACACACTGGGAGTACCTTAATAAATATAAATATGTAATGTGGTAAACAAACAAATTAATAAATTGAATATATGTATATTCATTATATATATATATATATATATATATATATATATATATATAATCTAAATATGAATATAAATTACTATTTAATATTCTTCCGAAGTAGATACATACATTTATAGATATACACATTGAGGGCATGAATATCTTATCTTAGCTTATTGAATTAAAGTGAAAAATACTGATACTGCGTAGTATTTCAATTGATATTGTTAAATTATCGTAATAAAAAAACCCAAAAAAATTAATGACAATGTGAGATTATCATAAACTTTTAAGTTTGAAAATATAATAACATCAATCAATGAGAAATATTTTGATTATTATTATTATCGTAACAACAATTGATAGCGGTTATGGTCATTGGATTGCTATCATTTTCACCACCACGATTCACCATTGGGCACACCATTGTAATTCATCTTGGAGTAGTGCATTGACTGGTTGTTGTAATGTTGTGATTGTTGATGCTGTTGATGTGACGACAGTTGTTGTTGCTGTTGTTGTTGATGTGAACCACTAAATTGTTGAAGAGGATTGTTTGATGTTGATTGAAGTTGTGATGGGTTTGCTTGGTGCTGCTGACTTGGTTGCTGCTGCATGCACTGATAATGTTGTTGCTGTTGTTGTGAAATATTTAAGAGATCATTGGTGTTATTAATGTTGCTGTTAGTTTGGTTGTTGTTGTTGCTGATCTGTTTCGAGATGTCGGGTGTTGCAACATTCATTAATGATGTTGACGAGCTATGATGAATTCTGCTGTGCAACTGATGTTGTTGTTGAAGTTGCTGATGATGTTGAAATTGCTGATGATGTTGAAATTGCTGCTGCTGATTGTGGAACTGCATTTGTTGAAATTGTTGCTGCTGCTGTTGTTGACTCATCATCTTCTGCTTCATCTGCAAATGTTGCTGTTGTTGTTGATGATGATGAAGACTGTAATTCACATCAGGTGGTTGTTGTTGAGCCATCATCATCATATCTGAAGGTACATTTCCGGTGATGTTGTCGCTGTTGTTGAAATATTTGTCAGCAGCAACGACACCAGAATGCATAGTAGCATACGGATGATGTCGATGTTGTTGTAACATACGCTGCTGTTGTTGTTGCCTGTGCAGTTGCATACATTTTGCATATTCATATTGCTGCATGCTGCTATACTGTGGCAACCCGGATATCGATGAAGAAGATGATGACGGTATGTGGTGAGTCATGTAACGACGTCTATGCATCACGGTGCCTGAGGTCAAGTGGCTTTGTTGTCTGAGTTGTTGCTGGGTGAACATTTGTTGCTGGTGTTGTTGTTGCAGAGATACCACATGTGGCTGCTGCTGTTGCTGCTGATGTTGCTGCTGCAACATTTCAAAATGTTGAATGTCTGATTTGATGTCAACGTTAATGTTGTTGATGTTATTGTTGTTGGTGTTCAGAATCCTGTTATTGATATGCTGCTGTTGATGTAGGGAAGATTCAATGTAACTCGGAGGGGCTTTCAGAATGTTCATTTTTTGTTGCTGTTCCAATGTTGTTGTTGTTGATGCTGTGGCTGCAATGATGTTGCCAGCATCAATTGTTGAAGATGTTGTCGTGATAGTTGTTGATGTTTTTGATGTGCTATGTGATGAAAAACTCAACAGATTGTTGCTGCTACTTAGGGGTTCATTATTAACATGAATGTGGTTGTTTATATTAATACTGTTATTTATAACATTATTATTAACATTAATGTTATTGTTAAATGGCAACATGCTGCTACTACAAGAAAGTGAAGTGTTGATGTTGGTGTTGTTGCTATGAATACTGCTGTTGATGTGAATACTGTTGTTGATGCTGTTGATGTTGTTATTGTTATTAATATTATTGTTGTTGTTGACCAACATGTCAGGACTGACTTGATAATATTCCCTAGTTTGATAAGCTTTAACAACATCATTTGCAAACATCTGATTGCTGCTACTACTGCTGCTCATCATGTGCTGATGTGGTAGTTGTTGTTGTTGAAAGTTGAGTGGTGGTGGTTGTTGTTGTTGGAAGTTGAGTTGTTTGTCTCTGTTGTTGTGCTTGGCAGCAAGATGCTTCAAAGTTTCGGCAGCAGGACCAGTGGGATCACCGAGGATGGAAGAGAATTTGGACATGTTGCTGCTGATGTTCAAATCAATTTGTGGGTAGGCTGGTGAAATTATGTGCTGCTGTTGTTGTTGAAATGACACGTGTTGCTGCGGTCGTTGTGCATGGTATGCCATGTTTGTTGATGTCATGCAGTTTTGGTAGGATGGTTGCTGTTGGAAATTATTGCTGGTTGATGAATTGTTGTTGCTAATGTTGTTGTTGTTGTCACTGAGGGAAACATTGGCTGACTGCAAGTTATTTATTAATGTTGTGTTAGACTTTTGCTTTTCAAATGAAGGATTTGGTGTAGAACGACATGTCGGTAGTGAGTTATTGTCATTATTATTACTATCATTGCTATTATTAAAATTTTTACTGTTGTTAATACCGTTGTTACTACAGTTATTATTATTATTGTTGTTATTGCTATTATCATTTATCAATGGATTAAAAGTTTGATCAGCAAAAGAGTCATCGAAAGAATTAAAGAAGTCAAAATCGATAGGGCCATCTTCCGGGGAACCTGATGCCAACAAATCATCCAACTCCTCATCCACAAATGTGTCCAAACAACTTTCATCTAACATTTCGGCCTTGCACATCCCTGCTGACTTTTTATTGTTACCCCCACATACACTAACACTGGCAAGACTGTTGTTATCAGGGGCTGTGATGTGAAAAGTAATACCATTTTTATGCTGTGCTCCCCCCAGGTTTATCTTCACTTGGACCCCCGTTGTGTTGTTAGTGACGATGTTGTTATTAGTGTTAGCAGCATTGCTGCTGTTTATGTATGATGTTTGTTTCTGCAATGATTGCTGTTGTTGTGCTGTTGATTGCTCATTAGTTGTTGTGTTTAATGATGGTGGTGGGTTTATAACCATCGGCTTCACAGCATTCACTTTCGGCTTTGGTTTGCTCTGCTATTGAAAATATGATTGGTTTATTATTGCTCACTTTGAAATAAGTATTGTGGGTAGTAACTTGAAATTCAAAACATTAAAATAATCAAAATCCAATTGTAAAATTAAAAGAAGAAAACCTGATTATTCATTGAGGAGGTAGAGGTCTGCTGGTCAGCAAGTTTACTATTACCAGTCTTTATATGTTCATTCTGCTGTGGCTTCACTGTTTTTGTTTTGTTGGTTTTTTTGGTTCTGCCCTCCAGCCACCTCTGATGGAGGACCCTTGTGTCTTCCTTTATCTTCTCGTACTCGACCGAGGCGTAGTTGTCGTAATGTAATTTGTTGTTGCTGTGATGTTTTCTGTAGCCATCCAGGCGTCTTTGGAAACGATCGGGTGGGGAGAGCACATCACTGGTCGGTGTCACTCCGAAACCACCCATAGATTAAGGAAATCTTGAATTTTAGAGCAACATGATCGAATCGCCAAAAATCATTCACACATTTTTACGTCATTAAAATATTACTTTTTTAACATTTGTGTTTATATCGAGAAACGGATTAATTAGAGATACCCAGACGACTTTTTTTAACAATAATAACCAAACAACGCTGAGCGAGAGGATGGACGAGTTGTTTAATTTGATTTTGCTGCGCTTAACATTTGAAGTTAAATGAAAATTTGTAACTTAAATCCACATTTCATTTTTTGTTGTCGACTGATCGTTGTGAAAAATTGTTTCAAAATGTTATTTAAATTGTTTTAAATCGGCTTTTAAATGAATTCTAAAGTTTTTTTTTTTATTAAGCAACTAATTTTAACAATTTGTTTCATTTTTTTATTAAACTCTTCTTGCTCAAATTGAAAGTATAAATGAATAATTTGTTGTTGCTAAGCTCTTACTTGCTACTAAGTAGCAACTACTAAGAAACTTTTTAAAAAGAATAAGAAGCTCTCTTTTCTATTTACTATATATGACTATCAGAATCATCCAATTACTCAATAAATAATCATTCGAGGAAGGTAGTTTTAAATTTGAAGGTCTCACTGCAAACAGAAATCTAAAACAGGACTCTTCTTCCTCTACTAATCTTATTTATTTATTTATGCCTTTTATAATATAATATATATGGATTTTTTATTTCTCTCCTTTCCACCTCATCAGCAGCAGCAGGAACAATTACAAGAAAACAGAGTGATCAACAACAGCCAACAAACAACTTTCATTATAAATGAAACAATGATTCATCAGAAAAAATTTGTCCCAGAAAAGGAAATAAATAACAACATCAACATAAGTTCAACCAACATTTACAACAATCATTATTATCATCTCCACCATTATCATCATCGCCATCCTCAACAGCAACAACAACAACATCAGTCTGGCAGTTTGAAGAAAAAATTTAAAAGTGTGGAAACCATCTTAATTATCATCGTTTGGTACTTTTTCAGTTTTGTCGCCATCTTTCTCAGCAAACATGTCATTGATCATCAGAATGTTGACCTCCTCTTCTTCTGTTAGATTTATCTCTCTTTCAAATTAATTTTTAAAATATTAAATTAAATTAAACTTACAAAATGAATATATTATTGGAAAGTAATACTTCCTTAAAAAACCTTCTAATTAGGTGCCATCCAGTTGGGCATATCAGCTTTTATGGCTTACATCAACATTCAACTGCCAACTAAGAAGCCAAGTGATGATTCAAAGTACCCACAACATAAGGATTTAAGTCATTTCAATAGAGATGTTTACTTTTCTATGGTCATCATAGGATTCATGAGGTCAAAGATTATAAATCTTTGCTCATCTTAATCAGAAATATTCATATTTAGAATAATTTTAAAACATATTTTATTCTATTATGGTTAACTATAGGCATGTTGCTATAATAATATTGATTATTGATCATTTCATCACAATGGGCCAACACCACATCATGACATCGTGACAACAACAACGCCATTGCAGATTGTTGGTGGTCTACATGGGCCTGCTGTCTATGAAGCATGTTGCATTGTCGTTCATGGAGACTGTCAAAAGTTCTGCGCCCCTCTTCACTGTCGTCATCTCTTTTGTGGTCCTCAAGGAAAAGAGTGGTGTGCTTACTCAGGTGATAAATTATCATCATCATCTTCTTCTTCATCATCATCTGCTTCTTCTTCGTCATCATCATCTATTTCTTCTTCATCATAGTCATCTGCTTTTTATCTATCATCATTTGCTTTTTCTTCATCATCGTCACTACCATCATCATTACCATCATCTTTTTTTTATTGTCACCACCATCATCATTATTACTACCATCCTCAACATCATCGTCGTCGTCGTCATCATCATCGTCATAACCAGTGTGTTGGAGTTAGGTGAAAATATTTCAGACTCCCTGATTTTAATTTTTCCAACTCCGACTCCGGATTCCAACTTTCAGAAAATTATTTCAACTTTTGCCATATAATTTCACTCAAATACCTCCACAACCAAATAAAAAATACTTCAAAAATATTTGAAATCAGTCGATATAATGGTTTCCTCCGGTTAAATTACTTCATATTTACGCTTAAAAATACGCTAAAAGATGTGATTTCATATCCACTGCTGTGCACTGCTGGCGGTCGCACTGTTAAATTACAGAGTTGGATCCCTGCTGCGTCGCAAGATGCAACTTTTTAGAGCTGGCAAATCATTTTTTCATCTTTCGTAGTTGCAATCCAGCCCCTGGTGTCATAATAATAATTGAGAAATATGAAAAAACATTAAATAATTCAATGAGCAAAATAATCCGTTGAATGTGTATCAAAGTTAGTGGACGACTTCGAAAGCATCTTAAAACAATGAAACACCAGAATAACCAGGGGTAGGATAGGTTATCACAACGTTACAGTCGTGAAAAATTATTCATTCAATCGTACTTGGGGCGCAAATCTAGAAAAATTGTATACGTCAATGGCTTTCAAGCCAGTTAACATTGCATTACGCATACTGTCGTAAAAGGAGCACCAGTTTTTAAAAATGAAAGTGATTGCCTTTGATAAAAGCACCTATTTTCATCTATTTTCAGGTGATTGCTTGCATGTTGCCACGCGCCTATATATCTCACGGCATAAAAAATTAATTTTGAATAAAAAATAATTTTTTTTTAATTCATAAAACTTTGCGGAGTCGGATGAAATATATCCGACTCCGAGTCCTCAAAAAATCTCCGACTTGGATCGACTCAGACACTTTGATGATTCGAAGCAGGCGTCCATCCTCCCTATTATGGTCGGTCTGTTGCTCTGCAGCATCTTTGAGATCAGCTTCACCTGGCTCGGATTCCTTGCCGCTCTGGCTGCCAATGTCGCCGAATGGTGGGTTATGATGATGATGATGTTGGTGAGTAATGATGATGATGTTGGTGAGTTATGATGATGATGTTGGTGAGTTAAGATGATGGTGTTGGTGAATTATGATGATGATGTTGGTGAATTATGATGATGATGCTTGTGAGTTAAGATGATGGTGTTGGTGAGTTAAGATGAAGATTATATAGATTCACTATTATACTTCCCGGCAGTCTGCAGTTCGTTCTCTCCAAAATATTCCTGGGCAGTAAGATGAAGTAAGTTGGTATAGGTTCATTCATTCATTCATTCATTCATTCATTCATTCATTCATTCATTCATGATTTCATTCGTTCGTTCATTCATTCAGTCGTCATCATCGCCATCATCACTTCCATCATAGTCCTTCGGATTTCCAATTGTACTCAAGCGTAACCGGCCTCCTCTCCATCATCCCACTCTCTCTCTTCCTGTTCGACATTAACATATTCATGAGCATGGGTGGGCGGTCCCTTGCGATTATGTTAATTGTCGGCATATCTTATTACCTGCAGACCTACATGGCTTGGCTGCTCATGGAGTTCTTGTCACCTGTCACTCATAGGTTTGTGGGAGGAGTTATGTGTACCTCAGATTAGGTTTTATTGCTTATCCGTTTATCTGTGTTTGTGCACGTGTGTGTTTGTTTCCGTGTAATTTTGTCTACCTACGCTACTTGCATACAGAACTTTTATTACTTCATTCACAACAATGTATTCGCTAGTTGAAACAAACATCAACAAACACATCAACAATCACATCAACAATCACATCAACAATCACATCAGCATTTGCAACACAATGAAATGTGGAGTAGCAGTCTGGCTGTCGGTTCCAATTTTCGGAAACCACGTGACACTTTGGAGTGGCTTTGGGAGTTGTTTGGTTTTGGTTGGGGTCGTTCTCTACCAGAAAGCTCGGAATTTTGAAAAATTACAGAGGCGTTCGACAGTGACGTCACCATCATCGCCGACATCATCATCACCAACGACGGCAACAACAACGAGGATGATGATGTCATCCTATTCAAATACATCCGCCGTGGGGAAGGAGAAAAATAGTTGTGGTGATGTTGATGTCATAAGTGGTGGTGATGGTGATGATGTCGTTGGTCGTTGCAGTATTGATGATGATGATGGTTGCGAGTTTATTCATGGGGATGGTTTAATGATGACGTCTATTGGTGATGTTCATGTTGTCGGCGATGATGACGATGATGATGGGGCTAATATATCTGAAGGGATGATTCAAAACATCAATGGATGAGTGAGCGAATGAGTGAGTGAGTGAGTGAATGAGTGAGAATATTAATGCATAGAACTTTATCATTTGTGTCAATCAATCATTCAGTTGATTGATTGACTGACTGATTGATTGGTTGATTGATTGATTGATTGATTGATTGATTGATTGATTGATTGATTGATTGATTGATTGATTGATTGATTGATTGATTGATTGATTGATTGATTGATTGATTGATTGATTGATTGATTGATTGATTGATTGATTGATTGATTGATTGATTGATTGATTGATTGATTGATTGATTGATTGATTGATTGATTGATTGATTGATTGATTGATTGATTGATTGATTGATTGATTGATTGATTGATTGATTGATTGATTGATTGATTGATTGATTGATTGATTGATTGTAATATACATTATCACTGATATTTTTTCAACCCATCTGTTCATTTTTAGTTCATGTTTTTTTTTATTGACCCGTTCATTCTTTTGTTCATCCAATCGTTCTTTCTCACTCATTCCTTGAAGTTATTAAATTTTTTGTTCATTCACTCGCTGCTTCGGTATAGATTTAAACGCTTTTTATATAAACTGAGTCGATGTTTTAAATTTCAACACATTTTCATCCTTTCTATTTTGTTCTTTCGTATCTATCTCATTGGTTAATTTATACATCATTCCCTAATTTATAACTTTGCTAATTTGCATATTTATTTTAACAATCATTTAAATATTTGATGAATAATTTACTCAGTTTATTATTGATTAGATGTATCGAATATGCTAGTGATAATAATTATAATAATATATTCAATGTTAATTATATATTATCGTCTGTATCCTTTTAAGAATCTCGTCGTCTTTGAGGCCTTTTTTTCTTCTGCCTTTCGCTTTAGACAAATTTCCAATTCGTTCGTCTCATTGTTCGTTCTATACAAATCTTCAATTCATTCATCTCATTTTTACACCTTTTCAATTGCTGTTGGTGTTTTGTTGTTGTTGTTGATGATGTTTTGTTTGCTTGTTTGTTTGTTTGTTTGATGGTTGTTGTTGTTTTTAAATTTTGTTTTCACCTTTCATTTCATCTGTTTAACTCCTTCCTCTCTTTCCATTTCAAATACATTTCGTCTATGATATTCCTTTCAATCGATCACATCATTAACTGTTTCATATCATTGTTGTTGTTATTGTCACTTGTTGTTGATGTCACTGCTTACATAACAACATTTGCAGGCTGTGATATATGGATTGATATGTTTACAATGAACATTTTTCTCTTTTCCTTTGTTTATAATTTTTTATCATTACAGTTTGACTGCATATTTTCATGTGTGTGTGTGTGTTTATTTATATGTAAATGTTGGTAATAGACCATAATTATAGAATATATTTATAGAATATTATTTATATGTATGTATGTGCGTGTGTGGTGTGTGTGTGTATGCATGCATGCATGTGTATATAAAATGTGTATATAAATATGTATTAAACATGTACTACAAAATTGGCATTTATGATAAATAGATTTGCACTCGTACACTTAAACACACAAACACACACACACGCACACACCGCACATTTAAGCACTGTACGTGAATAGTCCTATTTAGATATTATCTGATATAAAATTTCATTTAAATTTATAGGGTAAATATTGAACTATTTTGCTGGCATGGTTCAAGGTCTATGTGTGACTGCTGTGAGGATTATTTAAATTAAGATGACGATGATGTTGAGGAAGATATGATGCGATAATTCTTTACAAACTTCCTTATATGGTCAAGTGTGATATGTTGACATAAAAAATTTGCCAAACGGATGAAACCAAATTCTCTGACACTTTTTCTTTTCTCACTTTTTTGCGCCAATGTCATTTTTAAACATTCTCTTAGTTCTAATTCTTTAGTATGCTTATTTAGTTTATAAGTTTATTTATAATTTTAGCCATATTGGGGCCTCAGTATATATGTGCCTGACAGAACTATACATTTGCAGAATGGTTTATTTGTTTCAAATTGTTTGTTTTTTTTTTATATTCGGTGTTTCTGTGATTTTAATAATCAAAATGGTTTGCGTTTATTCAACTTTTGTTCAACGGGTTTGATTTTTATATTAATATTCAACATTCTCTGCTTTAGGTAATGTTTTCTATTGCTACTAGGCTATATCTGTGTTATTTTCTTTAAAAAAAGCAAAGAAATAAGGTCTATATCTTATTTTTGATGCGGAAGTTTTCGGACGAATAAAACAGTTCCTGACAAGCGCTAAATGATTTTTTGTAAACTAAGAAATTATATTTAGTCTTTGTTTATTTCTTTTTCCCTTTCACGTTAATCAATCATGGTTGGTCTTCGATTAGTTTTTTCATTTTTGTTAATTAAATTTCAATTACGCAAAAATCTTTGAAATGTATTCATCTGATCAGTTTAATCTGTTGTAAAAGTTTATCTAAAGTTTATTTTTAACGCATAAATATTTCCAAACCCGTCCGCGTGCTCTCTATGTTAATGTGATCACAATGTTGGACCACATTGCGTGCAGCATTCATTTATTTTATATCTGAATTTAATTAAAAAAATTAGTTTGGATCATGTTGTTTTGTTAAATAGCGTTTCACGCTGTAGAATCAATTAGATCATTAGTGATATTGTATTTGTTGCTTTGGTTGTTGAACTCATTTCAATTTAAAATTTAATTAATTTAACTAATTTAAACTTAAATTTAATTAAATTTAATGTTGACAGGTTCGCGGGCCTCGCAAGCATCTGAAGCGTGTTGTCGCTCCCAAGCATTGGATGTTGGACAAGCTTGGTGGAGTATTTGTAAGTACATTCTTGTCACATTGTTTTTTTTGTATTTGTAATAGAATTTTAACATCCACACATTATTTAGGCTCCGAGACCAAGTTGTGGGCCACATAAGTTAAGAGAATGTCTGCCATTAGTCATCTTTTTGAGAAACAGATTAAAGTATGCATTGACCTATGAAGAGGTTAAAAAAATTCTGAAACAACGACTGGTGAAGGTCGATGGAAAAGTCAGAACTGATAAAACGTACCCAGCTGGTTTCATGGGTTGGTTACTTGTTTATCTGTTATTAATTAGTTGTCCAATATTCACACAAGAAAGCATTGATTGATCTCTTAGTTATCAATAGTTCTGAATGAGCTAAGCATGGTAACTTGGAATAAAACGATGCAAGATTAAATATCGAGTTGTGTCGAATGTGACAGGTGGCGTTTCATACACATCTGAATTCAGATACTGCACATTTATTTTTGCTCATCTGTATTATGTTTTTTAAAGTTAGTCGCATCCCAGTTTAATTATATGTGCCTAACTGGTTGGAAGATGTTTTAAATGCAGACAATGAATGAAATAATTTGAAATGATTGATATGCAGATGTCATCAGCATTGAAAGGACAAACGAAAACTTCAGGCTGATCTACGATGCCAAGGGGAGATTTGCTGTTCACAGAATCCAATCTGAGGAAGCCAAAGTCTCTTTTTCAAATTTAAATTTTGAAATTTTTTCACAATTTAACTGTGCTTCTATATTTTGAAATAATTGTTGTTTGTCCACACATTTAGTACAAACTGTGCAAGGTGAAGAAGATCTTGATTGGTTTGAAAGGAATTCCAAGTTTGGTAACCAGTGATGGGCGTACGATCAGATTTCCAGATCCACTCATCAAAGTTAATGACACCGTTAAAGTGAACATAGCAACTGGAAAGGATTGAGACTTCATCAAGTTTGACCCAGGTGTGCAGTTATTTTTTTAATTCATATTAAAAACATCACCTATAAAAGTTTTTTGCCACTTCATCTGTTAAACTTGAAATCCATGGTAACTTTTTGACCGCCTTTTTCTACCTAACCAGGTAATGTGTGCATGATCACTGGAGGACACAATGTTGGCGTGTCGGTTGCGGTCACGCACAGGGAACGACATCCTGGCTCGTTTGACATTGTCCACATCAAGGATCCCACCGGACATGTCTTCGCCACAAGGTCCTTCGTTGTCATATTTATTTATTCTTTACTTGGACTCATTATTTGTTTCTTGCCTTCTCACATGACATGAATATTTTGTGATGCGTGATTGTCGCAATCTACCTTCCCATCTAATTTGAAATAACCTCCGCCACCACAGGTTGAACAACGTGTTCATAATTGGCAAGGGCAACAAACCCTGGGTCTCTCTGCCTGCTGGCAAGGGTGTTAGACTGACCATTGCTGAAGAAAGGGACAGAAGGATTCAAGCCAGACACAACTGAACTGCTGCTGTCTATCTTCATGTTCATCGATTGATTGATTGATGGTTGATTATATTTCTATGGAACAGCAATGTGATTGATTGGTGGATACAAACAGATGTATCTATCTATCTTTGATGCGATTTGTATTGTTTGAAAGTTTTTCAAATAAATTTAATAAATTGGAAAGATTTGTTTGTGAAATTCTTCTTTCTTGTTGACAATGTTAACTAGCAATTAATTATAATTAATTACCTACCGACCTACCTATTTATCTTAACACTTGTAGTTTGTTTTAACTATTTGTTCGATAGTTTGATGCAACCGGAAGACGTGCGATATGTAATTTTATTTAATACTCCGGGCAAAATTTATAATTTGAAATAAATTTAATAAGTGTATACTGACTATGAGAAGAAGACATACGTTTTACAATTACGAAACAATTAGAAGAAAGAATGGATACGGTGTGTTTGTAATTCAAATGTTACTGGACAAGGTATCAATGTCTTTTTTGGTCCGCTGTTCACAAGTTTCTAATGGGATGAATGTGTTCGGGTTGACTTAATGTGAGCGTGTTGGGCCAGTGTTTTTGTGTTTAAATGTTGCTCGTTGGAATTAACGTAGATTGAAAGATGATGATGAGTTTAATTTGCATCAGCAGTATGTAAGGATTATCTAATTTGACGCCACGCTACTAAAGAAATGAAATTTTATGCACTTGTCTGTAATAACATTGAAAACTGTTGTATCTTTATAAATGTACAACATTTGCCTGTTTGCAGTTCATTCTAGATCAGGCCTTAGACATAGTTTACTACTACAATTAGTCTTACAACCCTTAAATAATGCAATGGGATTGTTTGTAAGTAGTGGCATTCATCAGCAGAATGTCATTAAAATCGAATGGCAGAGAGGCAGTATTGAATTGAAAAAGTTTCGTGTGCTTGTCGGCTGTCAAAGTTTCATTCAAGTTGTGTTTGTTGCATCGTTCTTCAAACATAAACTTGCTGTATGCAAATTCGGAATTCGCATATTACAAACGCTGGTTGGAATGTACAAAAATACTTTTACATAAAAACTGAATTTTAGATTTAGATTGATTTGCATCGAGTTACTCATTTATATGAAAATAATTATCGATAGATCTTTCGTAATTGTAATACCGATATAATTTACAATCTGATTGATATTAATTTCTGTTCGGTTCAGCAGTCCGTGTCCTCGATGAACCTGCTGTTGTTGGGGATGAGGAATGCCACCCTCTGTTTGATGACCACGTTTGAAGTCGTCGTTAGCGGTGGTGCAGAGGTTACTGCTGTTAGCATTGCAGCTTTTTCAAAATCAGATATAACTACCATATCGTCGTCTTGAACGCTGCTGATGTTTTGTGATGTTGCTGGCGGTACTTTTATGCTCGATCGCGGCTTCCAAACTGGAGAACTGGATCTGGCGGGCTGTTGTTGACGCTGCTGTTGGTAATACTGCTGCTGTTGGTAGCTTTGTGGCTGCTGGTAATGTTGGAGTGTTTGAGATGAGTACTTGCTGCTGTGGCCATCATGTCTGTCAGACGTCGTGGGTTGTTGCAAGGTGTTTGAAGAGATCGTAGGATTTCTGTGTGACGTGCTGAAATATGTGTTGTATGATGATCTGAAGTTTTGCTGCTGTTGCTGATGTTGTTGTTGTCTCGAGTCTATGATTATGTTTCTATGCTGTTTGTACGGACGATGTTGATAAGGATGTTGTTGTAGTTGTTCGTGTGTGTCTGGTTTAGACTGCTTCAAAGACGATTTTGTTGGTCGTTGTTGTTGTTGTTGTTGTGATTCGGTGGCAGATGTCGATGGAATTTGTTGCTGCTGCTGTTGAAATTCAACAACCTGGCTTGATTTTTTGCCATGCTGTTGTTGTTGAAAATATTGTTGTTGGAAACAAACTTGTTGTTGCGGTTGTTGTTGAACACTCTCCCTGATGGATGAGTGGATGGTTTTTATAAAATCTCTCCTCGCTTCCTGCGAACTTGCGAACTGGTAAACTTTTTCCGGCCTGCCAGCTCGACCATCTTCCTCGTCACGTGATCCACAGTGAATCATCTCCCAAATGCCGTGGCACTCGTGGGCGTCGCCAACCATCAACCTCACCTGCAACTGATCCACTGGAATGGCTGTCTTGTAGCGAGTGCCGCCCATCCCTGATCCGTTCGTGACGTCAGAGAGGAAGGGGGCCAGACGATTTTGATTGGACTGTAAGAAATGTTTGGGAAGATGATGGATAAAAAACTTCATCGTTAAAGTCACCTTTGCACATATCATATCACAATACACATTATCAAACCACCATCATCACCATCGTCGCATCATCACCACCTTCATTTTCCTCTTCCCCTTGACTTTCTCCTGCGCCATAAGAACCACCCCAGTTCGGAAGATGAAAAGAAGTGTCAGCAGCTCCATCCCTCGCTTCATCTTCCCGAGCTCACTGCTTGCGTTCAACCAGTTTACTGTTCCGTACATTTGCAGTTCACCCACGTTCAAATCCAGACCCTGCTTTGTTGTGGTGGCGGTGAGGGCAAAGAAGATGACGAATAAGATGATAAAGACAAAGAACAAGATGATGATCAGATTTAAAATTTTTAATTTCGCTTAAAATGTCAGATAAAATTTGCCATGATTTTAAAAAGTTGCGAACATAAAAATTGAAATATAACCCTCTCATTTGGATTGCTGTCTTTGTATTGTTTGGCCAGCTCGTCCAGCACCACACCGTGCTCTTCATAAATTTTCTGCATCTCGTTGATGTGCTCTGCCACTGCTTCCATGCCGTGGAGGGCTTCTACGAGGGAGGAGGGGTTGATCGTGATGACGGTGATGAACGAACGAACGAACGGACGAACGAACGAACAAATCAAATTGAAAACTGAAACAACCTTTAAGATGGTCATGTTCATCGCTGTTGACGTCAGTGAGGTCCTTCAGCTGCCTGAGTAGGAGAGGGTACTTGAGGATCCGCTGGATGGGTTTGATGAGATAGGACTCCAGGGCCACGGAGTGTTGTTGCATGGGGTTGTGCGATTTTAGGAAGTCTTGGAGCGAGGAGTTGTTGTCTGGTGTGCGAGTGAGTGTTCGCGTGTGTTTGTGAGGATGTGTGTTTGTGCATCATCATCATCATCATCAGCACCATCAGCATCATCATCATCATTACCAGCTAGCAGAATTTTTTGGGCTTTGGAGTGGCTGGCGCAAAAGGAACTGTAAAGTTTGAAGTGATGAGCGTAGTAGAGGAACGCACTGCCAAGTGCCAGCAAGATTTTCTGTGATGATGATGATGATGATGGTGGTGATGACGATGAAGTTGTTTATTACTAATTTACAAACATAATTCAAAATTGTCAGACATATGATGATAATAATAGTGGCAAACCGACTTTGAAATTAATATTCTCCTTGTCAGGGTCTGTGTGTTGGTTGATCTCTTTATCAATGGCGGCCTCCAAACTCTGAGTGAACATCTTCTGGAAGTGAACTATTTCCTGGATGTTGCCGAACAACTGCTCTATCTCCTCAATGCCTGATTCATCGGTCGGTTGGTTGGTCAGTTGCGATTGGTTGGTCAGTTGCGATTGGTTGGTTGGTTGGTCAGTCAGTTGTGATTGGTTGGTCAGTTGCGATTGGTTGGTTGGTTGGTCAGTCAGTTGTGATTGGTTGGTTAAATGTTTAAGCGACCGGTTTATGGTTATGCAAATGATTGGTTGATATGAGAGATTTCTGATTGGTTGCTGGTTTGTTTGTTGGCTGGCTGGTTGATTGGTTGGTTGGTTATTTGCATGGAGACGGCTGATCATCAACAACAACATCATCAACAACAACAACATCAACAACAACAACATCAACAACAACAACATCATCAACAACAACATCAACAACAACAACAACAACATCATCAACAACAACATCAACAACAACAACAACAACAACATCAACAACAACATCATCAACAACATCATCATCAACAACAACAACATCAACTGACCATCGATCTTTTCATTTTTCAACGGTTCGAGATACCATTCGATCAGGCAATTCAAGTCCTTTGGAAAAAAATCGCCATCATCACCATCATCATCATCTCATGATCATCATCATCATCATCAACAACAACAACAATAACAACAACAACATCATCATCACCACCACCAACAACAACAACAACAACAACAACAGACTTGCACGTATTGCCTCTCAGTTTCGATGAGCTCCATGATGACGCGGCACATCTTCACAGTGTCCGACATGATGGCACGTGATGACGCCGACGATGACGTCATTATCATTGTTGTTGTTGTTGTTGTTGTCGTGATGATGTTATTGATGCTGCTGGCTGGCTTGCCTGGCGATGGTGAATAAGATGGTGACGATGACAAAATGGTGATTACGTATGATGAATAAGGTGATGGTGATGACTACGATGATGATGGCGTATGTAAAAGACGTAATTAAATAAAGAGAAAATAATTTTTACTTTGTTTGGTTAATGGGTTCCAAACGTTAGGAATTTGCTGTTGTTGTTGTTGCTGTTGTTGTTGTTGCTGTTGTTGTTGTTGTTGCTGTTGTTGCTGTTGTTGTTGCTGGTTAATTTGATATTGTTGCTGAATTTGCATCTGTTGGTGTTGAAAAAGTTGTTGCTGATTTTGTTGTTGTTGTTGCTGTTGAAAATACTGTTGTTGCTGTTGTTTTTGATAATATTGTTGTTGTTGCATTAGCTGTTGCTCGCTGTCATATTGTTGGTTGTTTGTGAGTTGTTGTTGTTGTTGCAGATGCATTTGAAATTGTTGTTGTTGTTCTAACATTTTTTGCTGCTCTAACAATAGTAATTGTCGTTGTTGTTGCTCAAGTATCAGCTGTTGTTGTTGCTGTTGCTCGTAAATTTGTTGTTGTTCGTAAATTTGTTGCTGCTGTTGTTGTTCGTAAATTTGTTGTTGTTGTTCATAAATTTGTTGTTGTTGTTCATAAACTTGTTGCTGCTGTTGTTGTTGTTCATAAATTTGTTGTTGTTGTTGTTCATAAACTTGTTGTTGTTTTTGTTGGCGCAACAAATCGATATAAGTTGATCCTTCAAAATTGCCAACTGCTCCATCATCTTCAACGTTGTTGTTGCAGCTTGTGTTTTCAAAGACGTTTTCAGTTGTGTTGGCATTAACAAATGATGCATATGGTTGTTGCTGTTGATGTTGTTGTTGATGTTGTTGCTGATGTTGCTGTTGTTGTATCTGTGGAAATGGTTCGTATATTCCTTCATCTTGGTTTTCGATCAAACCAGTTAGAGCTGTTCCGCACGATCTTTAGTGTTTTAATTTTTAAGTTTTAATGGAGTCGTTTGTTTGTTCATTTGTTTGTTCATTCGTTCGTTTGTTTATTTGTTTCTTTTTTATTTATATCATGAACCACATCAAACAACTTGATGATTTTTCATTTATTAACTAACTAATTAATTAATTGATTAATTAACCAGCCAACCAACGAACCAACGAACCAACCGACCGACCGACCAACCAACTGACCAACTAACCGTTCAATGCACCTGCAAGACCTCAGCGTCAGAGTGACGACATCGCATTCCTCCAACAACGTCTCGATGTAAATCATGTCCAACTCGCTGACCAGCATGCCGTTGATCACCAACAGTTCGTCACCCACTTGTAAACCTTCAAAAATGTATTAAAAACATAAAATAAGCATAATTAATAATTATGCTAATAATAATAATTATTATTATAATTATAATAATAATAATAATTATTATTATTTACCTTTCCTAGAGGCCGATTGAGAATTTTTAGCTACGTCGACGATGCAAACGCTCAAATCGTCGTCGTTATTATTATTTGGATTGTTGTTGTTGTTGTTACTATTATTGTTATTGTTGTTGTTATTGTTGTTATTGGTGTTATTATTGATGTTGTTGTTGTGGCTAAAATTATCCTCTCTGCATTCAACGGAAAAACCCAGGTCCTTCTCTTTCCAGTTTCGAACGATTTCCGTTTGGAAGAGCAACTTGGTGCATACTTCATACCTCTGGTACTCCTGGGTAAAAGAGGGAGTGAATTGACAAGTGAATGAATGAATGAACGAATGAATAAATGAATGAATGAGCAAATGCATAAATGAATAAATGAATGAATGAATGCATAAATGAATGAATGAATGAATGCATGAATGAATGAAATATTAGGCAGACACAAGCCTACCTCGTTGAGTACTGTGTTGTTCTTCTCAAGGACCTTTCAACGAAAAAATGCAATTAAATGAATGGAAGAAATTAATTAATGAAGAAATAAATTAAATTATGCGGTAGAACATTCACTTGGATACTGGGTATAGCACAGAAAGCCGAATATATTTCAATATAGTGAAAACAAACGAACGAACGAAGAAACAAACAAACGAACGAGTGTACAAATGAACAAACAAGCAAGCCACCTTGTAGCAAGCAGTCTCAGAAGCAGCAGAAGCAGCACTGGCTGCAGTGGCCGACTTCAGCTGCACTCTCATGAAATAGACTGCAGGGTTGAGTTGGCACTGCGTTGTCACACATTCGAACAGTTCGTAGGCGGTCGTTCGCTCGTTCACACCTATCCTTACGATCTGGTGGGGTTGTTTCACCGTCATCGTCGTCGTCATCATCATCAGCATCAGCATCAGCAGCCTCATCAGCAGCATCATCATCAGCATCATCAGCAGCATCATCATCAGCATCAACAACAACGACATCCTCACCTGTCCGTCAGGCAAATAAACAGCCACGCTGGATTCGCCATCTTCGGACTGTTGGGGATTTCCAATTTCCCCAGGCGATGAGGATGAGGCTGATGCTACTTTTGTTTCATCACTTTCGTTTTCTAACAATATGCACTCACTGTCTGGACTGTTTGGAGGATAGGTTGATGGCGGGATGAACAAATGATTGAAAAATCAGATGATATTATTTAACAAATAGTTTTTCAGTTAATAATTGAACTATAAACAAATGAATGAATGAAAGAAAGAATGAATGAGCGCGCAGCACTAACCCGGCTTGAAAACTTAACGGTCGTGGGCACTTTGCGGCTTTTCCTTTTGACGACGCAGAGTTTGCAGCAGCAGCAGCTGCTGCAGTTGACGACGACGACAACGAGCCAAAGGTGGAAACATCGGCTTTGAAGGTAGACATTCCTGTCTGTGGCTGCTGATTGGTGATTTTGGAGAGGTGCAGACTGGCAGAAAGGGTGAGGGGAAGACGGGAACAGATTGTGGCGTGGAAGGAGCAGGGACTGCTCACCCCCAAACTGACCAAACTTGTTCGGGCTAGTTTTGAAATGTTGCTCAAAAGGGACTGTTGTTGAAAGGTTTTTGATAATTTCATTCATTTAACTAATCATTCAATCAATTAGCCACTAATAACATCACCGGTTAATTGGCACCAACATCATCATGATTGGCACCAACATCATCATCTGCACCTTGGCACTGGGCAGTGGTTGGTCCTGCAGGGCAGCGAGGTAACACCTCAGCTGGAACTGTTCCATGTAAAGACGGTCCAGATTGTTCTCCCACTCCAGCATCTGCTTCTCGAGCACTAACCTCATCTCTGGCTCTTTCACCAGGTTCGACTGCATGCTCGCCATCTTCCGCATCTTCAGATCCTGGTTGGTTGGTTGGAATGAAGACGATGGAAATAACGACTACCATGATGATGAAGATGAAAAAAGTGGTGGTGTTGCTGATGATGATTACAGAAAACAACCGCCAAAAAATCTCACCAGATCGATGCTATTTTCAAGTTTGTGTATCTCGGCCTTGAGTAGTTTGCAAACATTCGATCTGTTCATCTGTCTGGCCATGCTGCTGATGCAAGCGGAGTGGATGTTGGCGATCCATCCTTGCATCTCTTCAGGACATCCAGACTGAGTGAGTGAGTGAGTGAGTGAATAAATGAGTGAGTGAGTGATTAGAAAAAGAATGATAAAGAAGATGATAATGTTGATTATGTTGATGTTGACGATGATGAATAACACCGACCTTGAACAGATATGTGTTTCCAAAAATGGTGCTCACAGCAAACGTACCACCACCACCACCATTATTATTATTATTATTATTATTGTTGTTGTTGTTGTTGTTGCTGTTCTCGTCCGGGTAGGCTAGGCATCCGATGAGAACTGACGAATTGTTCATGGTCGAAAAATAATTAAAAGTCAGACAACTTTTATTAACTGTTTGCACAAAATAAAATCACAGCTTCAATTATAAATCTAAAATTTACCGCTTGAAACCTGCGCTAAACTTAGAAATCTGAGATGACCAATGGTAACATATAACCACTTGACTTTTTTTGTTTAAGTAATCAGTATGAGCAATATAAAGTTTGACACGCGCCATCAAAAGTATCGCCGGTACCAAAGCTAATACTAAAAAGTATCGGTAATACTTCGGTATCGACAACACTGCAGTTAGGTTGCCTACCTATGATGTGGCAGGGCGCGGCTTCATCCGTAAGTGCCCCCTCTTCTGATTGGTGGAGATGCAGAGCGGCGCCCTTCAACAACACGTAGAACTCTTCCCATTGGTTGTTCGTCGCCATGGTGATCGTTGACATCTTGTGCAGCAGTTGGTTGGCTACCAGAAGATAGCTGGTGATCATGATGATGATGATGAGGAGGAGGATTAATTATAATAACATTAACAACAACAACAGTGGTAATGATAATAATGATATTATTATTACTATTATAAGAGTAATAATTGATGATACAGTAAAAGTCGTGAATAGCGAGCTCCTAAAATGCTGTCGGTTGAGACTTGAAATCTGAAAACTTCGTATTTGATTGAGAAGCAGTCAGAGAAGAGGATAGGTAACACAGATTGCAAACTTTTGTCAAAACAATGAAACCAAGCCAAAATACAAAATTTAAAGAAATAAATGTCAAATCCTTTGATTAGTTTCCTTAAGCTAGATCCAAAAATCCGCCGGTTTGGAGTCTACCGAAAATATATTAAAACGTGAAAGACACCAAGGGATAATTTTTCTGCTAGATGTATGTAATATAAAAAGGGTTAGGGTTATTTCATTAAACTTCTAATGGAAGTATTAAACTTCCATTAATGAGATGCGGTAAGTTGTTGTAAAGATAAACGAACCCAGCTCTCCTTACAGAGCTACACTTGCTAAGGAAAACACTTTGCCTTTCAAGGGGCGGAACTATAAGGTCGGATTTCATTGGTGGAATCTGTTTGAATTTCAAGGTTATTAATAATATTTATTATTATAATCGATATTATTAACAAATTGTTGTTGTTGTTGTTGTTGTTTTACCTGGACTTTGTCGTTGTTATCAATTGCGGGTTCTTGATTGATTGGATTGGTGGCGTAAGATGATGATGACGAGAACGATGATGAAAAACTTAAGCCTTCAAGTTGATGTTGTTGTTGGTGTTGTAGCGGTTGTTGTAGCGGTTGTTGTTGTTGATGTTGTCGTTGATGATGTTGTTGCTGCTGTTGATGATGATTAGTTGATTGATTAATGGTTGACATGATTGGCTGTTTGATAGAATTGACAACTGAAGGAGATGATGACGATGACAAGTGCTGTTGTTGATGTTGTTGTTGTTGATGTTGTTGTTGTTGATGTTGTTGCTGATGATGTTGTTGTTGTTGATGTTGTAGTTGATGTTCGATAAGTTGTTGCTGAAGTTTGGTTTCATCATCATTAACAGCCGCTGGCGTCACAATCATTTGAGAATCATCGTTCTGATGGTTTATAAATTTTCCAGCACCATCATTCGCAGCACCATCATCGCCAGTGTCAACATCGTCACCACAACTCTTTTCTATGGGGTAATCATCGGATGTTACACTCAGTATCGAAAGCGATGATGGTGAGGACGCTACATCTGTCGTCGCTGTCGTCACGTTTGTTGCTGCTGATGTTGTTGTTGTTGTTGTTGATGTGATTGTTGGTGTTAATGTTGTTGAGGTTTCTGCTGTTAATGTTGTTGATTCAGCTTGGTCAAATTTTAATCTCAACAAACTGACTGAATAACCACCTGATGTTGTTGATTTTGTTGATGTTGTTGTTGATGTTGTTGTTGTTGTTGATGTTGTTGTTGATGTTTTATCTGAAGTGCATGGTACAATGGTCGACTGTGATACAACATCATCAGCTAGAAAATTTTTAAAAATTGTTAAATAGGAGGTTGCAATTATGAAACATCACCCCATCAGATACGATGGGATGATGTTAAATTATACGACTAAATTTTATAGCCAAAATTAGTTCAAAAGGATTGTTGCAATTAAATTCTGAGATCTTAAAGCTAATTAAGCACAAAATATTTCATTGTGATGGTGCTAGCTGAAAGTTTATATAGCTTACTATTTGTTGGGAAAGTTGTAGTTGAAGACATTTTTGTTGACGACGACGACGACGATGATGCTGTTGTTGTTGATATTGTTGTTGATGTTGTGGTTGTTGTTGATGTTGTTGTTGATGTCGTTGTTGTACTATCAGTTGGAGAGGTCAGTGTGTACTTGCTTCTGATACTCGCCTGGTCATGTTTAATCGCGAGATGTTTACGGATAATTTTTTTTAAATAAATTATTAATATTTATAATTATAAAATTATTATAAATGAATAAATAAATGAATGAATAAATGAACGACCGAAAAAATGACTGACTGGATGAATTAATGAATGAATGATTAAATAAATTAATAAATATGAACAACTTGATCGAACGGAGTAACATCAGGCAGAACTTGCAGCAATCTTTTCAAGGTGTTGCTGTCGAAACCAATTGAAAATAAACTGTCTTTCAGTGGCTGTGCTTTTGTTGTTGATGTTGATATGTTGTTGCTGCTTTTTAACGATTTTGTTGTCGACGAGCTGTAGATGTTATTGTTATTGTTGTTGTTACTACCGCCATCAACACCAGATGCATCACCATCATTGTCGTCGTCGTCGTTGCGGTTGTTGATTGGATTAAATTGATTGATAGAATGTGTGAGCTGTCTGGCAAATTGACTGACTAGATGTGAGTCGGTTGCGTTGTTGTTGTTGACAGTATCGCAACCATCATCATCGTTGTTGAGGTTGTTGTTGTTGAAGATGTTGCTGCTGTTGAAGTTTAGAACAGTCGGTTCCCTACTAAACTGTCTTAACTCGGCGTGTTTTGTTGATGTTGTTGTTGTTGGTTTTGTTGATGTTGACATGTTGTTGTTGTTGTTGATGTTGTTGTTGTAGTGCGTTGTTGTGTTATGAAATTCTCGATTATTTCTGCAGAATTCTTGAAAACTGCAATTTGAATTTTTGCAAAATTTAAAAAAAAAATGAAGAAACAATAATTATTCATAACCTTGTATACAAACATGTATACAAACATGTATACAAACAGACATACATACATACAAGCAAACCTCAACGTACAAACATACACACACATTCAGACATCAACATACAAACAAACATACTGACTTTGCACCAGGGGAGCAGGTAATGTTTTTCAATGATTTTGAAAGATAGTTGTACTTTGGCGGCATTGCCGACGACAGCTAGTGTTTGTGGTTCATTATTATTATTATTAATATTATTATTATTATTAATATTATTATTAATATTATTATTATAACGAGTTTATAAAGTGTTATTAAAACAAATATCTCTAAAACGCCATAAGTTAATACATGAACGAAAAAAAAAATTGAAACGAGCATGAAATAAAACTGCAGATCAGAGGTAATAAATATCTTTGAGTTTGTCTTAAATACATCGCTGGACAACCAAGAAGTTGAATCCTCTAAAAAATTACGTTCGATTCTTATTGAAACTTATCCAACAGATATCTAGACAACAGTCAATTCGTGGTTTTAAACCTCAGATGATAAATTTTAAAATTTTTGACAAGAACATCAACCACAACAAAGTATGTAAAAAGTTCCAATATACAAAGTTAATACAAATGTAACATCGGCATACTTCATCAAAGTTTTTGTTTCCGTGATTGATATAATGTCCTAAGCTGTTCATTCTGTACGTTCGTGTGTGTGTTTGTATGTATGTTTGTATGTAAGTATGTATGTATGTTTGTATGTATGTATGTATGTATGTATGTTTGTATGTGTGTATGTTTGTTAGTTTGTATGTGTGTTTCCAGATGCGTTTGTATGTTTGTTTCTTGGTGCCAGTTATGAACAACCATCCTTGTTGTTATTAATAAACATGACAGGAATACAATTGACAACAACACAAAATCTACCTTAAGGCAACAACATTAGCATAACATCAGCAACAACACTGCAGCAACAAAAACACAATCAATAACAACAACTACTACCTGTTGTGCCCAGAACTGATTGTGTTGCCATGCACGGGTTTATCTAAAAAGTTGTTGTTGACGATGTTGTTGATGATGTTGTTGTTGTTGATGTTGTTGTTGTTGATGATGTTGTTGTTGTTAATGTTGTTGTTGAGGTTGTTGTTGTTTGCAAGGTACAACTTTTCCGTCACTGGATGACGTAACGTGCCAGAGAAAATGTTTTGTTGTTGTTGTTGATGTTGTTGTTGTTGCTGTGGGTTTCGAGTTATTTTCGAGTATATATTTTCGCAGCGGTATGATTCATTGTTGCTGCTAACACAATCGTTGTTGATGTTGTTGATGGTTTTTATGTTGTTGTTGTTGTTGATGTTGTTGTTGTTGTATACATCCATTGTTGAGTACATGGATTGTGTTTGTTGTTGTCTGTTGCAGCTGTTCTTATTGTAGTTTCTTGGAGCTGTGGCTATTCCTGGTGAGGATGACGTAGATGATGACGTCACTGGGGAAAAACAGTAAGATAATGATGGTGATGGCGATGAGGAAAGAAACGCCAACCTGAAACGTGACTGTAATGACTTGAAACATCATCCTCCGTGCCGAACACCCCTTGGTAGTTTGAAATGGACCCACCCACACCCCCTACGCACACTCCTCCGTCATCATCATCATGACTGCCGAGTTCTTCCGGGGAGGAGATGGCTCGCCTCGGTTGAACCACGGGGGAGGTGGGGTTCGAAGCTGACTTTCTACTCGTCTGATTGCGCTGGCGTCATGACCGTGATAATGAAGAAGATGGTGATGATGGTGGAGATGGTTGTGAAGGTTATGATGTGATGTGATGATGGTAACAAAAATGATTGAAAGACGGAAATATAAAATGAGGGAGAGAGTGATAGGGCGATAGAGAAAATAAAAGAGAGAGGAAGAGATAATTTAGTTTCAAAAAATATATGCAAGAGAGAGAGAGAGAGAGAGAGAGAGAGATTGAGGAAAGAGAGAGTAAGGTCACCCACCACTAGCCACGCAGCTGCTCTGTACACTTGTTTGTACATGTGTGTATGTGTACATGTAAAGTATGTGTGCGATTGCACGCAGGCATGATTGTGAGTATGTATGTGTGTGTATGTTTGTATGTGTGTGGGTATGTATGTTTGTTTGTATGTATGTATGTTTGTATGTGTGTAGGTATGTATGTATGTTCAAGTAAACATTATTACAACAAAACATAACAACTACAACAACAACAACAGAAACAACAACAACGACAACAACAGAAACAACAACAACAGCAGCAGCAGCAAAAACAACAACAACAACAGAAACATACAGAGCAGCACTCTCTGAATCTCCTGGCGTCAGTTGGAGTGGTGAAGTTGAGTCCCCATTCGTGATCCAGCTTCGAATCCTTCCAGTGCACGAAACATTCGGACGCCTGAGTTATGCGAGTCCCTGCGGCCGTCGGTGGGCGTTGAATTGTGGCCAATTATCGCCAATTTTTTGACGAATTATTGATGGGTTATTGGCGAATTTTTAGTGGACTATTGCTGAATATTTGTTAAATTGGTCTCGAATTTTCGACAGATTTTTTGATGAATTATTTGTAAAATTTTGAAAAATTATTACTGAATTATTTGTGATAAAATTTTGATAAATTATTGGTGAATTATTGATAAAAAACTGTAGAAAATAATGATGTGAAAGTTCAACATTGAATGAAATGATGAGAACAAATCGTTGGTAGCACTAAAAGAGCCACAAATTTGTGAGCACAATTACTAAACTTACCGTAAGATTCATAACATTTGTGGAGAAGCATGTGGAGAACCCACCACCACCACACAACAAACAAACGAATGAACGAACGAACGAACCAGGTTGAGTCAGTTTGACGTCAAATATCTTCTCGACATGTCGGTTGTAGGCGGTGATCTGGAAGATGGCCAGTGGATTGTTCTGGACGCAGGTAATGTTGATCGGTACAACATCATCCGACAACTTGCTCCAACATATCTCTCCGTCTTCCTCCTGAACCTCAAATAACTCCGCCCACAGTCTGTTTTCATTGGTTGGCCAGTTTTGATTGATTTGGCTCAATATGTTTGAAATCAAACACGTTCACACAATATATAACAAACGCCCCATCATCTACAAGTACACACACACACACACACACACACACACACACACACACACACCTCAAAAGATGCGAATCCTTCCTGGGCGTCCATTGGTTGTCATCATCTTGGTAGACCTTCTTCCAGGGCGCACATAATTGGTTGCCCATGCCAGAAACGAAACGTGATTGGCCGGTTAAGTTGAATAAAATGTTCTGATTGGCTGGTTTGATGATGAGCAATTATTGAATAGTTTGATGGATTGCTGTGATTGGCTGCAGGGAATCAGTTGATTGGTTGTAGAGAAATAAACAGACATCAATGATCAAATGAATGACAAGTTGACCAAATTATTTTTAACAATCTTTGGCCACGTATTCAAACTATTGTTACTTTCATAATTGTTATTGCCGCTGCTTAGTAGAACAAAATAGATGAAGCAGTTTGATGTTTGTAATCCATTTAAGAGATGATGGTTTTGTCGTTGTTGATGTTGATGACAATGTTGTTGTTAATATTGTTGACGGTGTTGTTGTTAATGTGGCCACCGAAAATTATCTGACATCTGGTTCATTCATCGGATTCATTGACTCTCCATTCCATCAGGATCTCTAAAACTTGCCTCGCTATCCTTTCGTCCATCAATCTATATTCGTTCATTCATTCATTCATTCGTTTATTTATCTTTCCATCCACCCATTTCTTCATCCATCGACTTTTCAAACAATCCATCTATTCATCAGTTCATTCATCCATCTAACCGTCCATCCATCTATCCACATTTTCTTTCTTAAACTATGTATTCCAAGAAACTCAACTAATATAGCAATTATAATTATTATTCTTTATAATATATTTTTATTAAATATGTTTAATTATAGCCATTAGTTGGTGCTAAACTGACCAACAACAGCCTAAAAAACGCCAACTTATTCAGCATTGGTCGCAAAGCTGACGTTGAATGCACCTAGGAAAGGGTTATGCTATGAAAAATATTCTGTAAATGAGTCTGCTTCTTTTGAAAACTTGAAAAATACGTACGTACGTATGTATGTCTGTATGTATCTATGTATGTATGTATCTATGTATGCATGTATCTATGTATCTATGTATGTATGTATCTATGTATGCATGTATGTATGCCTCCGCGAAATATATTAGCATTCATGCACGCATGCATTTGTCTCAAACTGTATTAATACAACTGCATAAAGTGAAGAAAAAGAAACAACATCTTCCTCTTCCTCCTTCTCATCATCGTCGTCATCATCATCATTAAACAACAACAAAAACATCCTCACTTATTATAAACGTACCGAGAAGATTAGTTAAAAAATTACAACTTTATTGCTAATATTAATAATAATACTAAACTACGACTACCACTACTACTACTACCACTACTACTACAACAACTACTACTACCGCAGCTTCTTATGAGACAGTGAACACATCTTTTATTGATCAGGCCAGCTGCATGTTGCTCAAGGAACCAGCAGACAGCAGCCTTCAATCTATGTTTGAATGTATGTGTTTGTATGTATGTGTGTTTGTATGTATGTGTGTTTGTATGTATGTATGTATATATGATGTATGTATGTATGTGTGTGTTTGTGTGCGTGTATAAAAAATGTTACCACGGACCCATGCAATCCAGCGCTTGCTTTCGAGTGTCATGATTTTAATGTATTCATCACGCAAGATGATAACATCTTCATCAGCGTCAACACCCTTGTTATTATTATTCTCCTCATTATTATAATTACTGTTATTTTTATTATTATTTTTATTATTATCAATTTTGGAAAGAGAACAGAAGAGGAATTATCTCTCAACTGATAATGATGAAACCACTATGATGATGATGACGACGATGATGAAGAAGATGGCGTATGATGAAGATGTAAACGATGAAGACGACTGTGAATTGCGAAAATGATTTAGGCGAGCCATCTGTGGAATGAATCTGCACTTCCAGTTGGATGAAAATTTTAATTTCTCCATTCCAACGTGTATCCAATCATTCAACAGTTCATCAATTCATTCATGCATCAGTTCATGCGATCATTCATCCATTCATTTACTTATTAAATAAAAATGAAAAACACGATTTATATAATTATTTATTTCGATTTATTATCAAAAAATTTTTTAAGAAAAAAGTTCACAAAATTTCACTGACTCGATGATAAAATTTGATTTAAACAACATAGAAACATACACACAAGCTAACATACATGCAAACATACATTCAAACAGACATTCAAAGGTACATAAACAGACACAAACCGATGTTCAATTATCACATTGATTACAATTAGAAATGCATAAGAAACGTCATCTGAAAATATTATTATTGATGATTATTATCACAAATTAAAGTTTTTTTAAAATTTATATAATTAACAGCTGTGTGCATAAAACCCTTGAAGCTATCTAAACTGTGTGTGTTTGTGTGCGTGTACGTGCAGTTTCGTTTCGAATGGTGATACATCTGCAGGCTTGTCTCGTTTCAAATGAGTCGATACGATCGATACAACAGAGCGGAAGAGGAAAAAGGTTGAGATCGGAAAAATGATCGAGTGAACAACAACAACAACAACAAAATCATTAGAAACGATAATAATAACAATAATAATAATAATTATTGTTATTATTACAAATAAAAAACTTTTAATGTGTGAGATTCATCTGCTTGTGTGTCAGTGTGTGTGTAAATGAAATAGGAAAATTATTGCGCTCCAAATTTGTCTGTTGGGCCTTAGTTTCAACCACAACCTCAACAACAACAGCAACAAAATAATAATAATAAAAATAATTATTATTTATGTAATAATAATAATAATATCAAACATTATTAAAAAATTTATACGCGTAGATAATGGTAAAGTTAAGAGGTAAATGATTATTATTAACATAATTATCATCATCATCGTCACCACACAATCATCATCATCACCACATCATCATCATCATCATCGTCGTCATCAACAACACTGGTTGTCAGTTGCCGCACCGAACATGTTCATGTTCTGACCCATGTCTCGACATTCCTGCAACTCAACTCCTGATGATGACGACGATGGTGATGATGATGGTTATGATGTTGATGATGATGGTTATGATGGTGATGATGATGGTTATGATGGTGATGATGATGACGATGGTAATGGTGGCTCAATAGACTGGAAAAACGAACTTTTCAAGACCTAATAAAAAACAGCCTTCAAGAAAAATGACACAACAATCATACTAACCACACATGCAAACACAACATGCACACAGATTACACGTACATACAAATACCCATATAAATATACCCATATATACACACACAAACAGACAGACAAACTGAGACAAATACAGAAACAAACTTCTAATGAATTTTGAAAGATCAACATCATTCGCTTGCAGGGCTAATGTACTCGGGAGGAAACCCTTATAATAATAATAATAATAAAAGAATTATAATAATAATAATAATAAAAGAATAATAATAATAATAATAATAATAATAATGGTAATGATGATGATGGTGATGAGAACTACGACAAAGATGATGAGGAACGTGTTAGTATGACGAACGAGACGACGATGATTATGCTAATAACGATGACGTCATATGATGTTGATAATGAAAATGATGGTGACGTCATACTTCGTCATCTCGGATGCAGCATCTGCATCCGGCTATGATGAGCGTGAGTATGATCTTGCGGTTAACAATGGAGCAGGCCTTGTGGAGGGCCGTCTGCTTCCTGGTGGCGATGATGATGATGATGATGGGGGCAATGATGATGATGGTGGTAGTGATGATGATGATGATGGTGGTAGTGATGATGATGGTGGTGGTGATGATGATATCAACTTACTTCAAATTGTCTACAACGTCGTAAATTGAGGTGGGAGCTGAAATAAAAAAAAGTCATCATCATCATCATCGTCACCATCATCATTATAATTATTATCCATGGACAAATGCATGAAGAAACTAATGAGCGAGTGATTGAATGAAAAAATGAATGAATGAGAGAATGAAAGAATGAGCAAACTTCTGGCGATCAAGTGTTGAACGACTCTGAGATGATCATTCACGCAGGCATAGTGCAAGCCTGTCATTCCCGTTATGCTGTCCCGTGTCTCCGCGTTCTCCCTTGTTATGTTCAACTTCTGCAACTGGATGAATGAATGAAGGAAGAAAAGAATGTAGGAGTGAATGATCGAATGAGTGAGTGAATAAGTGAGCGAGTGAATGAAGGCATGGATAATTGAATGAATGAATACATATGAAAGAAATGAATGAATGTTTTACAATCTTGGCCGGTTGGTTGCCTTTGGTCATGTTCAATTTTTGCAACCAAATGAATGAATAAATAAACGAATGAATGAACAAATGAACAAACAAATTAATGAACAAACGAACGAATGAACCGACGAACAAACGAAAAAATGAACGAATGAATGAACGAAGGAAAAAAAGACAGAACAAACTGTTTTCATATCTCCAGTCTTGCAAGCGATCAGAAATGCTGTGGGGAGTGATGATGGTGTTCATGATCATCTATTATTTATGAAATACCATGATCAGTAGCAGCAATAATAATAATAATTATTATTATTAAAATTATTATTATTATTAATTCTTCTGAATATGATTTCGACTGAACAGGGCAGTCACACCGATAATGAAAATAATAAATCATCTTGCCCCAAAGGCTATTACATCATCAGCGCCAACGAAGTCGTCGTCGTCATCACTATAAATCAGAGGGTGGAAAATTGCGGCTTGCAGGATTATTGCAGTGCAATTTAGTTGCATGATCGGCGTGATAGCCTAGTGGTTAGTGTCGCTTACTTCGGTTTTGCAGTGACCTGGTTCGAATACGACAAAAGCACACTGAGTATGGCCCTTCGAACCCGCTACTTATTCCCACGTAGCCCACAAAAAAAAAGTTTGCCCCTCCCCCTTGCTGAAAACATGTGACCTGCAGTACCGCTATAATCATAACCACCTGATTGTAAAATTGTTCTTTCAGGCTGAATACGACTCTCATCATCACCATCACCATCTTCGTCGTCGTCGTCATCATCATTTTTGGTTCGCTTGTAGTTGCTGTAGTTGTTGTTGTTGTTGATGTTGGCACATTCCGTTCGGCCATCGTAAATGATAATGTTGTTCTTATCACAGGATTCATTGACGGTCTTTTGCTTTTTCTTTTTATTATTATTATTATTATTATTATTATTATTGATTCGGGTATCATTATCATAATCTCTTCTTTCTCTCTTGAAAGCTCGATAATCAAAGCATCGGTGATCGCGACGATCGTCATTACTATCACCACCACCATTATCATCATCATCCTCATCATCATCTTCATCATCCTTGTTTTGGCGATCATCATCATCGTCCCCATCGTCGTCGTCGTCATCATAACCGCCGCAAAGTGAGAGATCATTATCAGGATCGAGAATGAAGAGATGGGAGGAAGTGACATCACTCATGTAGTGCTGGTGCTCCTTGCCCGCTTTGATCCGGAAGTACTGATCAGCTGTTTGCGCTGGTGGTAATGATAATGATGGTGGTGATGATGAAGATGACGATGGTGATGATGACGACGATGAAAAGGATGATTATCAAAACTCCTCACTATCGAGAAAGCACCAGGATTCACTCAGACCCGGAGTTCGAGACGTGTTATTCGGAAAAGTCTGCAGATAGAAGTATATTGGTTATTTTATTATTATTATTAATTATAGTATCATTATCATTAATTATAGTTTTATTATTATTATTTTTAACTATGGTTTTATTATTCTTATTATTAATTATATTATCGCAAATATAATTGATAAAATAAATACGAACTTTCCGCAGTTTGCTGTTGATCAGTTGTCTCACTGATCTCAAATCGCTATCGTGCTCTGCTTCGATCGTTGTGATTGTGATGGCTGTGTGTGTGTGTACGTGTGTGCGTGTGTGTGTATGTGAATAGTTGCAGATGTATACAATGTAAATGCACCGTAATCCCCATTTTAGCAACAATTGCTTGAAATTTGTTAAAAACTAGCCAGTATAAATTGTTTAACATTTCGTTATTTTATTTACAATACATAAAAAAGCACACACACACACACACACACACACACACACACACACACACACACACACACACACATACAAACATACACACACACACACATACAGACATACACGTTTGATTAAGCTTCAACTTATCGTGGATGAGCGTAGAATAGTCAGCCATTGTGACCAGTCTGATCTGAATCTCTGATATGTTGGTGTCTTGCCTGCCTGCGATGTTACTGATGATGATGACGACGATGATGATGATGATGACAAAGATTATGATATTGTTGATGGAGGTAATGGGTAAATATTGAAAAGAAGGTGAAAAATCACCATCATCATCTTCATCATCAACAACAACATCATCATCATCATCACCCAGATTGCACAGACGATGTTGAGCCTCTATTCTTCAGTTTCTGGAGCATGCAAGCCTGGTTTCTCCGTTCGATCGTGATGGTGGAAGGAGAAAGACTGATGATGATGATGAAGTTAATGATGAAGTTGATGGTGACGATGATGACGATGATGATGGTGATGATGATGACGATGATGACGCCAGCAACTGACCGACAGGGCTCTCCATCCACCTGGACAGGCATGGACTTGAAAGTTTTAACGCAGGCCTTCTGACACTGAGTCACCCTGACTCCACTGTGGGCACCCATCTGCAGACTGGCCTGTCGGTCGTACATTCAAGTGCGTACTTACATACAACTAAGTACAAGCATACATTAGGATAAAATAAAATAAAGTAAATGTAAATGATAGACTGCAAACATTCAAAAAGGCGAGCAGAGACACACTTAAAAACGAACAAACAGTCAGAGAGACAGACAGACAAACACACAAAAATATAGACAGACAGACAGACAGACAGACAGGCAGACCAATGAAGCAGCGGTGAATCCGACAACCTCCAGGTATCCATCGTCTGGTTTCTGCTGGCGAAAGTTACTTGAAGATGAGTTGCCCCACGGGTTGGTTCCTGCGGCGTACCTGGTGGCGATGACGTCATGATAACGTCATCATAACGTAATAGTGATGACGACGACGACGATGTGATGATAATATGATGGAGATTGCAAGGAAGTAGAAGCGTTCTATGGCGCTAATAGATTTATGATGGATGTTAATGAGGATAATCGCATTAAATTAATATCATCATATGTATTAATACATCTCAGTAGGTAACATTTTGAAAGAGATAGATAAGTAGAAAAATAGAGAGATAAAGAGAGAGAGAGAGAGAGAGAGAGAGAGAGAAAGAGAAAGAGAGAAAGAAATAAAGAAAAAAGGTAGGAGAGGCAAAGTGACGTAAAAGAATAATAGACATTATTTCATTAGATGTCAGTGCTAAAATGGACAATAAAACATGATATAACGTTGTGTGTATGCGTGTGTGTGTGTGTTTGTGAGCGTGTGGATGCATCGTCATGTATGCTACATTTATTTATCTCACGTACCTCTCTCTCACCCTTTCTCTCGATTTGCATCGTCACTTTTCCCACAGGGGTGGCAAACTTATTGCTGTGAGGGCCGCGTTGAGAACTATTTTACCTTTGAAGGGCTGCATATGTACTTAATTAGCAAATTTTTTCGACCTTTTTTTGGCGAGCAAGGCTTTGCGGGCCGCATAAAATATCTTCGCGGACCGTTCTTTTACACACACACACACACACACACACACACACACACACACACACACACACACACACACACACACACACACACACACACACACACACACACACACACTGATTCTTCTCTCTCTTTCATCTTCTTTCAATCATTCACTCATTCATTTTATATTCATATCTTCTCATTTCTTATTCTTTTCTTCTATTCTTTCTATACAAAAACATTAGCGAAAGTGAAACTTGAATGGAATGAACGAACGAATGAATGAAAGAACGAACGAAAAAAAACAATGGAAAAATAAAAGAGAGATGGCGAGAGTGAGGAGGGAGATGAGATTTAAATTTAAATTAAAGTAACAAAAATTCAAAGAAGATGACTGAAAAAAATCTAAGAGATAAACAAGAGACAGAGAGAGAAAGAAAGAGAATGGATGAATGAAATGAATGAAAAAACACAAAAAATAGAAAGATGAAACGAAAAAATGAGAGAGAGAGAAAGAGAGAGAGAGAGAGAGAGAAAGAGAGAGAAACAATGCTGTCTGGGCAGATAAATAAATTATTTCAAATGATTCCACAAGTATAATTGGATTTATTTGCTGCTATATTTGGACGATGATGATGACGACGATAATGATGATGTTGATGAAGATGATGTTGGTGACAAAAAAGTGTTACTAATTGTGATGACGATTGATCATGAAAATGATGCAGACAAATCAAAATCATTACATTATAAATATAATATATGACGTCATCATCATCTTCATCGTCGTCATCATTTATCATCATCATAGCTAACTTTGGGATGTTGAGGAATAGTAAGCAGTGAAATTTCGAATGCTTCACAATTGAATCCATGTTTTGTCCGTCACACTTCACGAGTGAATGAATGAATGAACGAATGAAGGAATGAATGAACGAGTGAATGAATGTATGAACGAATGAAAAAGTGAAGTAGGACAAATAAATGAATGAGTGAATAAATAACTAAATTGAATGAATGAATGACTAACTTACTGACAAAATGAATGAATAAATGTTAAGAAAGACTCGATGGAAGAAGAGTTAATAAACGAATGAACACCAGAATGAGCAAGAAATGAATGAATGAATGAAAGAATGGAGGAATGAACCTACTTCTAGGCATATGTACTCCGTTAAATCCTTCCAACTCCTCTTCAAAATATCTATGCCCCCGACCTTCATAATTTTCATTTCAAACAAATCTTCAAATCATAATTTTTTTCCAATGTAATTTACTTCAACTATTCAATTCAATTCAATTCGTTTATTTTCTCAAAAGAGGGGTAAACTAAAAAAGCAACCAAATGCTTGTAAGAAAGTCACCCTATCCAAATAAAATCAACATTGATCAACAAAAATCAAAAATTAAAATAGTTCGACAAAAATCAAGGATTAAACTAGATCGAAATAAATCAAAAGTTATTGAACTGCAGATTCTATTCTATTAATCTTATGAAACAGAGATATAGTTCAAAATGAGTACATAAAATTAAAGTTTTGAATTTAGGATTCTATAGCATTTCAATAAATTAAATATGAAACCAAATATAGTTCAAAAGTAAGAGTACATACATATATACATACCTACATACACACATACATACATACATACATGCATACATCCATACATACATACATACATAGTTATTCAAGCATAATATTTCGCATTTTAATTTGACGATTCATTTTTTTCGTCTCATTTTTTTCTAAGGATTCTATTAACTTATTAAATATGAGAGATTAAATGAAGAAGAAGAAGAAGAAGAAGAAGAAGAAGAAGAAGATGAAGAAGAAGAAGAAGAAGAAGAAGAAGAAAAAGAAGAAGAAGAAGAGGAAGAAGAAAAAGAAGGAGAAGTAGGAGAAAAAGAAGAAGATGAAAATGATGACAACGAACAAAAAAATTAGCAGAATATTTAATCATTTTCGTTCTTACGATCTGACGAACGAAGGAGGAAAAAAGAGAAGTAATTTAACAAGTGAGAATGACGCTGATGTATGTGGGCTTTTAAATCTTTCTTGATGTTGTTGCTGTTGTTGATGTTGTTGCTGTTGATGTTGTAGGTGTTGATGTTGTTGTTGGTGCTGACGATGTTGTTGGTGTTAATTTTGTGATTGTTGGAAGTTCAAGCGCACAATGGGCATCTGCGTCTCGACTCGTTATTCTCGTTTCCTGCCAATCGAGACACCTTCCGTGTCGTTATTCAAACGAGGCATTTTTCAGGAAGTCTCGTATAAAATAATAAATAGGAGGCAACATTTTTGTCATTTTAACGTCTCGAAAAGATTTAAATGCAGAGAAATCATTCTTAAAAAATGAAAAGTTTTACAAAATCGTAACTATAGTTTCGCATTTCGATTTCAATGACTTTTGTTTCTGTTTCTTTCAATGCAGTTCGCTCGGTAAATCAGAGTTAGCGGAGAAAGAGAACTCGCCTGCCATGTCTCTCAACAGCTAAAAGTACATCTAGCAACCATCCAGACAGTCTTACGAGCTACCTGCTGGTTGCTCGCCGGAGATGGAAAATGATAGGTCTGGCGCATCAAAAATCGCTCTATTTGTTGGTTTAGTGGTCTCATATAATTGTTCAACTCAAATAAGCAGGTTTTCAGGTTTTGTTTTTATTTCAAACTTATCTTTAACTTTTTGCTGGCCAAACATTACACAGCAGCGGTAGCACAAAATTAACGTTGCAGTGCTAGCAGGTTCCAAACCTAAAAATTTCAAACGCCCCTCAACATCGTATTGCTATAGGGGTGCTGTCTGTTGGATAGTTATCTATCTGATGCAGAAGGGTTGTCTCGTTTCGTTCGAGACAAAACTGCAGTATCGTATCGAATCGTATTGCCTCGAAATAACTAATAACGAGACGCCGATGCTTACGTGCAAAAGGCGCGAATTGTTGATATGACATTGAATAAAAATTCTATCAAGAAATTGAATAAATTGTGGCAATTAATTAAAAATGCACATAAATTATGATAATGTTACCCCGGCGTAGAACATTTTGTTTTTGAACCTGCTGTTGAACTTCTCCGGCTTGGCTTCTGAAGAGGTTGAGTAAAAAATTTCATTTTTATAAACTTTAAAAATCTCTAATGCTTCTATCTTTATTACTACCATCATCATCACCACCATCATCATCACCACCATCATCATCACCATCATCATCACATCATCATCATCACCATCATCATCACATCATCATCATCATCGTCATCATTCTCATAACCTCTGGACTCGTGAAATTCGAGCGTAACATTAGCATCGGCCCCAATACTGAAATAATTGTTCATTACGTTGAGTGGAAGCTTCGTGACGCTACCACCGCCACTACTACCACTATTTCCACACCCACCACTACTACCGCCACCACCAATATTGCTGAAGTTACCGGCACAACCATTCCCACCATCGTAGTCTGTTCCACTAAGACAACTGCTACCAAGCAACAAGTTTGTTGATGTTGTTGTTGATGATGTTGTTATTGTTGATGATGTTGTTATTGTTGATGATAATGATGTTGTTGTTGTTGATGATGTTGTTGTTGTTGTTGATGATGATGATGGTGTTGGTTGATCGTCTTCTATCGCAAGGGGCTCGACTTGAAGATTCCATCTAGAAATATGTGGTGATTAGGATGATGATGATGACGATGATAGAGATGATGATGATGATTACGATAATAAGGGTGAAGGTTAGGATGAGGAAGATGATATACTTAAATAACAATGTATTTTTTCAACCACCATCATCATCATCACCACTACCATCATCATCGTCACCACCACCATCATCATCATCATCATGACCACCTGTCCACAAGAACGGAAACAGCTTCTTCAACGGATGATAAAATTTTACTCACTGGTTCGTCTGTGTAGCCCTGACGATGATGATGACGACGACGACGATGATGATGATGACGACGACGATGATGAAGATGATTATATCATCAACTACTACTACTACTACTGCTACTACTACTGCTGCTACTACAACAACTGCTGCTACTACAACAACTGCTGCTACTACAACAACTGCTGCTACTACAGCTTCTGAGAGAGTGACGTTGCACACGTTGTTCAGATACAGATACAGTAATACAAATAATTATAACGATAATAATAACAACAGCAGCAGCAGCAGCAACAGCAGCCGCCATGTGGCAACGTGGAAACTGGAGGAGGCGAGAAGGAACCCATCAGTTACATCTCGTCGACACTTTCAACATTTCTACACAACTTTCCACACTTTATTTTTACCCTCTCCTTCATTCTCTCTCTCCCTTTTCTGCCTTCCTTTTCTTTTTCTTTTTCTTTTTCTCTTTCATCTTTTTCTCTTTCTCGTTCTCTCTCTCCTCATTCTTCCACCATCTTTTCGTTTTTGTTAGAATTAATTCACACGTCTTCAAAAATTCATGCGCAAGAAGTTTTCATGTTTCCACCTGCTTGCCGGCCTTCATCCCGGGCAACTGACCAGGGCCGGCCCTAGCCCAGGGGGGTAGCAAAATGGTGCACCCAACAAGGGCGACTAAGTTTAAGGGGCGGCCAAATATTTATTCAATAAAATTGTCATTACTTATACAATCATCGTCGTCGTCATCGTCACCAACAACAAGGTCGTCATCATCCCATCACATCAGAACCACCACCAAACTCACCCCTCCCCAGTTTAAAGTCCTGGCCATGTCATTTCCGGTCCCCAAAGGCAAGATGGCGACAGGGGGGTGGGGTTGAAGTTGGAGGTGGTCGATGGCCGACAGGACCCACCCCACCGTTCCGTCACCCCCGCATGTCAGAATCCTGAGATTAGGAACCTTCTGATAGAGTTCTAATCTGTAGTGGTGGTGGGGGTGGGGGTGGTGATGATGATTGAGGTTAACTTATCTTGTGTGAAATCAAAATTTTTTAAATAAAGCAAGAGAATGAATGAATGAGTGATTGAATGAGTGATTGAAAAAGTTAGCAACAAATAAAAGCACAAATGAACGAATGAATGGAAAAATGAGAGTAAGTAAAAATGAAAGAATGAAGAAGTAGATGGAAACATTTTAAAAAATCAATTTAGGGAATGCACTGAGTCCTTGCAACTATTTTAAACATCATTTTGCGTGCTTGCTTGTTTCTACGTATGTATGTCTCTGTCTGTCTGTCTGTGTGTGTGTGTGTGTGTGTGTGTGTGTGTGTGTGTGTGTGTGTGTGTGTGTGTAAGAAACATGAGTTATAAATAGACGGAAGAAATACTTATTTATTCACACGTCAATAAACAAACAAGCAGCCAAGCATAGGCAGACACACACTCGCCGAAGCATCCAATCATATCGACGCAACCGCGCGATACGATGACGTAACTATGACGTCATCCTTATCGATTTTATTCTCTCCTGATCTTCCCCGGAAGATGTTGTACGATGATAACGGAAGCGATCAAGAAAAAACACAAAAAACGAACGACTGCATGGAGGGGGGGGGACGTGGCCAACAGGGGGCATCTTCGCATCTGCGTCATCAACCAACCGCCATTCCCACATTCAGATACAAACATGATACAGGAGTCAGATACAAACATGATGAAAGAATCAGATACAAACATGATACAGGAGTCAGATGGATACAAGAGTTAGATACAAGCATGATGCAGATGTCAGATACAAACATGATACAGGAGTCAGATACAAACATGATGCAAAAGTCAGATAAAAACATGATACAGGAGTAAGATACAAACATGATGCAAAAGTCAGATAAAAACATGATACAGGAGTCAGATACATACAGTTCGCAAATAGTTAAACAACCACCAACAACGAAAAATTAATTTTTTGAAAAATAATTTCCAAAAACAATACAAGGACGCATGATACGGTGAAAAAATTGAATGGAAGAAGATTTCACTCGAGACAACAACAACAACAACGCACTTAATACAACAACACACCACACACACACAAACAACACACACATGTGCAACGAAAAATATTTGAACACGAAAATGAATTCAAGCTAAAAATAGAAATGACGTCATTATTCATATACCATCTGAACATGTTTGGGCATTTGAAACATGGCGATGATGATGATGGCGATGAAGATGATAACGATGATGATGTTAATTGATATCCGGAAGCTAATGAAATTGATTTGGACGTGATGTTAATGGTGTGAATGTACATTTTGTATGTGTGTATGCATGTATGTATGCATGTATGTATGTGTGTATGCATGTATGTATGCATGTATGTATGTGTGCATGCGTGTATGTATGCATGCATGTATAGGCATTTATATTTAAAAATAATGTGTTAGCAGCGATTAAAAACACATGAAAATTCATCCTATTTGAAAAAAAAAATATAACCACCATGATACCTAAATAAACAAAGAACATAAATCAAATTTCTTATCTATGTTTAAGTAAAAAAATTTGTTCTATGTAAACAAAAACAGAGAAAAAAGATCGATGAAAATGAAAATAATAACAGCACAACATGAACATGAATATATACAAACATGTGGGTGTATGTATGCACGCATGTTTTTATGTTTGTGTGTGTGCCTGTGTGTATGTATGTATGCATGTCTGTATGTATGTTTGTATGTATTTATTTATATATTTGTGTGCGTAATGGTATAATTATTATTGATGAATGACCTGGTCACGTGGGAGACTTTGTAATCATGATGGTGATGATGTTGAAGATGATGGAGATGATGTTGAAGATGATGGTGGAGATGATGTTGAAGATGATGGTGGTGATGATGATGATGATGATGGTGGTGGTGATGATGATGATGATGATGGTGGTGGTGATGATGATGGTGCTGATGATGATGATGATGAGTGACATCGTTAACAGAGATGCTTGCAACAATTATGTGAATAAACAAACTTTTTATCCAAACAAATAAACGCTTAGCAGACATAATGATTATGATGAAGAAGAAGATGGAGAAGATAAAGAGGAAGAAGATGGAGAAGAAGAAGAAAAGGAAAAAGAAGAAGAAGAAAAAAAGGAAGAAAAAAGAGAAGAAAAAGAAGAGGAAGAAAAAGAAGAAGAGAACGAGGAAGAAAAAGAAGGTGATGAGGACGACGATGAAAACTTAAGTAATAATTTGGATAATGATGTTCTAAAAATAGCCACATTACGACTCAAAAATAGTTGTAGTAGTAGTTTTAATAACAACAATAACAATAATAACAACAATAACAATAATAATAAATTTTATTATTATTGTTATGATTCATATTTGAGAGTGCAGTTATATTCATCTCGTATGAGCGACGAGTGCCTGCTGCTATTTGATTGTAAAATTTAATTGGTGAAAACTCATCTTCGTCATCATCATCTTCTTCTTCATCATCATCACCACTACCATCACCATCATCTTCAACACCACCACCACCACCATCATCATCAGCACTCACGCGGTCTGGGGCTTGGTTTTAGTGAGGTCGAAGACTTGTCTGGGGTTGAGGTACCAGAAGAATTTGTTGACGAGCTTGCAGCCCTGGTTTCCCCCGCTCTTCGGGTTTATGAAGACCAGCAGTGGAAGGTTGTGTGGCGACGGAAGTGGCTTCACGATGAACGATTTATAAGACGGTGACGCCGATAATGAGGACGACGACGACGACGTCAGAAGTGGTGAGAGTAACGATGATGATGACGATGATACACGTAGGTGAGTCGATCGCTGGTGGTGGTGGTGGTGATGATGAGTGGAAGACGACGACGAGGACGACGACGATGATGGCGTTGTTGATAGTGTTGATATTGTTGTTGAGATGTTGCTGCTGCTGCCGCTGCTGCTGTCGCGTTTTTTCAACGTCGGCTTCTTCTTTCTACAAACTGACGACTTGAAAAAACCCTGCATATAATAATAATAACAGTAATAATAATAATAATAATAATAACGGTAGCAATAACACTTATATAATAATATTTATTATTACAACTGCAAACGAATCGTGAAAATGACCTTTTTTGGAAGTTTGATAATCCAAAATGGCGGGATGATGATTCTAGAATGTTCTCCCAACGAACAACACTCCTCTAAACAGCTCATGGTGAAGCACGTGATCTTGTTGTGGTAGGCCATCTTGCACCAGGAACAACCAATCGCAACTATTTCCTGTTTGGCAGTGATGGGGACGTCTTAATTCACATCCAGTTTTTTTACTTCTTCCGATCCTTATGCTTACAATCAATCTAATAAATATTTCCACCACCATCATCATCATCATCATCACCATCATCATCGTTATCATCACCACCACCAAATCAGATGTTCATCCTATCGGCGCATAATTCAAAGCCATTGGACAGGCAGGCGAACCGTCATTAAGACAGATGCCATTGGAGGAAGATGCATGACGTCACGAATGACGTAATCGATTGCGCCTTATCTACCATCATCATCATCAACATCATCATCGTCTTCGTCATCATTCCGTACTAAAATATAAAATATTTAAAAACATCATCAATAAAAAAGTTGTTCGTTTTCATTACCTTGTTCTGAAAGGAAAACCTCTGCGGGAAGGACTGCAAATTGAGAGTTTAATCATCATCATCGTCGTCATCATCATCATTGTCATCGTCCCATCAGCAAACAGACAATTATAAACCCATAGCTTCAGCATTGTTTATTTGTCCCTAGCGTTTTCAACAGTTAAATAAGGGTGATGATGGCAATGATGGCGACGATGATGATGATGACGTCGGTCATGATGATGATGACTATTTTTTTGCGATGAGGATAATGATGATGGCGATAGGTACAATGAAAATGATGACAAATAAAACTTTTGAAAATTTTAAAAGGTTTTTTTTAAAACCCAAGCGCATTCGCCATGGAGTTTGTAATATCGAGTTAAATTGAATTTATGGTTTCAATGCATGTGTGTAAGCATCTGTATGTTTGTTTGTATGTGTGTGTGTGTGTGTGCGTGTGTGTGTGCAACATCAACAACAATAACAATAAAAAAACAACAACAACCATTGAAATCAGTTATAAACAAGCGGGGTGCACGCATCTTCAAGATATTCAGTTATTGATGGCAGCTGCTAGAAAGCTTTATTCTACTGCTGTTGATGTAATTTTTTTGTTGCTGTTGATGTTGTATCGTTGTTGTGTTTTTGCTGTAAGGAAATGTTTGATTTTTGTCGATATGACATTGAATGATTGCTTAGGCTGACCTTACAAAACGCTATTTCTTTGGCCGCAGTTGTTGTTGATGTTTTTTGTTATTTATCTCACATTTTTGGGGGTTTTAATCTTTGAATGTATTTTTTGTGTACTTTATTGTTGTCATCTTTATTTTTAATGTTGTTTATGCTGTAATTGATGTTGTTGTTGTTGTTGATAATGTTGTTGTTGATGTTGTTGTTACTGATGTTTGTTGTAAGTGTCGGTTATTTCGTTGTGTGTACAAAAGTGTCAAAGCCGAAATCATTTGGAGTAGCTCGAAGTCGATCGGATATTTATTTTCATTCCGAGACCGTTACATACTAGGAAGTTTGTTCCATCCTATAAATATTTTTTCAATCAAGCTCGTGTTTTTTTATAACATATCTTTGTATCTCATTCTTATCTTGTATCTCATCTTTGTATCTCATTCTTATCTTGTATCTCATCTTTGTATCTCATTCTTATCTTGTATCTCAATTATAATAATAGACATATGCGTGTTTAGCGAGGCAGTCATTTGTAGTACTGAAAATGAATGCCGGTAACGTAAATAAAATCACGCAATTTTCTTTCAGTGACTGATTTCAAATATTTTTTTTGATAAAGAATCTTTCATCTGTTTATAGTGTTTAAGCCAAATGATGAAGATGAAAGTTGGATATTTCTGCCTGGAGTATGAATTTGTAGAATGAATGTACGTTTTTGTAGCAGGAGGCTGTTTATGAATGCTATACGTGTTTATGCATTGTTAGCTTTTAATGAGTAGAATGATGAATGATGGCTTTGATGCTGCTTATCACCAGACCATCATTATCAAAACCACAATCGTCATCATCTCACCTTTCCGCATTTGGAACATTTCCCATCCTGCCTTCTCCTATGCACCCAATGGTGACGCATTGTCGTCGGGTTCTGATGGATGAATGGATGAATGAATGGATGAATGAATGAATGAATCAATGAATGGATGAATGAATCAATGAATGCATATGAATGAATGGATGAATGAATCAATGAATGAATGAATGAATCGACGAAGAAATGAGTATATGAAAGAAGAATTTCAACTAACGGATGAATGAATGAATGAATGAGTGAGTGAACGAACGAATCAGACAACAGTAATCACATAAATAATCTTTAATGGAAAGAACAAACCAGGAAAGAAAAAACGAATGAAAAATATAAATTAAACAAAAAATAAGAATGATTGATTGATGGATTGAAGGAAGAACGAATGCAAGCAAATAAAAAAATATACAATGCCGGCAAAGTCTTGCATTGAATGAATGCATCCTTCCTTCTTCAGTCATTCTTTCGTTCACTCACTCATCCAATCATGCGTTCATTCTTTCAATCATGCATTCATCCACTCATTTACAACAACACACGCACACACACACTCACAAGCACACGCATGCATAAAAGTAAACATAGTCTGTAAAACATTTTTCAAGGTTCTAAATTATTGAAAAGCCAGAAGGGAAAGAAGTGTTTTAAAAGAAGAGGATGACGATGAAGACGATGGTGGTGATGATGATGACGACAATGAAGACGGTGGTGATGATGATGATGACAATCATGACAACAGTCATACTTATAATTGAACAAATGTTTAGAAAAACAAAGATAAAAACAAAAAGACCAAACGAGTGAATGAATAGTCGCGTGAACGAATGAAGGAACAGATGAACAAGTAAACAAACAACGAACGAATGAACGAACAAACAAACCTCTCTATAATTTCTGTGACTTCCTTCACAAAATGTTGGTTTACATTTAAAAATCATCTGTTGGTGATGGTAATGATGATATTGATGATGATGACGATGATGTTGGTGATGATGATGATGATGACGATTGTGCTTTCTTTTAATGACGATAATTTGTGTTGAAAAATTTTGCAAAGAAAAAAATTAATGATGGTTGAAACAAACCAACTAACTAACAAACAAAAACAGGCAAACATTACATTTCAAATACACATACAGACAAGCACACACACACACACACACACACACACACACACACACACACACAAACCTACCTGATCTAACTTAGGTATGCATCCAACATGAACAACAATCTTACAACTCGCACACTTCTTGCGAAATCCAGATTTCTGTCAATCAAGTGCCACGAGTTAGGAAGCAATATTTCATTCATTCATTCAATTATCTTCATTCATTCATTCATTTATTCATTCATTCATTTATCCATTCATTTATTCATTCATTCATTAATTCATTTATTCATTCATTCATTAATTCATGATATTGTTCTTTCTTTAATCATTCATTAAATTTGTAAGTTTAAAAAAACCCCAGCAATTCTTAGAGTCAGTAGAGATCTCCAGTTTTACCTCAATGGTTATGTGGTCTGCAGTCTCTAGAGTTACATTGCTGACTGACTTTAATAAATTCTACGCCACTTATTGTTCGAGTTGTCTTATTGTCAGCAGATGGTATCTTACGAACCAAGCGATTGTTGATGGGCAAGGAGATACTACAATTTATGACGCCGACAAGCCCATTAACAACGACACCATCGTTAACATCTACTACTACAACAACAACATCAACAACTACAACAACATCAACAACAACAACAACAACATCAAAAACAACAACAACAGCATCAACAACAACATCTGCTTCAGCTTTAGAAATTGAAGTAAAAAAATTTGTTAACATGAATCAGTCGCTTTTGGCCACATTACTAAGTAATTAGTGGGGAAAGTACAGTAGCAACAGCATCTACTTCAACTACTACTACCACTACTACTACAACTACTACTACCACTACTACTATTACTGCTACTACTACTACATCATCATCATCATCACCAACATCAACATCAATACAAACACTACAAACAAAACTAAAACCATAGAAGCGACCTATAGAAAATGTCACACAACATACCAACAATGGTAGAAAAACTTCATCATCATCATCATCGTCGTCATCACCATGGCCCGTCAAATATTCAGCACGAGAGAACTATTAAACTGTTTTGTTTACGGCGTTCTCCTAATGAACTTTCTACATGTTTGCCCATACATGCATTCAAACATACATACATACAAACATACATACACACAAACACAAACATAAAAACATACAAACAAACACATACACACACACAAACACAAACATACAGAACATTCAATGTCAGCTAGATAGCATGTATCTCCAGATGCGTTTGTGCTGATCCAAATGTGATCGTTCGTTACTGCTGTGTCCTGAATGAGTGAACGAATGAATGAATGAATGAATGAACGAATGAAGAAATGAATGAATGAATGCATAGATGAATGATAAATCTAAATCAACCAATTAATCAATCAATCAACCAGTCAACCAGCCAACCAACCGTCCAATCAACATAAGACTTTGGCTCTTTCCTTTTATAGACACACTCGGCATATTTAGGGTGTAGAAAGTTATTGTTGGTTGTCGTTGTTGCCAACATTGTTGCGTTGTTGTTGATGTTGTTGTTGTTGATGTTGTTGGCGTGTTGAGATGACACTGCCTTCCTGTTAATGTGATGACGACGACGATGATGATAACGATATTTGTGACGTTGATGATGATGATGATGATGAAAACCCTGATGATGATGATGGTGTTTGTAATGACAATGGGGAAGAAAAAGAAGAAGAAAAATATGATGACGATCATGATAATAATGACGATGATGGTGATGATGATGGTGGTGGCGGCTTTGAGTTAATATGAGACCAAAAAAAAAGAGTCCAGAAAATAAAAAATTTCATTCTGCTCCTCAATCAACTTTATCCTTATTCCCACTTTTTCACTTTCTTCTATCTCGTCATCATCATCACCATCACCACCACCATCATCATCGTCATCACCATTATGATGTTTCACATTTTAAATGAAATTTTTCTATCCGCCATGCATTAGCGTGCACAAAAAGCTATTTCACGAATGATTCCATGGAAGTTAAAGACATGGAAGTACAATAATAACAACAATAATAACTTTATCATTATTATTATTGTCATCATTATTATTACTGTTATTAATGTTATTAGCGTCATTAATAGATGTAATGGTGGAGGTAAAAATATGGCGTTTTTTCGCGGAAATGACAATGTCCAAATTATTTCAAAATGACGTCACTATCAACGTCATCATTCTTTTCATCATTCATCATCATCATCATCATCTTCATCATCATCTTCATCACCATGTGGCCGCCCGTCAAATATTCAACGTCACCATGATGACCAGCATCATTCTCATCGTCATCCACGTGCGTCCGTATCATGTCCATAGATGATAATCTTGAAAAAATTAAAAAATAATTGCTAAAGTTCCTCTCGGTAGTGATCTTTTATTGAAAGTAGTAATAGTAGTAGTTGTATTAAGAATAGTAGTAGTAGTAGTAGTAGTAGTAGTAGTAGTTCTTTATTGTAATGTAGTAGTAGTAGTAGTAGCTGTAGTAGTAGTAGTAGTAGCTGTAGTAGTAGTAGTAGCTGTGGTAGTAGCTACAACAACAAAATAGATATTTTATCATCATCATCTTCATCCTATGTTACAATGTATCGAATATTTCGGCTCGCTTGCTTTAGAAAAAAGCGCTAGAAAAATAATAACGAAGGTGATGATAATTGTGATGATGATGATACTGATGATGATGGTGGTGATGATGATGATGGTGGTGGTTAAAAATAGCACTGATGCCACACTTTATAATTCATGCACCTTAGCATCAATCATGTCTGTCTAGCTGGGAATGACGACGACGATGATGATGGTGGTTATGATGGTGATGATGATGGTGGTTATGATGGTGATTGTGATGATGATGGTGATTTCACTGCTGTTTGATACTGGAGAATGCAGTTTGCTTTCATGAAACATTGAATAAGAGTGCATATGCATTGAGTGAATGAATGTATGAATGCATAAATGAATGAATGAATGAATGAATGAATGAATGAATGAATTAATGAATTAATGAATAGATAACTAAACTTAATGGAAAAGCAAACGAACAGATAACAAAACATCGAATAAATTGACTGATGCTTTGTTGGATGAACAAATAAATGAATGATTGATTGACCGACCGAATAAATGAATGAATGAATGAATGAACGAATGAATGAATATATGAACGAACGAACGACCAACAGATAAAAGGACAAAATTTGAAAATAGCCTCGTGAATGAATGATAGATAGAAGGAAGGGAAAAATGATTAGACGACGATAAACTGATTGATTTAATACTATCATTACCATTACTTATCTTCGTATCATCATCCGTCATCATCATCATCACCCGTCATCATCATCATCACCCGTCATCATCATCATCATCACCCGTCATCATCATCATCATCACCCGTCATCATCATCATCATTATCGCCATCATCACTTTCTTTTTGAAAAATTTGTCAAAAAAAAATTTTTTCATTTTAAAAAAAATTAAAATAAAGATTTACGTGCGTAAACAGTGGAAACATTTTTTTTTTACAGAAAAAGTTGTGTCAACATCATTATCAGTGCTACTCTGTCATCATCATCATCATCATCATCATCATCGTCATCATCATCATCATCATCATCGTCATCATCATCGTCATCATCTTCTTCATCATCATCATCTTCTTCATCATCGTCGTCGTCATCATCATAGTCTGCATAAACATTTCATACATCTTTCTTTTAATCAACGTTTAAATAACGGACACGGGAATGATGATGATGATGATGAAAATGTTGATGTTGATAATAGTGTCGTACTGATGATGATGATGATGAAGATGGTGACGGTAATATATTTCATCGATAGTATGAATCTAGGAAAAAAAGATTGTGTAAACAACAACAGCATGCATGTTAACCAACAACAATATTTGCTCGCCACTGTGTCTGCCATAACAACAACAACGACGACAACTATAATAATAATAATAATAATCACAATAATAATAATAATAAAAATTTATTATTATTATTATTATTATAATTCATTATTATTATTGTTATTCTCAGGGAGACCCACTTTATCGCTCCTCCCACACCAACATCCTCTCCATCCTGGTTCGGACGACGATGACGATGATGATGATGATGGTGAAGATGGTGGTGGTGGTGGTGATGATGATGCTGGTTATAATTATGATTGCTATTTACGACGACAAACGCTTCGTAGGCTTCATTATCGCCAACAGGAAGTTTAACGTCGACGCTGGTTGATCTATGCTGTTTGTGGATTTCTGATTCTATGCCCAGCTGATCACGGGCCAATTTATTTTGGCTCCCGCCATCCTCTTCATCCCTATTCACCCTAATATCGCCCCAACTTTCATTCGTGACGTCACTGGCGCTCACGTCACTTCCGCTACCCCAAATTGGTGTGGTCGTAGTTGGCGAGTTTTGGTCGCCGGTGACGTTGATGTCGATGTAGTGGGTGTCCAGGGAGCAAGAGCGCGGCTTGAAGAGAGGGACTTGCAAGGTCACTGCTTCCCGCCAATCATTTGTTGTTGTTGCTGCTGCTACGGCTGCTGTTGTTGTTGCTGCTGCTGCTGACGTTGTTGTTGTTGTGAGTTGTTGTTCTGGTGATTGCGACGTTGTCGGCTGCTGTGTAGTTGGTTGCGTTGTCGCCCTACCTGTAGCGGTTGTGGCAGCCGTTGGCGTTTGTCCATGCAGCAAGTTGACCGATGAGGATGTTGTCGTAGGCTGTGAAGAAATGATGATTGATGCCACGAACGGTGGTGATGATGGTGATGATGAGGATGAAAGTGACAGTTTAAGCTTCTCAGATATATTTAAAACAGTTAGAGTAGATGTAGTAGTAGTAGTAGTAGTAGTAGTAGTAGTAGTAGTAGTAGTAGTAGTAGTAGTAGTAGTAGTAGTAGTAGCAGCAGCAGCAGCAGTAGCAGCAGTAGTTGTATTATTATTTTTTTCTTTAGCAAGAGAGTAGTTAAGATAGTAGGGAACGGTAGCAGTGCTAGAAAAAGATATTTTGGCGGATTGTTGGCGGTCCGTGGTGGAGGAAGATTTGTTAGGAATGGGAGGAGAGGGGCTGGAGATCACCAGGGATATTGTTGGAAGTGGGAAGAATCCGACTCGTTCAGATACTGCTGCGACATTCTCCTCAACTGATTCGCTAACATTTTTAGATCTTATTATTCTTTTTCTTCTCTTATTTTTCTTTATACTATTATTATTATTATTTATATCATTTATAATATCAATATTACTATTTTTCTTATTATTTATTTTATTTTCGTTCGATTTTCTTCCATTTTTTTTAAGTTGAGTTCCGCTAAGAACCTTAATCCTTTCCGCGAGGCTTTCATCATCGTCGTCGTCATCATCATCATCATCATCGTCGTCGTCATCATAGCCACCATCATCGTCGTCGTCTTCATCTTCATTGATGGTCATCCCCTCATTATAAACGTGCTCTTCCTCTCCATCTCGATACCTCATTAACATCATACGCTGTCTTTTAGTATTGTCATTATTGCCATTATTATTATTATTATTATTATTGTAATAATTATTATTAGTAGTAGTATTGTATTTATTATTATTATAATTGAGATTTTCATCGCCCGAAGACACATCTGAGCAGGTGGTGAAGACTGAGCAGTTACTAGCGGTTGGACTCAGACATTTTTTGCTGTCAGTGCAGTTGTTAGCCGCAGTTGCTGTAAATAATGTGGGAGTATTTGTACTTGTGCCAGTAGTAAAGTTAGAAGAAGCCGTTTGGAAGGGTGAAGTAGGAGTGGTAGCGATAGAGACTGCATCATCATCATCATTATTATAAACAGTAGTTGCAGAAGTATTAGTTGTATTACAAGGTTTACTGATGGCTGCAGTTTTTTTATCCTCATCGTCGTTGTTGGACTGAGCGAAATTTGAAAGGGAAACATTCAAATCCTTCATCATCTTATCACTGTCACTAGTAGCACCATCAATTTTCTGCCTCCTGTCGGCATTGTTTTGGCCTTCTGTACCAGCCCCGACGTCAGCGCCATCGTCATCTTCATCGTCGTCGTCCTCATCTTCTTTCAATGGCAAATACTTCTGACCAAACGCGAACTGATTAACAAAAGAATAATTCCCTGCACTGGCCAAAGAACTCAAATAAGCGCAATGAACGCACTTGAATTGAACTTCCGGCAAGTTGTACGAGCTATTTCCGGTCAGAGAACTGACAGACGAATTGTTGCTGGCTCCGGACTGAACGGAATTCGATCCGGAATGTAAGGATAAGGATGTGTCCTTATCGCTATCACTGTAGCTGAATCGTCGGTCGGTGCTTGGCACTTTCAGATGGAACTCTTTGCTACTTAGCTGGTTGATCGTCTTCAACATGCCGTCGAAACTCAAACTCCTGTTCTTGTTTGACGCTGTTGACGTGCTTCGTGTTGTTGTTGGCGGTGTTTTCGGGACTTTCAACGTTGTTGTTGTTGTGGCTTTTGCCTTTGGTGATGTTGTCGTTCTTGTTGATGTTGTTGCTATTGAGGATGTCGTCGTTGCTGAGGTCATTTTTGTGGGCGACAGGTCCAGACATTGTAAAAATTTTTGTTGTTGTTGCAGTTTGTTGCTGTTGTTGTTGTAGTAAAATTTTTTTGTCTTCGGAGAGGGTTTCAACTTTCTGTGGCTCTTAGCGCTGCTTCCATTGAAATCAACATTTGCAGTATTGGAATGAGAAGTGTCGGTAGTGGCGTCAGTAATAGAGATAGTCGAACGAGCATGGCTAGTAGCTTCACTAACAGGAGAAGTAGTAGTGTTAGTAATAATAGTAGAAGAAATAGTAGTAATTGCGGTAATGGGATTTAAACTGCCGGTATAGGTCGTAATGGCTGCGGTGGTGATAGCAGTAGTGGTGGCATCAGTAGTGGTGGTTGAATTGATATTAACGAATGAATAGGACGATGGCGATGTTTTTGAATGGCGATTGTCATCATCGTTATCATCAAATATTGTTGGCGACGATGAGGACTGAGTTGATGGTGGTGTTGATGATAGTTTGGAAGACAATGGTGGAGGTGATGATGATGATTGCGTGGGTGAGGCTGACGATGACGTCAAAGAGAGTTTTGGTGGCTTGGCCGGTTTGCGAAAAATTTTGTTTATTCTTTCTTTCAATCGAGACATTCGAGATAAAGGAATGAAGATGATGATGGTGGTGACGATTTCAAAACTAACTGTGATGATGGTGTGGGTGAAGCGGTAGATGATGGTGGAGATGGTGTGACGTCCACATGACGCCGATTTTACTTCGTTAAATTAATCAATCCAAAAAGAAAAAAATATCATTGCAATTATTAATATTATTATTATTATTATTATTATTATTGTTATTATTATTGCTAATTATTATTTATATCAATATTTAAAAGACGATAATTTGCTTAAATGAAAAAAATCTCTTTTAAAATTTTATTTTCGTGTAAACACATCGTGCTCACCATTTTATATGTGTGTGTTGTGTATGTATGTATGTATGTATGTATGTATGTATGTATGTATGTATGTATGTATGTATGTATGTATGTATGTATGTATGTACGTACGTATGTATGTACGTACGTATGTATGTATGTAAATTTGTATGTATGTGTGTGTACGTACGTATGTTTGTACGTATGTTTGTATTTATGTATGAAGCGTATTTAGAAGCATTTAGAACAAGATGAGTGCAGACTTAAAGATGTGGCTACAAGCTTATCTTGCATACTTAAACACGATCGTTAATATACATACATACATTCACACATATATAAACACACACATACATATACACATGCAAACAGAGAGACGAACAGACAGACAGAGAGGCGAACAGAAAGACGAACACACAAACATTTGTAGATGCAAATGCTATCGCCCGCTTTCATCTTTTCGCTCAATATATTTATTTATTCAATTTTATTTCTTTTCTCGATTCTATGTCATTCATTCACTTTTATTCATTCATTTCATCATTCATTCATTCACTCCTTTGTTCGTTCGTTCATTCGTTCGTTCCTCCATTGTTCGTTCGTTCGATTCTTGTTTTCACTCGTTCAATCACTCAACAATTAGTCTAAAATGTCTATGCCGTTTTGCTTATTTACTGTTTAAATATTCATTTAACAATAAATTTATTTATCCATCCATCCACCCATCCAAAATATATTGATCGAATATTTTACAATTCCATAGGTTTCCATGTAAAAGATGATGATATTAAACTTGAAAGATTTGATGGATGGATGGATAGATGAATGAATGAATGAGTGAATAGATGAGTGAATGAATGAATGAATGAATGAATGAATAAATGAATGAATGAATGAATGGATAAATGAATGAATAAACAAACCAACAAATGAACGAATGAATGAGCTGTGAACGAAATAAATGAATGAATGAATGAATGGATAAATGAATGAATAAACAAACCAACAAATGAACGAATGAATGAGCTGTGAACGAAACTATAAAATGACCATTGAAAAAGAAATGCAAGATAAATGTTTTTCGTATAATGTTGACGTTGTTGAAGTTGTTGAAGTTGTTGCAAATAAGAAGTACAAATAAAAACAGAAGAAAACAACTTTTCAAAAAAAGTTTGTTTTAGAAAAATAGTGGCGATGCTTTTCACGAGAATGGCGCGTTAAAACAATTTATAATACCAGTTTTGTTGTTGTTTCTGATGTTGTCTGGTGTGACGTCGTGTGGTGTGGTGTCGTCTGGTGTGGTGTCGTGTGGCGTCGTGTCGTGACGTGTGCCACACCACACCACATCACTCCACACCACACCACACGTCACGACACCACACGTCACGACACGATGCCACACCATGCTGATGTTGCAGTTGTTGCTGATGTTGTTGTTTTTGTTGATGTTGTTGTACATGATGATAATGATAATAATCACGTAGATGATGACGACGACGATGTTGATAATTTTGATGTACTAATCATAATTATAAATATAATTAAATAAATAAAAAATATATATATTTATGAGAATTGAGAAATAATTGAAAATAATGTTCCCAGGACAAACGCGTGAGAAGTTTCGAATTTTTCACTAGGTGGCAGGTAACGTGCAAAATTATGAAGCAGTTAGTATTTCAACCATTTCAATCAATCAGTCAATCTTCGTATGCATACATACACACACATACAAACACAGACACACTGAATTATTGTCAATTAAAAGTTTATAACTTGAAGTTATAAGTAAAATTGCCATCAACGTCACACACACACACACACACACACTCATTGGCAGTGCCATTCAAATTCATCGTGACGTCATCGTCATTCATCTCACAATTCTTTTATTATGGATTAATAATTAAATAATTCATCATTGTCCCCGTCGTCACCATCATCATCACCATCTTCATCATCACCATCTTTCATTTCTGCCAAGTTTCATTTCACGCTTATTAACTTCGCTACAAAAGCAGTCGTTGGGCCGAATTTATGTACAAAATGATGGCGATGTTGTTGTTGTTGATGCTGTTGTTGTTGATGCTGTTGTTGTTGATGCTATTGTTGTTGATGCTGTTGTTGTTGATGCTGTTGTTGTTGAAGCTGTTGTTGTTGATGCTGCTGTTGTTGATGCTGCTGTTGTTGATGCTGTTGTTGTTGAAGCTGTTGTTGTTGATGTTGCTTTTGTTGTTGATGCTGTTGTTGTTGTTGTCGTTTTTGTTGAAGCTGTTGGTGCTGTTGTTGTTGATGATAATGTTGATGCTGTTGCCAATGTTGTTGTAGTTGTTGATGATGTTAATGTTGTTGATGTCTTTGTTGTTGTTGATGACTATTAACATCATCATCATCAGTAGCAACAGTAGCAGCATAAGCAGTAGAAACAGTAGCAGCAGAAGCAGTAGCAGTAGCAGCAGCAGCAGCAACAACAACATCGTCGTCGTCGTCGTCACCTTCGTTTCATATTCAACTCATGTGACTTGCTCGTCATCAATGTCATTATGATCATTCAGCCTGCGCTTATCATAAACAACGTCGTCGTCATCATCTTCCTCACTACTATCATCACCATCATCTTCTTCTTCATCATCATCATCATCATTATCTTCTTCATCATCTTCCTCATCATCATCACCTTCCTCATCATCATCATCATCTTCCTCATCATCATCATCATCTTCCTCATCATCATCATCATCTTCCTCATCATCATCATCTTCCTCATCATCATCTCCCTCATCATCATCATCTTCCTCATCATCATTATCTTCTTCATCGTCGTCGTTATCTTATTCATCTCTCAAAGATCTCGTGACATAAAGAAGTTTTAAAGAAAACTGAAAAAAAGAAATAAAACTACTACTACTACTAATAATAATAATAATAATAAGAAGAAGAAGAAGAAGAAGAAGAAGAAGAAAAAGAAAGAGAAGAAGGAGAAGAAGAAGAAGATGGAAGAGAAGAAGTTGATGAAAAAGAAAAAATATTCTTTCAACAAAAACATAAGAGAGCAAATGAATGAAACTAATGTATAGAGTCATGAAATTGAGGCTTAGTTACTTTAAATAGAATCCTAGTTACGTACTCTTCATTCATTCATTCATTCATTCTTTCATTCATTCGTTTATCTTTGTCATATC